AACCTTTCTAATGCCTTGACCCCATAATACAGTTCCCCATGTTGTGGTGACCCCCAACCACTTATACATCACCGAGTGCCAGGGGCGTGGCCAAAGGGGGAAAAATGGCGGACAGCCTTGTTTGGCGACCCCCATGAAATGGTCGTTCGACCCCAAATGGGGTCCCGACCCACAGGTTGAGAACCACTGGTTTAGCACATAGATTTCTGAATGTGTACCTCCCGTATGTGTAATCTTATAAAGTCTACTGTTCTTTTTCAATATGAATGCTAATTGTGATGATTGAACAAGATTTGTTCCTCCTAACTAGTGCTTAAATCTACCATGGTATACAACTCTAATGTCTATTCACTTATACCTATCTCTTGTGCTAATTACTAGCTAGCTAGCCAGCACGTGTGAAAGATGATACATTTTTTAAAAAAAATCTGAAACATGAAGTTCAACAATAACACTATCATCACAGAGTACATCACATAGATGGCTAAAGATATTGCAGTTTCTAATCGGGATGCCATTTTTGAAAGTGCAGATTCAGCTAAGATTCAGATTCAGATGAGCTTGCAGTGTTGTTTTATATCAAACTGAGAAATCAATATCCACGTAACCTCCCCTTACAAGCCTATTTAGCAAATCTGTACTGCTTGCTTTCATCTAACTCAGCCTGCGAAAATGTTATCAGTTCGGTAACTTAAACAAGATGTGAAAGGAACATTTTTACAGGCAAACAATAGAATTTCTTGTACACTTATTTAGATTGACGCTCATATTTGCTTTAGTTAATAAGTTGGACTCCTAATTAATAAATGTTAACTGTTGAGACTAAATGCAGTTCCATGGAGGCTGAGAACAACCGATCAAAGGACATTGTGCAGCAATTCTGATTTTCCCTTGTTAATTTTCTATGTGTTAGGAAAAAAAAGATGGCTTCCATATGAGGTTTATAATGGAAAATTGCATCTTGCTTCAATGGCCTACAGAATCTCTAAAACCTCAGTATGAGTTATCTCAACGGCAACTGCACTGTTTTTTTCTTGAGGAGGAAGACATTTTGTTTCTTATCCAATTGATGAAGTTTGTTGGATGAGAAGTGAAATGTCTTCAAGGAAAAAAAACAGTCCAGATGACTTTTGGAAAAAGCACCTTTGTACCTATATCCTAAGTGTACAGTGATGTTACTGTAATCACCCCTTTAAAGGTGCAGCTGAAGATATACATCGAAATACAACTACAGTAGTGTGAGAATCCCCAGAAGGGCAGCTGCCCTTATACACAAATGTTGACAGTTTGGGGTTTGTGATATGGTTTGAAGAACAGCAGATGAGGTCTACCCTCAAAATGCAAAGAATGTAAATTACAAATTAGAACCACACAGAATTTTGAACTGAGATTATTTTTAGATAGATTTAAAAGTAGAAATCGCTTGGGAATACTTAAGTTGTATCATTTAAGCAGCAGCAGAATTGGTATAAACGTGCTTGATGTTTAGGGCTTCCACACAAGTTTGGTAATTTAATTGTCCAAACCGTCTAATTCTGCAATTCGTGTTTGCCAACACAGTGGATTTTAAGTGCCAGATGCTCCAGTGTCCTTACTGCTGGCTAATGGTTTTCTAATTGCTCGTATTTGGTGAAGGCTCAGCTTCTGCATTTACATCATCTGACTGCAGTTCCAGGAACTGCTGCAAGGTCTGATAGGCAAAGCTGCATGTTTTTGCCGATGATGACGAAGTTAGAAATAAACAAGAAATTTCCCACTGGCAGATGAACCCAGTAAATAAAGTTGAGTTAGTGAACTATGTCTTGCAAATAAAAATCTGCTTGTACTTTATTTTTGCTTGGTGATTCAGAGAGATTTGGAGTAGTTTCTAATGCTTATAAAGATCACTAAAAATATTCATGGCTTGAAAATTCTGCTCAAGAGATCGATGTTGTATCTGCTTTACATTCATAAAGGTAACTACAATATTTGAAAGTCGCTCATCATGCAGAACAATTCCAATTCCAGCGGTGTCAAACTGCCAGCCCGTGGGCTGGTTGCATCATGTGGAGGCCGCACCCACCCCAGCTCCGGCAATGCAAAAAAAAATCACAATACGTTGCGACACGTCATGTGATGTGGTGAGTTTGGCACCTGTGCTCTAGACAGAGATCTGTCCATCATGGAGTTCAGGAAAATATTGAAAACCTACCTGTTCTGCCTAGCACAGGGAAAAGGGTGTGCTGAAACTGAAGGCAGGGATTTGCAGGTGTATGGCAGGTGTTATTTTCCAGGTTTTATCTTTTGGGGTGCTCCCCCGCCCCAAGATAATACTTTTCTTCTGTCGTTTTTTAAAATTCCACTTTAATCCAATTATTTCAAAAATCGTAGCGGGTTGGCTGATGTTTATACATTTGCCTTTCCCAAAGGGCAGAAATTAGTTACCAAATACTCCCAAACATCTCTATCAATCGCTCCAGCAGGGATGGGAAATAAGAAGTTTGTTCTCTCAAATTCAGGGCATCCAGGCTACCGCAAAGCTAGGAAACAGCTACTGCTAAGAAGTTAATTCTATCTCTGCACAGTAACACAATAAATGGGGATGACATTTTTTTTACTATACAAAAACCGCATGAACCTCCTGAGGCCACTGAAATTAAAACTGATCCCACGCCAATTAATGCTGAAATAAGTGCTTGGCTGCCACACGAGAACTGGTTTTTAGTGGCTTGCGAATATGGCAATGCTATCTCCAGAAGAGAGCATTTGTAGCTCAAGGCTGAATTATGAAATCCTTGATGCTTCTTGAACCTGATGCTTTTCTTGGGCATCTACAGTAGATTAACACTAACAACCCCAAAAATTAAGAAGTAAAAAAATATTCCAAAGAACCACCAATGTCCCACTTCATCCTAGCACTGATGTTATCTAATTTGGAAATGAAACATCTGCAAGAAAACCATCAAGTAGAGCTCACAATCTTCAGGTATTTATGGCATGAAATTACATTTTTTTTCTAGCTTTCTTTGGTATTATGCACAGATTTTGAGAATAAAAAGCCTGAGGTGCCAGGAAGTAATTCATTGCATTGGCTTTCGGTCAAATTAAGTTAGCTGTGATATCCACGTATCTTGGAGCATCTCTGGATGAATAAGATCAAATGTTTTGGACTTGGTTCTTAGGAAGCAGCTTGTTCAAAAAGCCAGTGTGATGTTATAGTTAAGCCACTGGACCTGGAGCAGGAGATCCAGATATTGCACTTCAGCCACGAATGCTCGTTTGCGGAAGTACCTCCCAAGCTGGTTGTGGTGAAAAGCTGTAATATAAATCTCATAATGAAATGAAATCATGCCCAATTAACAGACAGAAAGTCTGGACATAAAAAAACAACAACACATGGCTATGTTAACCTTTATTTGCTTACCACAAATAACTTCACATTGATTAAGCTAATACTGCATTCAGAGAAATTTTTTTAAAAAATAACAAAATATCTGTACACTACATCTGTTACAAATATAGAGGTGGTTTTAAGTGGTTGCACAAATGTATCACATGCTCTACACCAGGGGTGTCCAATCTTGGCAACTTTAAGACTGGTGGACTTCACTCTCAGAATTCCTAGCCAGCATAGCTGGCTGGGAAATTCTAGGAAATGAAATCCGTAAGTCTTAAATTTGCCAAGATTGGACACCCTGCTCTACACTGTTAATGCATACAGGACTAGAATCCAACATAATTGCCAGTAATTGTAGCTTTTTCTTTCTACATCTGAATGTCAACTAACGATATCAAGAATTCCTGTTGAACCAAACAGCACTGAATTACTACCACTCTAAGACACTGCATAAGAATAGCTGTGTTAGCCTTTGGTAGCCCAAAATCAAAATCAGTCCAATACATTTCATGAAAAGGCGTAAGATTTTTGCGAATTATTGGTCCCTTCATCAGTAGCTGCATCATCAGGTGCTTATGCTTTTTTATAAATGTGCTGAGTCTGAAAAGGTGCTCCTAAACCCGTCCTGAATTTCTGAAGATGTTATAGTCCTCAACTTACAAACATTCATTTTAGTGGTTAGGATTACAAGGGCACGTACGATTGGTCATTGCGCATAATGACCACTGCAACGTCCCCATGGTCATGTTATCAAAATTTGGGCGCTTGGCAACCGGCACATGTGTACAACAGTTGACGCATTCCAGGGTCAGGTGACTGTCATTTGTGACCTTCCCAGATGGCAAGTCAATGGGGGAAGCTGGATTTGCTTAATGCAGGGGTCTTCAAACTTGGCCCTTTTATGACTTGTGGACTTCAACTCCCAGAATTCCTCAGCCAGTGTGTCTGGCTGAGGAATTCTGGGAATTGAAGTCCACAAGTCATAAAAGGGCCAAGTTTGAAGACCCCCTGGCTTAATGACTCTGTGATTCACTTAACAGTTGTGGTGATTCACTTAACTGTTGCAAAAAAAAAAAAAAAGTTGTAAAATCGAGCACAATTCACTTAAACCACCACCTTGCTTTGCAATGGAAACTTTGGTCCCGATTGTGCTTGTTAAGTAGAGGATTACCTGTACTGGTATCTCTCATGGTTTTTCTAAATCAGATTTGCTTAGGTTGAAACTGACTCCTAACATTCATTCAGCAGCAATTATGAAATAGTTAACACCTTATATCAGAGGTCCCCAACCTTGACAACTTTAAGACTTGTGGACTTCAACTCCCAGAATTCCTCACCCAGCCTGGCTGAGGAATTATATGGTTTGATGTTTTCTACACAGAAGACAAGGCCTCATAAAAGGGAGAGAGGGACATTTTTCTTGATAAGACAAATGGAAGCAAAAAATTAAGTAGTCTGTAAAATGCTATCCTGTTTTATGTAGATTACTTGTAGCCTCATTTGAATGTGTGTGTGTGTGTATGTGTGTGATTTTTTTTGTTTTGGCTTGGGAAAAAAAAATCCCTGCTCAAATATTTGTTGGGCAATTTCCCCTCACACTCACTTGGTATGTTTGAATGAGCTATCATACTTAGTAATAGGAGATCCTGTACTTAACAGGTAGTTTGGACTAGACGACCTTGAAGGCCTATCCAGACCTTACATTCTATAATTCTACCATCCTCTTGTAAATTGGGTTTTTTCTTCATTTTCCTTTAACATCCCAGGGGCAGTCTTTGGGTATTTCTAATATGCAGATCCCAGAGACATAGACTTAAAATGAACAAAACAAAAATTAAAAAAAAAGCTAAATATAAATACCCCAACATGCTAACTTGGGATAATAACTGGAAAAAGGGACATTCTGATACATTGTCCCAATTAATATTAGTAGGCCTTTTAACGAGGTATTCATTCTCATATAAATAAAGAAAAATAGAGTAGTTATGAGGAACAATATTTTCCAGAATTTCAGTAAGTAGCACATAAAAGCAGCAGGCACAGACAGAATGTAGCCAATCAAATTCTCCAAAAAGAAAACAAAATCCCACCCTCTAACCAGGGCTGTTAAACTGGCGGCCTGCGGTCCGGATGCATCACGCGCAGGCCACGCCCACCCCAGCTCTGCAAAGTCACGATACGTCACTTGACTAAATCGAGTTTGACCCCCGTGCTCTAAACTAAACTAAAAACAAATTCCCCTGGAGGGCTTTCTAGGTTTCTCTATTCCTAACTAGTGGCATTTTGAGTTGCATTTTAAAAATCCTGCTGAACTATTGCAGAATTTACAAACTATCATAATACAAGAATATAGGCCGCCCTATTTTGTGACCACAACAGAGATCTGAAACTTGGTCATTAAATGAAGTGGTCGCCAAGCGAAACAGAAATTGTGCTTACGATGTTATTTTGTCTTTCCTTTGCTCTACAGACCTGCAAAGGTTGTAAATGAAAGGATTGGTCGAAAGGTTACTTTTTCATCATTGTTATAACTGTAAATGATCAAGGCAGTCGCTAAATGAGGAGTACCTGTAAGATTATAAGGCAAGGATAGACCAGAGTACATTTCTCTAATGGCCCTAACTTAACCAAATACTGTTAATATGGAATCAGTGGTTGTTATTAGGAACAAAAAGAAGTTAACAAGGTGAATGCTCTGTGTGTGTGTGTGTGTGTGTGTGTGTGTGTGTGTGTGTGTGTGTGTGTGTGAGAGAGAGAGAGAGAGAGAGAGAGAGAGAGAGAGAGAGAGAGAGAGATTGCACCTGCATGTGTCTGTGATAGTTTCCTAGGCTTGCAAACATTGAGCAATGTTATCGCTGAAAATAATAGAAGGCTGGGTATGTCTTTGCATCTTAAGACTGTATGTATCTGTATGTGTGATGTGTGTTGTGTTTGTGTGTGTGTGTGTATGTTAAATGAAGGTTAAACCAATCAGAGGGCATTAATACCTCTTTTATTGCTTATGTCAGGGGTGTCAAACTCACAATGTTATGTGACATGTCACAACATATTGCAACTTTTTTCCCATTGCTGGCAATGGGGTGGGCGTGGTTTTGGCATGACGCATCCGGCCCACAGGCCAGCAGTTTGACATGCCTGGCTTATGTGCTTTAAAGAAAACACAAAAATCCTTTTTATTGTAATTCACTATTGAAACTTAGCATTGTGATCTTATGGGCTCCAGTCAATCACAAGAAATTCACTGGATGGTCTGCAGCCCAAAGAAACCTGGCTTATATTTGTCGAGTAAAACTCACAGACTTTTGGATAAAACAGAAAACATAGCTCCTCATAAGTCAGCTCAAAGCATTACCCAACTCTAGAGATCTTAACTGCAGGAAAATATTAAAGGCAGTTTTTGTCTTCTACAGTAACACAACCTTCAAAGTCTGGGAAGAAGGATGCCGGATCTATGTCTTTTTTGGTGTATTAGAACTGCTTGAGGCCACTTTTTTTACTAACCTGTTATGCAAGCAGCCGTATGAAAAGCTAACAAATATTCTAAGTTAAATATTATAATGTTTTAATTAGGTGATTTAAAATCAGTAGGTCAAGCTTTCACTTTCTTTTTGCTGCCACCAAACAACAAAGCATTGGAAATATTAAATGTATTTTTAGAAGCCAGAATTTGGGATCGATTTTTTCATTAATAATTCTTGGGTCATTTGTGAAATTGAGATATATTGCAGTGACAAAAAGCTATTTCGTCTCGACTTGTGAAAAGTTTGTTTATCAATGCTGATGACCCCACAAAGAAAGAAGAGAAAATATATTGAATTCTGGGGGACTCTGCAACAGTTAGGTACTACTACCATAGATGTTCTCTCTCCTGAAAAAAGAACATGAAGATCAATTCAGTTTAATCATTCTATGAAAGATCGGGAAACCTTTTACTTTCTTTTTCTTTTAAAAGTGTTTTTCTTAAGCACTATTATTCCAGAAAACAGTTTGTCTCAGATCTCATGTTGGGCACAGAGATATTAATAACATTTAATCAAATGAATATATATGTTTGAGAGTTTTAAGTTAACCCTGGCTAACCAATAGCCAATGTTTTGTGTCTTCCAGAAGTTCCAGAATTCCGCCTTATAAATTACTCAACAATCACACAACGTGCCCTTCCAGGTTACCACACCATACATTTTCCCCTTTCCATTCCACTTTTTCCTATTCTGATTTTATTACTGCCTCTTTCAAATCCTACAGAAGCCAGTCTCTGGAATCCAACAATATGTCTACACATGGATCAAAATAAGACCATTCGTTATTTTTCACTCTTGATTAAAAACAGCCTGGCAGCAAACAAATAAACTCCCATCTCATCTTTGGGGACAGGACTTAAGAGAGAACAGTCAAAGTCACAGTTCCTTTTGTTCTTTTTAGAAGAGCGACAGCTTCTTCGTGGGTGACTCCTTCCAAGCTCTGCCCATTGACTGCAAGGATCTGATCCCCTCTTTTAAGGCGCCCGTCTTCTGCTGCTGCCCCCTACAATTTTTTTTTTTTAAAAAAAAACAGATTTTATTTTACAGAATACATATAGGGCAGACATGTCAAACACAAGGCCCGGGGGCCGGATGCGGCCCGCGAAATGGTTTCATGTGGCCCGCGAAGCCATCCTGGAAACAGTGAGGGAACGGCCCCTGCTGCCTTAGCCATGGCCCAGGCCGGCCGGGAGCCAATGTACAATTTTGTGGTATTTATGCTGAAACGCATTCAGTCTTAGCTCCACATAACCGTCTGGAAACTGCAAGGAACCAGCCCCTGCTGTATCAGCCCCACCCCCTGGGTGCCTGCTGGGGAGGTGTCACCCTTGGTGAGGAATGAAGAAATGCACCATCGCCTGAAAGTGGCCAGCAAATGGCCCTCGCCTACTTCACATATCCAGCTTGATGGGCTTCGGGGGAGGGTTTTTGGCAGGAAGCGGGGTGCTCTCCTCACAGCACCAAGAGGCTGAGCCGGGCAGCGCAAATCCAAAAAGAAGCATGATGACGCCCAGCCAGCCCAGTCCGCCTGGTTTCGGCGGGCAGCGGGCACTCTCCTCACAGCGCCAAGAGCTGAGCCAGGTGGCGCGAAACTGATGAGAAGTGCAATGCTGCATAGTCCCCAGCCTGCCCAGTTGCAGCAGACAGCAAGGTGCAAAACTGGTGAGCTTCGCACTGCCCGGCTCAACTTCTTCGCGCTGTGAGGAGAGCACCCTGCTGCCTGCCGAGACCGGGCAGTCTGGGGGCTGGGCGGCATTGCACAGGTAACTTTGACTCTCACGCTGCTCATGGCATCCCCTCCCTAAGAGCCCACCAAGCCAGATAGGTGAAGTAGGTGAGGGCCATGTGCTGGCCACTTCCAGGCGATGGTGCATTTCTTCATTCCTCACTCAGGGTGACACCTCCCCAGCTGCATTTCTTGCCTGTTTTTCTCCCTCCCTCCTCTCAAATATTTTCCCACCACTCTGTATTTAGGAAGGAAAGAAGGAGAGGAAGGGTCTGAAGAAAGTCCTGCCTTAGTCCTGCCCTGCTGCCCTTTTACCATCCCCTTGCCCCCTCCTCCTGGCCTATCCTGGGGTCTCCCATCCTATTGCTAAGGAAGCTTTGGATACAAAGCCGGGTCTCCTCCCTTGGAGAGGGAATGGGCCTCCCTCTGACTTTGCCCTTGTACCCATCATGAGCAACCTGGCTAAGGAGAGCAAGCACAGCAGCAGCCTTGAGGAGGAGGCTATTCTCCAAGCTTGTGGGTTGGTTTCCGAAGATTTTGTTATCAAGCTAGTGAATGTATGTATGTATGTATGTGTGTATGTGTGTATGTATGTATGTATGTATGTATGTATGTATGTATATGTAAATCCACACCCATGTGCTAAACTGTAACTAATCTCAATTGGATGGATGGATGGATGGATGGATGGATGGAGGGAGGGAGGGAGGGAGGGAGGGAGGGAGATAGATAGATAGATAGATAGATAGATAGATAGATAGATAGATAGATAGAGTAATTCCAGTTTAGCACATGGATATGGATTTACAGAAAGATTCCAGGATGCACAAAAATGACAGGAGGCCCCAGAGCATACAAATATTAGATGCATGAGATTTAGAGATAACAGTGCCCTGTTTTTAAAAAGAACTAGAGCAGTGGTTCTCAACCTGTGGGTCGGGACCCCATTTGGGGTCGAACGACCATTTCATGGGGGTCGCCAAACAAGGCTGTCTGCCATTTTTTCCTCTTTTTCTTTGGCCACGCCCCTGGCGCCCCATGATGTATAAGTGGTTGGGGGCCACCACAACATGGGGAACTGTATTATGGGGTCACGGCATTAGAAAGGTTGAGAACCACTGAACTAGAGATAGTGAAATAAAGCCGTACTAAATAGGAGGCATTGTTTTTTTTTCTTTTTGTTCCCGTCAGGCATTCAAGTCTGTTGTGTAGTGCAAGATAGGCAGGACAAAATTATCAAGACATTAGAACAGGAATGTCAAACTCGTGACGTCACATGACATTGCACGACATATCGTGACTTTTTCTCCATTTCTGGTGTGACGCATCCAGCCCACAGGCCTGCAGTTTGACATGCCTGCACTAGAGCAAGGTAAGAGCTAGAGGAGAGCCATCTCATACTTTGTAGATCAGCAATTTTCAAACAATTTGTGGCACATGCTGGTACCCTGCAAAAAGTCTACAGGTGTGCTTCTCAGCCAGGACCCCACCTCCCATGACATCACCATTGGCGAACCACCTCTATTTCTTCTCCCTAGTTCCAGCACCTGGGATGTCATGTGATTTTTGGTTTCGCTACAGGAAAGTCCTGCCTGTGAAATGCAGGCAGGGTTGAAAACCTCTATTCTAGATGGTTTTGATTATATAATATTTTGCCTTCGGTCACACCAATCCCATATAGAGTCTTAGATTATCTATATTGATGCTAAGGATCAACACAGACTTGATGGCGGCACAGAATCAATCTTTTAGAGAAGGCAGGAAGGACCATGTCAAAGTCTGGATTGTTTGGATTTAAAACATAACATCTAGTTAGTAAATGAATTTGGTATCAAGCTCTTACTTTTCCAAATACTGTCTTAACATAAATGGGCAAATCTCCGTGAGGACTTCCGTATCCACCTACAATGCTAAAGCCCAAGCCATCCGGCCCTCGATCCAGAGTGATGGTTTTGTACTGGGGCGGCCTATAACACACAAAAAAAGGTGTCTCACTGTTTACCTTAGCAATAAATCCTTTAAACATGCTTGATTGTCTAATATACATAGGTGTGTGTGTGTGTGTGTATGTATGTATGTGTATATGTGTGTGTGTGTATACACACACACACACACATACATACACACACACACACACACACACACACACATACACACACACTTACATGTAGATCTTTGGTTATTCGGGTTTTCTCCCGTGTAAAATTGGAAGTGTCTTGGAGACGTTTCGACGAATTCCCATTCGTCATCTTCAGGCTGGTGTTTTCGGCTTCGTTCTTCTAGAAGCACAAAGCCAAAAACACCAGCCTGAAGATGACGAATGGGACTTTGTCGAAACGTCGCCAAGACACTTCCAATTTTACGCGGGAGAAAACCCAAATAACCAAAGACCTACATACAAACACCCACGAAAACCTCAGAAAACAAATACACTTACACACACACAAAACAGTAAATAACCTTTAACGTCTTCATTTTGCAATGAACTGATTTGGGCTGACAATTCTCATCCTCTTTTTCTCCTCCACTATTATTTATTATCAGTGTTCTGTATTAAACCCTTTCAGTGGCATATTTTTGTTATGTTCACAGAAATAATGGAGCCTCAAAGCACTTCCCTAGTTATAAAAATCTTGACATACAAGCTTGCAATAGACTGTTGCAAATTTTAAATAGAACTGATACTCAATTTAAGTACATTTTCTTACTGTGGGTTTGGTAGTTAAGTTAGAAAAATCCGTATTAACCACTATTAAGTTGACAAAACTCACCCCAAATCATCCTGAAAGATGCTGCTTGAAGTTAGACCTGAAAATGTTAGACTAGATATTGGTGGATCCTGCTGTTGGCTAGTTATGACACTGACATCTCCACCAGCTACAACCTGCAAGTTAATGTTAAACATAAACAAACGAGTATACAGATTATTATATGGGAAGATAGACACAGGCCTAGAAAACAAAAACAAAAATTGGTCTGAATTTTTATATTCTTTAAAATGTTTTACAGGCATAGAGCTATAATCAAACTTCACTAAGAGGCATAACTATACCTAGAAAGCAACTGAATGTTTGTTTAGTTTTCTTCTGCTGCTGTATGTGTTTGTCTTGTCTTCATGTCTCAAATAATAGTCATAACCAGCTATTGAGCTCACTCACTCATTTCCACATGCTATTCATCCTGTCCTCAAGTTTAAACTAAGCCACCTGTTTTATTGCTATGTATTGCAAGCTTGTTTGATTTTAATATCTGTTCAGTTTCTCTTCCCTTTTTCTTTTTCTCTCTTATCTCACTTTTTGGTTGAAATTAGGTAATAACTGCCTTGTGCATGTTACAATGATCATTCAATTAATGCTCTGCTTAGCTCTTTTAGTTTCAGAAAGAATAATTTCTTTCTGAACATGAAGAGAAAGTCAGAGAACACTGCATATTTGATCTGAATGGAGGGAATTGAGTTCCACAGCAAGCTCATTTCTCAATTCTATAGGTCAGTGGTGGCGAACCTATGGCACGCGTGCCAGAGGCGGCACTCAGAGCCCTCTCTGTGGGCACACGCACCGCAACCACTAGCAGTTCGCGCAGGTCCATTAGGCCGCCGCCGCCCGAAGCAGCAGCTCTGCCCAGCACAAAGCAGGCAAAACGGCCGGCTAGCAAACTGAAGTAGAGGTGTTAGAACATCAAGGTGGCCATGCCTATCTGGCCACACTCATCCAGTCTCCTGTAACCATCCTGGACATGCCCACTCAGTGGACCACACACCCCACCTTCCCTGAGGGAACCACAATGCTGATGTGGCCCTGGCACTTTGCAATAAATAAGTGGGTTTTGGGTGGCGGTTTGGGCACTCAGTCTCTAAAAGGTTCACCATCGCTGCTGTAGGTAATCATCAATCTATGACCGTAATGGAACCTACCCATTATGATTACAAATGGTGATAGCTATTAAATGAGATGGGCCTCGCTTAATGACCCCCCTGTCCTGCTTTCCCTGATGTGGCCATTAAAATGAATGTGTGGTTTGTTAAATTGAGCATGGGCGCCTCAAGTGTGGGGGAAGCCCTGGGAGACTTAGGTAGGTCCAGGTCTGCCTGTACTGGGCTTCCCAAGGCCTTTCCCAATCCTCTCAGGCACCCCCTGATCCACTCCCTGCTCCTCAGGTTCTCTGCAGACTTCAGCCTATTCCCAGCCACTCAGCCACCCTACGAAGCCTAAAGCCAGGTAGCAGAACCTGTCAGTGCACGGGGAGCTGTTAGAACTTGGTAGGCCCAGGATGGGAAGAAGGCCTGGCCCACAAGCTTGGGTGACTGAATAACTGGGTTAGGAGCAGGCCAAAGGCCTGCAAGGAACTGATGGGATGGGTCAGGGAAAACTGATGGGGGGGGGAAGGATCAGCCGCTGCTGCATCTTTTACAAGGGTGAACAACCCTATGGGCATTGCAGCAGCCATAAATGTGAAACCAGGTCACAAGTAGCTTTGGGGAGGGGGGAGGGTCTTTCATAAGTGAAGGACTACATGTAAATCCCTAGGCCTCCATAAATACAAATGGCATATAGACAGACACTGTTATTATGTCTAGTTGCAAACCTAGTCCCTAAAGAAACACATTCCTGCTTGTAACCATTTTTTAAACACCTAAATATAGCAATGATGTCCAGAATGCTAGATTTATGATATAAATGCCCAAGCCAGGCTGCTAGTATGATAACATTAGCCAGATGCCTGGTTTCCAAATAAAGATATTTTGGGACATTTTTTACTGCAGCTGATCACACAGAGGAACAAGCTAACAGACGTTTGCACAGCAGTGGGTTGGACAGACGCTTGCCAGTTTACCTGTGTGATGATATAAAATACCTTGCGCTTCAACTTATGCTCTAAATGTACCTTAAAAGAACATACTGATTGCAGATTCTTGTTCAGCTTTTAAAAAGTACCATAAATATAGATGTAGAAAGTAAAAATGACCTTGATGAAAATATATGAACTATTGCCTGGGTACAATAGTTCTGAAGCATAACCATGAGATATGGTTATCATCTCAAGAAGCTTTTCATAAGCCACACCATCTTGGTTGATTTAAGGCAGATTTTCTGAAGGAGACTTTAAATTAAAAACAAGGGAAGAATTGGCTAAGGACACTTTTATGTCAATGGTTTGCCTATGTTGAAGTATCAAAAAGATTTAAGTTTCAACAAGAATAATTTTAGTTTTACAAAAGAGAGAACTGAATTTGAACTGAATTTGTGTTTCTAAGGAGGAGCATGTCATTGCCAAGATGTGTAAAATGAATATACAAGAAGACTTTGTGACTAAGTAGGCCAAATATCTGGGATATTATATAATGCTAACGCAATGGGAACACGTGGAGTAAGAGATTACAATTTACTTTGAACTATAATTTGAAAGACAATTTCTGTAATATAATGTATCACTGATATTTAACGCCTGATAAATTATCAAAGTTGTATCATCGGGTCAAACGTATTGTCAACAAAAGAAAGTCCCAGCTCTCTAGATTTGATCAAGAGTGCAGCTTTACTGAAAAATCTATCTAGGCGCGGCCGAAGCAAAGTCAGTTCTGGGATTTTCATAGTTAACTTCTCTCTTCCCCTCTGGGCCACCCACAGTTAGTAATTCACCAACTGAGTTCAGTTCTTTAGCTTTGGGGAAAAAACTCTGGTCAAACATTCTTCATGAGTTGGCCTTGGTAGATAACGTTTCTCCAGCAACAGAAGGTTCACTTGCATTACATAGCCTCCCCCCTCTTAGGAATTCACCTCCCTCCTCCCATCGGGTGAAAGCAGGTGCAAGCTATGGAGTCGAGTCAGGTTTGACACATATATTGGAAATGTTAATTTCCAATGAAGCCATTTTATATCACCTTAGACGGGCACATAAGAAACCTAAGAGTTGCTGGGATCAAATATGTATTTTAATTAAGACAATTCTTAAAACAAATATACAACTGAAATCAGAGGTCTTTTGTTTAGATCTGATGGATAAGCAGCTGGGAACTGTTCCATATATAATTGTAGCCAGACTTTTCTTTGCACAGAGATGGAAAGCCTTACAGATTCCCATAATCAAAGAATTGATGCTGAAGTTAATAGAACTGTCTGAGATGGCAAAATTGACTACCTTAAAGAAAAGACTTTGTCTCACTTTCTTTTTCTATGTGGAAAGCACTTTTGGATATATGTAATTTTTTTGCTAGAAAACCAATACAGAATAATACAGAATATAAAAATGATATATTTTGTGATTTGATGATTTAAGACGACGATTATAGAAATATTGGATATTGTTGATTTTTTGATATACCCATTTGTAACTATATCAAAGAAAATTGGAAGTTATTTTTAATTTCTTTTTGGGTTTTTTATTCCTCTTCTCTTATACTTTTCCTTAATAATTTTGTTTGGTATTTTTAGTTTATGTTTTGAAGAAATTTAATAAAGTATTTTTAAAAAGAAAAAGAAAAGAAACTAGCCCAGATTCAGTGTAGTATAAGAAGGGGAGAAATAGCGTTATTTGCAAGATTCTGTTATTACAACCAATTTCAAAAAAAATAGTTTATGGCCTCCTGTGCAGTTGATTTCCCGATTTGACCGACCTTATGGGGCTGGCATATGATTCTAGATAGCCATCACAATATATAAATCATAATGTGAATAATTGGAAGATGAATTCTACCTCCTTTACATGTTAATTTGCAGGTAACATGCCTACCTGTAACTCAATGGTGCCCAAAGCATTCTTTAACAAACTGACGGCCTGGGAATGAGTCATGCCTTCAGTGGATGTTCCACAAATGCTCACAATCCTGTCTCCAACCTGGATGATGAAAGATGAGATATCCGGGGGGGGGGAGGAGAGAAATAATCTATCATGCCAAATTATTTCAAAGTCATTAATACTTTCTTTCCCTTTACAATGCAAGCAAACAAGCAAAATTGGTTATGGGGTCCCAATACATATCGCCAAGCTATGGCTCAATGTTAATAACTGGAAATATCTTCCATGTTTCTAAATTTAAAAAGTGGGCCTTGAATATAATAAATTGTGGTTGATTTAGTTGTAGTGAATAACTCATACTTGGTTAGATTTGGGCCTTCTGATACAAACTGTACAACTTAGTGGCTTAGTGTGATCGTACAGATGGTTCTACAGTTAAGACCATAAATGAGCCTGCAATTACAGTTGTAAATCATGATGTTAAGTACTGTAGGGCATCATGTGAGTGGGTCTGATTTAATGACCTTTTTTGCCATGGTCATTAAGCGAATGTGGTGGTCATAAACCCACTGCTCATTATGGGACTTTTTTTTGCCAGAAACCAAAAATAAACATTTTTCTGAGAAAAACATTGTAAATAATAATCACATTACTGCAGGACACTGCAGTCGTAAATGTGGGCCAGTGGCTGAGCGCCCAAAATGTGGACACATGGCTGGGGAGGGGGGCTGTCAGAACTTTGAATCTGAGTCATAATTAGTTTTTTGGAGAGGATCTGTCAAACAATGGCTAAACAACCAGTTGTAGGTTGAGGACTGGCAATACAGAAATAAAAACATTTTTTCCCCCTTGGACAAATTGAAGAGTTGCTCCCACTGCTGCAGTTTTCACTTTCCAAATTGAGTCACTTATTGGTGAACCATCTTGTACCTAAGATGGCATTCTCTTTTGCAAAGATGACCTTTATTTACATTAAATGTGTTCAACCCTCATGGAACTGAAGCTCATGTGTTGCTCTTTTGACTAAAGCCTCTTGGCCCCTGAAGACAACAGGTGAGATACGGTAATGATACAACAGCATGCTTTAAAAAAATTCCAGCTGTTTTCGTCCTTTAGGCGAAGATGAGGGATTAAAGTATAAATAGTCATTCTGAGCTTCATAAAGTTTTATTAATTTATTCAAATAATTTATATGGCTGCCCATCTCACAACAACAGCCTTTTACAACCTCCATTTTGCATCTTTTAACCATCAAATCAAACCATCATACCACTGTTGTCGTTCAAAATTGATAGTTGCTCTACTGAACTTCATTAATATGAATGGAAATGATTTGGAAGCCATTAAATCAGGGGTCTTTAAACTTGGCCCTTTTATGACTTGTGGACTTCAACTCCCAGAATTCCTCAGCCAGGCACATGGCTGAAGAATTCTGGGAGTTGAAGTCCACAAGTCATAAAAAGGGCCAAGTTTGAAAACTCCTGCATTAAATAGTGGCTAGAGACCACAAAGCAGCCAACAAACCCCAGGATACTTACCATTGTCTTATCTGATTAACACACAAATAAAAACAATATTGGATCAGGTTACTTGAAGCAGGAATAGTCTATCATAACATTTTCAATTTTCTTCTTACCCTCAATTTCTGGGTTTGTGCTGCCACTCCATTTGGATGCATCATGGCTATAAAAATGGGAACATCACCAAGAGGGCTTCCCACTCCTCCAGCAATACTGACTCCCAAAGAATCTGAAGGGCCCTGTTAGAATAAACACAAACAATGGAGAGAGATGGGCACTTTAGAAATAGGAAATATAAATAAATAAAAGAAATAGAAGTTTGCTTTGTTCTGTTGGTAGAGGCAGGTTCTAACCATGACAGATTAGCTGGCTTTGACTTAATGTAGAAGATAAATTAAATTCTAGGTCAGTGATGGCAAACCTTTTAGACACCAAGTGCCCAAATCGCAACCCAAAACCCACTTATGTATCATCGGGTGCCGGGTGGGCATGGCCATTGGGTGGGTGTGGCCCATTAGGTGGGCATGGCCCATTGGGTAAGCGTGGTTGTGGTGGTAATGGCAGACTGGGTGGGACTAAAAAGTTCAATCAATCAATTCCAACTTTGCAAAATCTTTTTTTCCTGCGAGAAGTTGAAATTGATTGATTGAACCTTTTTTTTTTGCACATGGCGGCGGCGGTCTAAAGCGAAAAGGTTTTATAAAACCCAGCTGAAGGCCTAGGACTGGGGCAATGGTGTGCGTGCCCACAGAGAGGGCTCTGCGTGCCACCTAAGGTTCTAGGTGTTAATACGGTAATCTACCTGTAAAACTCACAAAGTGAGACTTTATGCTCATTACATCTCTTACAGGGTACAGTAGGCTAAGCAGGAACTCTGACCTTATTTTTAAGCACCTTTTCAAAACCAATGGCCAATTTCCCTGACAAACCAAAATGGAGTCATGATTATTGCTAGAAGGAAACATGGAGGCCGTTGCCAGGAAGACTATTATCCAGCTTTCTTTGATGTGTCAGCTGCATCCCTATCTGCAGCAGGTACGATGCCTAACTCATCACTATTCACCTGGATGGCAATCACTTGGCATGGGGATACTTTTGAGGATCGTTAAGTGTTTTGAATTTATTACACTTTCTTTGGAAATAGCCTCCTCTTAGAAATCAGATTAAGGCCCCTCTTCGACTGCTTTCATAAGCAATCAAGAGTTCCTCCAGAGACCACTGAGAGGCTGAGAAAATACTATCTGTGCTTATTGTTTTGCTGCTTCATGTCTATTTAACTTAATTACTTTGTTTATCATGTATTGTCCAGGAGAGTCTGTATAAAATTTACTTCTGAGATATTCTGTATGATCAAAAAGAAAACAGATAAAGGTAATTCTTTTTTCTCAATCTATACTGGTTGCAGACGATTGGGGGGGGGGGGTTTAACTGATCTAAATAGCCTCCCAAAATGAGAAGTTATTTGAATGAACGGTTCAGGTTTTTATGTCTGTAAATGGAAGAGATCTGTGAGTGTTGCACAAAAAATTCTCCGTATCTTGGCTGACTTCAGCATGCATTAGCTTTTAGTTTGAGTCCTTCTTTATCACCAATATCCTTTGCATCTCATTAAGAAACAAATAAAATATAAATGTTTAAATGCCATTAGTACATGAAATATACCGTTTATTAGGAAATTTCAGAAAGTACTATAATTCTATAAAATCATGCTCCCTCTAGTGTATGGTTTTACCCACAACTTTAAGTACACTTGTTTTGTCTTGCAAAATCTGATATGTTACAATAAACAGCAGCTTCAAAAGCTGTCTATTTTTTTTAAGTAACTAAAACAAATTTCAGAAAGATTAAAAACATAATGCCAGTGGAAATTATAATTAGTATTCAAGTAATTTATGTACCAAAGCTTTCTGAATATTGTAATATTGAAACAGTACTATGTACCAGAAAAAAAATTAAGGAAAATGATTATCTGCTATTTCCTATTTATTATGTTTTATTATGTTTAAAAATGAACAACTGTTTCCTATCCACTGGATGTCAGCAAAACTGAGTTAAAAATACAGTGGATTTTAAGTTAGATTGAATGGGTATTTTCTGCAGATATTCTTTATATGGATCTTTTTGGGAAAGATTTTGAATAAACAGTAAAATCCCTATTTTAATGTCAATTTTTAAAGCTCAGCTCTGCCCACATCTTAAACAGGGGAACGTCTCCTTGCAAGTGCAACAGGGAAAGAATTATTCTCAATGAATTCCCAGTAATTCCAAGAAGTTATCACACAGCAGCCAGAGGATTGGTATGCCTGGGTGGATTTTGGACTGGGTCTTCTTGCCACCATACAATCACAGCAACAGTGAAGATATTCTGGCAGGGAGCACACTGGCTAGCCATGTATTTTACTTGGAGAGGGAACTGCTCATGAAAGCATCCAACTAGTTTAAGGCTGAGCGGATAGCCTCCATTCTTTCATAAGCTTATGCTGAACAGTAATACATCTTAAACAGCAGCTGTCAAGTTTCAGGCCTAAATCTTCTAAAATGGATAGGAACAAATGCCCCTTTATGACTTGTGGACTTCAACTCCCAGAATTCCTGAGATGGTGGGGAATGGAAAGATTTGCAAGGAGTATAAATCTTTCCATTCCCCACTATCCAGTCAGAGCTGGAGAAGCTTCTTGGATGAGAAGCGAAACGTCTTCAAAGAAAAAACAAGAAAGCCCAGTTGCCTCGTGAAAAAAAGCCATCTTTGGAATGAATCACTGCAGCTCTTAAGTAAGCGACATGGATGCCAATCTGGCTTCCCCATTGACTTTGCGTGTCAGAAGGTTGCAGATGGGGATCACATGCCGTCATAAATAAGTGTCAGTTGCCAAGCATCTGAATTCTGATCACATGACCTTGGGGGAATGCTGCTACAGTTCTAAGTATAAAAAAAAAACCCACCAGTCTTAAGTCACTTTTTTCAGCGCCATTATAATTTCGAATGGTTATCAAATGAACTGTTATACATTGAGGACTACCTGTAGTTGAAATCCACAAGTCTTAAAAGTTGCTAAAGTTGGACACCCCTGGGCTACACTGACTTATGACACATAATTGTTCAAAAATAGTTCAAATTCTAGCCAAAGCTACATCATGGATGGAGCTACTAACTTATCATACTTGATCCATTTCCAACAGAAAAAGTAGGCAATCACTGTGTTTGATTAAAGTGAACACAACTATTTGTGAACCTTGCCACTGAGGGTTACTTTTTTACGTTATTCACTCTAGCACACGGTTTTCATCAAAGGTAGTTTGTTTCTGCAGACAATGATTAAAACATCTCTACTTCTTGTCCCTGTGCTGCAATGGAAACTTGACTGGGAGCTCAAGGATTTAAGCATCAACACCTAAAGGCCCAGGTGGGATGACCACTTGCCTCTTATGCCCTCTCCAGAGCAACTGGGTAGCAGAAGAATCATGCTTCTTGATAAACAATTTCTATGGTTGAAAGGGGGAAAGGCAGCTTGCCTACTTTGAGCCTTTTGTACGTTTTAAAAGTTTTCTTTAGAAAATTCTTCTTCTTTAAAGTCGGTTTTTAAGATTGCTGTTTGTTTTGTTTTGCTAGGGCATGCACACAGCACACATACGCACACACACACACCCCTCCTATGCTATGTTTCAAAATCATATGAGGTTTATGAACAAACATCACCCATATGGACTGCCATGCAAATCATTCTGCATCCTCAAGGGAGCTGTGGGCTTTGTTTCCTGAATAACAGGCCTGGCCTGCTCTGTGATGAACAGGCTCTGAAGCTTCTCAAAATGAATTGGGTGGCTTGTAATATGGAGTGAACCAGGAAAGTACCAGATTTTATTTTTAATTATGTTAAAAAAAACCCTCCCCCCTGCAGAGGTCTAAATGTTCATATTATTGACAGATCTCTTTTTTTAAAAAAAAGAAAAAGCAATAACCATAATTCTGAAAGATAAAAGACATTTCAGAACAAAGTTTATATCATTCTTAACTAAGGGAACAATCACCCCAAAAAAGTTAGAAAAATATTTTTTTAAAATGTTAAATCACAGGATTAAAAGAGTGATGTTGTTTAGTATAAATTCAAACCTAGTCTTTCACTCAAAAATTTTGTTCAGCATAATTTCCCTCCAATGCTTTCTTATTTTATTAAATGTATTGGAACATACTTACCTTTTTTATTTCAACTGTTCTCAATCCTTGTATTTCAGATGCCACTATTAAAAACACAGAAATTACGGTTGTAATTTTCTATTTCAAACTGCTGAATTTTCATGCATTTAAAAATGTTTTTAGAGCAAGGTATCTATTGCTGAGAATACATAACAGTTGCTGCCTATTCTCAGCAACAAACAGTTACTGTTTCCAGGATAGACACAGAAAAATGCTTTTAGGTTGGTGCTCATCTCCTTTCTGCAATACTGTGAAAAAAAAAATTGATTTGGTTATTTTATAGAAATGCCTAGAGGAAATTATCATTTACTGTCTTTGAACCTCCACCTTCATGTGATCACAATCCGGATGCTTGGCAGTTGTCTGGAACTTATAATGGTTGCCATTTCCCCAGTCATGTGATTGTGATTTGTAACCTTCCCTGCTGGCTTCCCACAAACTAAGTTAATGGGGAAGCCAACAGGGAAGGTCACAAGTTGCTCAGTTAAGTCTCCCCCACTCAAATGCCAAGTCCCCAGTACCCTTGCCCCACCTCACTGGCCATCCACACCCCTTTGTGCACCCTTCTGGAGCCTTGTACTTCTTGCACTGTGCCCTCCCCCATTTCCCACCATCTCACTGAGCCTTGTTGAGCTTGCACTGTGCTCCCCCACCAACCATTGCTGTGCTTTTGCTGTATCTCACCCGTCACTCATGCATCCATCTCCACAGGCAGCAACTAACCTAAGCCTTGCTGTGCTTGTATTATGCCTTACTGCATTCATGCTGCACCTCCTTCCCAGCCTATGCTCTCTCCCCGAGCCTTGCCACGCTCATACCTTGACTCTCCCACCACTCGCAAACCCTTCTCTAACCTCCCTCACCCAGATGTAGCCATCCCAAGCCCCACTGCGATTGCACCATGGCTCTCTGGCCACCCAGACACTGCCCTGTACCCATTCGCACCCAGCAGCGGTCACGTACCTGTTTGCTAGCCTGCTTGAAAGATACCTAGGATTTGTGACTTCCTGCCAGCTTCCCCACTGACTTTGGTTGGAAGGCGGCAGGAAGCTGGAAGCAGATGCTCACTTAAATGCCCCACAATCCTTAACTACGGCAACAGAGACTGCAGAGACTGTCATCGCTAAGCGATGGACTCACACCATGTGATGGTTTACGACTGCATTGCTTAGCGATGGAAATCTTAATTGTAGCTGCAACTCGAGGACTATGTGTACTTATAAAAAAAATCATTTTAAAGGTTGTTCAAATTTTAGAACATCGCTTATTTTACAGCACCGAAATATATAATATAATAAATAATGTAAATAATCACTATTGAAACTTACAACAGTTCTTCTTCAGAGTGCTTTCGTAACTTTCAGGCGGGTTGGATCCACCAGCTGGGAAGCTGAATGATGTCAAGCTGCCGCTTCCTTCACTGACCTTAGAGAATTACATCAAAATTATTCTGGAATCATTGCCTCCTTTTAAACCGATATACTATCTAATATTTTAGCAACACACATAATTTTTCTGGAAATATACCTACCCGTTTGGATCCAGGACATGGTTTCTATAAGAGCAAAGATAAAAAATCTGGATCTAAAAATAATTCAGGCTACAATATTATTCAGCTATAACAGTGGATTTGGAAAATTGTCTGGCCTGGCTTAAATATTGAATACAGGTAGAAGGAAATGTATTCGAAGAAGCATTCGTGATTCCATGTGACCCATATTTTTTCCCCCCTACGGAACAGAGCTCTTAGGCAATTGTCCTAACTGGAGGTATTGTAAAGTCATTAGAAAGATGATGATCAATTCTATCCCCAATACTCCTATACCAGGGGTAGACAACCTTGGCTCTTTTATGACTCGTGGACTTCAACTCCCAGAGTCCACGAGTCATAAAAGAGCCAAGGTTGCCTACCCCTGTCCTATACCAATGTAGCTCTGAAGGTTTACTCTGCTTTAATTGTGATAGCCAAAATTATAAAAATGACAATTTAATGTTCAGTATGTTTGGTAAATAAATTCTGACATTCACAATTTGTGAAGCGGTTTCCTAAATATCACTTTTAAAAATATTTAATGTGAGCTGGTTCAACCAATTATGGAATTTAGTTGTGGGTTAAATTATCTTTGATAATATTCTACAGAAATATCATGGCACAACAAAATCGAATTTTTCCTTGTTCGCTAACTTTTATAATGTAGTAACTGGTTTGATCCCCCCCCCCCAATGAAATTAGTGCAAACAGTTACAAACCTGGCTACTCTGAGACAGTCTCCTCTCTGAATGGAATGAACTCGTCTTTATTCTTCCAACTTCTAGTTTAACAACACCTAATGAGCACTAGGAAGCAGAGATAATTGGTTAGATAATTGACTTGATCAGGGATCAATAAAGACATTTTTTAGTTGAAAGGAGACAGCCTGCCTTGGGACACAATTGTCAGTTGACAAATTTGCATAATTTGTATAACATGATCAATCAATATTGGGACTGGATGACTCAAACCTAAAATCCCAAATGGGCATAAATATTTCTCATGTTTCACACCTAATAAGTGAGTTTAAAGATTCAGTTTAAAGATCTGTCTATAAACATCATTATAAAAAGCTCACAAACCTGCCTAACTATTAGAACACCACTATTTGCAACAATTGTAACTTAAGGCATTTCTACCTTATGCAATACAGGTAATCCTTGAATTATGATCATAGATGGGACCAAAATTTCCATTGCTAAGGCAAGGTCGTTGTTAACTTGAATCATGCCACCAAATTTTCAACCTTTTTATCTAGGTGGTTAAGTGAATCACTGCAGTTGTTAAATGAATCATGTGGTCTTTAAGCGAATCCGGCTCCCCCCCATTGTCAGCCAGCTGGGGAGGTCACAAATGGCAAATGATCCCTGAATGCTGCAATTATCCTAAATACATGCTGGTTGCCAAGCGCCCAAATTTTGATCACATGACTGTGGGGATGCATGAGTTTTAAGCGCGAGGACCAGTGGTAACTCACTTTTTTCAGTGCTGTTGTAATTTTTAATGGTCACTAAACGAATGTTTGTAAGTCAAGGACGATCTATACTTGACAGATATTCTTAACAAACCATCTAAGTAGACATATAAAAAAAAAACCCACTACAATAACAATATGCATTAAGAGTAAGGCCGGAATCAGCTCAAAATCTAATTTTAAAATCCAACATCAAAATCTTCAACTCCACTATGACTCTAACAAAAAGTTATATTATCTCTTCTGTTAACACCATTAATGAAATTTAACCTCTAACGCCTGACTTATTTTTCCTTTTGACCACTGAACACACTCAGGCTTCCTGTGTTCTCCTACGAACAAGCCACAATTGAAGAAGAAGTCATTTAAACAGTAGCTTTTTTCAACTGGTAGGTACCCCAGTTAAAGTTAAATTTAAACAAAATATCATGTATCAATTTTAAAAGTGGTGAGTATGGTAAAAAGATTTCTAAACTAACTGCCCAGTTCAGTCCCTTCATCTGATTTATACTGAGAAACACATATCCTAGGACACAGCCGCATGCAGCTCTTTGAGCCTTCCCCTCTAGCTCCCAGCCTCCTCTGCCATTTACAGAGAGAGACAGAGACAGAGAGAGGCACTTGCACGCTCTCTCTCTCTCTCTCTCTCTCTCTCTCTCTGTGTGTGTGTATGTGTGTGTGTGTGTAAAAAAGAGTGGACTCACGGTATTCTCCGACAAGCTGAAAAGCTTATTTGGGCAGAGCTCCTCCCTTTGCTGAGTCTCTACAGGAAGCAGGAAGGGCAGGAGAGAGCTAGCTAGCCCAGCTATGCTGACTCAGGAATTCTGGGAGTTGAAGTCCATGAGTCATAAAAGAGCAGAGGTTGCCTACCCCTGAGCTTGTTGTAGAACAGCTTGAAGCCAGCTTGCCAGGTGAGCAGAAGATCGGAGAAAGGAAGAGACAGGGGGGGAGAGAAAGAGAGAGAGAGGGAGAGAGAGAGAGAGAGAGAGAAAGAAAGAGAAAAAGAGGGGGAGAGGAGAAAAAGAGGGAAAGAGAGGGAAAGGAAAGAGAAAAGAAAGAAAAAGAGAAAGAGGGAGAGAGAGGGAGGGAGGGAAAGAGACAGAGAAACCCTTTTGACATCTAAAATGAAGATAACACTGCATATATCCTTTTTTACCTTTATTATAGGTGTGTGTATATATGCATGTATGTGTGTGTATATATGTGTGTATGTGTATGTATGTATATGTATGTGCGCGCGCGCACACACACACACACACACAAAATAAAAGTAAAAAAGGATATATGCAGTGTTATCTTCATTTTAGATATCAAAAGGGTTTTGTGGCTCCCAGTGTTTTGTTTTGGTGGGAAACAGGTCCAAGTAGCTCTTTCAATGTTTTGGGTTGTCTACCCCTGTCCTAGGATTAGTATCACTCATGAAAAAGTAACAAAAAATGAACCCACTCTTTGTTTAGTTACTGAATTCTACTCCAGCAACCAGATTGTTCAGTGAAATAGTCACTAAGTGAACATGTGACTGAGACAGAGAAAGAGGGGGGGGGGATGCTGCTAAGATCACTGGCTGTTGCCATCTCATTCAAATAAAATTCTCTCATGCAGTTACACCCTTGTTATTCACAATGGCATGCATTATTGTCAAGAGCGTTAAATTTGGTCGTAATGGTTCACACTGATTGGAAAATGAATTTTTTTATTACCTTTTATAATTATCACATTTGTGAATGGTTGCTAATTGAGGTAGTCATTAAATGAGGAGTATACAGCCACTGTATACACTATATTAATAATGTTTTGCAATCCCAATATATTTATCTGATTTCATCAAAATAACTATACCCAAATCAAATCAAGGATGAGCAACAGTTGGGATTTCAACCAAATAAGATCTGGATCAGATTCTGAATTAATATATCATTTTATATAAAATCTAGTGTACCTTTAATAAGGCTGCCACTGTCTCCTGGTTAGCGTTTCGAACGTCTTCATCATTCACCATTAATATCTGGTCTCCTTGCATTAACCGTCCATCCAGATCTGCTAGACCTCCTTTGACAATATCCGACACAAACACCCCAGTGTCATTTCTGCAAATGCAATATTCATGCATGTTTGTTTTATTTAGTTACTTATTTCGACTTTTCTATACAGTCCTGTCGTTTGTATAAGTTGGTCTATAAACAGTGCAGAACTGTATATATTTGATGCTTAATCTCTATATTTCTAAATATGCACTCCAATTCACTGTTTTAATCATTTTTAAAATATTCATGAGGTTTATAATCATGTGAAATACAATAAAATACTAATGATCTGCTTTAATATTAATTTTATGTTTTTATAAATTTGTGACAGATTATTTCTACATATTTTATACATTTATAATATCTCTTTTTATAAAAATGTATTATTAAAAATGTATCATAAATTTGTTTAGTTAAAAAAAACCTCAGAAAGTAATTTGAGCGCCAGGATTATGTCATAGGCACTAAATAAAAAGTGCCTCTTAAAGCCCATATGGATTTCTTTCTATAACCATAAACACAAGAATTTGGCTTAGGGAGACACACCTGTATTTGGTTCTAGCAGGAAAAAAAAATCTTGTAATCTTCCAGTAGGGGAAGAGGGTGGATTGGCTTGTAGGATATGCCACACCTTAAACTGAAAGGTAGTGATAGGCAGACAAGGAGACCAGGTTGGTGCATAGGATACACAGAAGACAAAGGAAGAGTGGTATAAGGTACAACAACCTTGTCTTATTCACCCAAAAGACTTCAGACTTTTTCTTGTACAAAACCTAAAACAATCCAAATATTCTGGGTATCGGTTCTATTAGTCTATGACCCAACCAGAACAGTTTGACTGAACCTCTAAGGAAGAGTATCTGTTTCATTGCACAAAACAACACATATTGCCTAGTTTGTATGCACTCCTGATAAATAAATCCTCTAATAATCAGTTTTATTGAGTGGATCTGAAAATAATTCTTATTTTTATGCAGAAGGCAACTGATACAGACTTACTTCATAGCTAAGCAGGAAGTCAAGAACATGTCAAAACTAAACCTCTACTCTGTACACTTTGGTTGGGTTTGGACCAAGTTAACTTTACTTTTTAGTTTACTGGCATAAATTATATTTAATAAGTGTTTCAAAAGACCCTCTCTGTACCCACCTTTTCCCAACAATACTTAATCCAAGTCCTTTGCCTGGTTTCTTTTGTAATTCGATACTCAGTACATCATACATGTCTTCTTCTTTATATTGGGCTTCATCCCTGTAAACAGTGAGGCGGACTTTCTGTGGTGTCTGTCTGAGAACATTTATAGCTTCATCATGTGTTGCATTCCTTAGGTCAATACCATTCACCTAAAATGAATAGATGTCAAAAGCTGAATATGTACGCTAACTTACTACAAAAATTACATAAATCTCCACAACTTACTTTTTCTCCCCATCATTTCTGTTTCCTATACAGAAGGATACCGTAAGTTGTAAAACGTTCAATATTGTACCTCTAAGATTTGATCACCAGCCCAGAGCCTTCCATCTTTGGATGCTGCTCCTTCTTCATATACTTCATGGATAATAATGGCTCCCTGTAGATTTGAAAGATTCTATCACTCACTTTAACTTCATAACCATGTATCGCAACTATCTTAAAGCTTTTTCAATGTAGAAAGCACACACACAAAAATACATTAAGATTCAGAAACCTCTATGCAAATGTATTTTTAAATCGGTTTCGGGTGCTGCAATGTATTTTTAGAAACTAAAGATGGAAATGCATTAATAATAGGGAAAAATGGAAAAATGAAAAATGAGATCTTAATTTTAAAAAAAAGGGAAAGATTTCCTGTATCCAGTTATATCCAACTCAGCGTCATAGATTCACCCTGGGACCCCTCTCCAGATGCGAGCTCAGAATAGGAGGAGGAATTTGAGTTAGCAGAGGAAAAGGTGGAGCTGCACAATCACCTAGCTCAGGACCAGAGCCTGACAGAACAGTCTCAGCCGGATGGATTGGACAAGGGACAGGCTGAGGCTGAGTGAGGCAAGCTGCAGCGAATTAGTCAGGAGGTTCCAGGCGAGGACCGGGGGCAGCTGCTAACGGTTAGCGATTAGGAGGTGGTAGAGCCCACACCTCCTCCCGATTCAAGGACATGTAAGGAGGAGATGAGACAGGTGCAATGCTGGTGGGCTAGAGCAGTGTTTTCCAAACTTGACAATTTTAAGGCATGAGGACTTCAACTCCCAGAATTCCACAGCCAGCAACGCTGGCTGTGGAATTCTGGGAGTTGAAGTCCACATGCCTTACAATTGTCAAGTTTGGGAAACACTGGGCTAGAGCCTAGACTACTCATGAGGAAGCAACCTCACCCCTCATGAAGGGTCACACCTCGCCTACTTAATCCTGCCCAGAGGACTTGAGCGTTGCTGGTTCAACGTGCCCAGTTCTGTGCCTTGTGTGCTCGTGCTGTGTATCCTGACCCGTTGACTTGTGAATTGTTTTCCTGGACTTCGTGTGTACCCAGTGACCTTTGCGGTGCTGAGCTTGGAATCTGAACCTGTGCAATGTGGGTACTTTCTGAAGACCTATTTTGGGGGGGGGGGTTGAATAAACACCTTTTTGAACTCTCACTATAGGTTCATGCATGTCTGTACTAGGATCAGGGCGGCACACTTTAGAGGATGGTGTTAAATTTCCGTTTCCTAGCGAGAGAACCAGCAACTATCCGAAGACGATGCCATGGTCATGTGGCCAGCATGACTATATGCCTAGGCACATGGAATGCTGCTACCTTCCCACCAAAGTGGTACTTATTTATCTATTTGCATTTGCATGTTTTCAAACTGCAAGGTGGGCAGGAGCTGGGGAAAGTAACAAGACCTCACCCTCCCAGGCAGTGCTTGAATCTCCAACTGCCAACCTTCTGGTCAACAAGCGCAGTGTCTTAACTGCTAGGTCGTTGTGCCCCCCCTCTCCCTTGAGATCTTAATTATGTACCTCTTAATGAATATTACAAATCAGAACATTTTATATAACATTATAGAAATAATTAATACAACAAACGTTGTATTAAATAACATTACCAAGAAGCTTAAAATATGATAAAAAGAAGGAAAAAACCTAACATTTTAAAAACTTCAGTAATTTATGGATTCAAAAACATATAAATATTTAATACAACTAGGAACGAATAGGAATGAAATGTAACACAGATTAAGGTATTGTTAAGGTATTAGTACTTTATGCAGTTATGGATTTAAATTTACTTCCAATAATGTATTTAAATTCATTTATTTGAATCACTTTATGTAAGTCTCACAGTGTAATCTTACATCCACATACCTGAGGATAGGTGTCATTACATTCAATGGAACATGGTTTTTTGTGTTAGGAATGTTAGCCAGAGATTACATAGGGATTACAAAAACCATTTTTACCCACCAGTAATGTGTCAGCTCCTCCCACAATGCTTAATCCAAGACCAGTACGTCCCTTGGAAATACTGATTGTTGTTTCATAACCTGGGATAATTGGACAAGTGGCTGGGTCAGAAGCTAACATGGCTGGAGTTGAAGACCTGCTTGCATCTAAAAACACAAATTAGAAGAACTGGTTATAATCTGCGATTCTAAGATTCCTAGTTTGTTGTTTTACATCAAGAGTACTACTTTGCAAACCATGTTGAGAGCAGCTACCCCATAATGTGGGATTTATAAGGCCCATGGATATATGTCCTCGGTGGAATTAGGATATACCAGAACATCAACAACTGTAAGGTATCCGCTTCCTCAGTAAAGTTTTTATTTTAAATGAAAACCATCTTTGGGGTGCATTTCTGCAGTATTTCAGCAAACAATATTATAATAACGTATGTCATACCATTACAGAGCCATGTTTAACCATGGGACAAATTCAGTGATAATTTGTCTTACAGCTGAATATATTTAATGATCATACAAATATTTCTACTTAACTGGCTAATTATAAAGATAATTCTCGACTTACAACAGTTCATTTAGTGACCGCTCAAAGTTACAACAGCACTGAAAAAGTGATAGTTTTTTACACTTATGACTATTGCAGCATCTCGATGATCATATGATCAAAATTCAGATTGGCAACTAACTCATATTTATGACGGTTGCAATGCTGGATGTCATACAATCGATTTTTGCAACCTTCTGATAAGCAAAGTCAATGGGGAAACCAGATTCACTTAACAACCGTGCGATTATAACAACTGCAGTGATTCAATGAACAGATATGGCAAAAAAGACCATAAAATGGGGCAAAACTCACTTAACTGTATTGCTTAGCAACAGAAATTTTGGCTCAGTTGTGGTTCCCAAATTAAAGACTATCTGAACTTCCAAAGGCCAAAAAGAAGAAAGGGGAAGAAAGAAACATATTGATTTCTATATAACTTGCCTAAATCTTACAAAGGAGAACATTTGAGGTACCAAGTCAAGGACATATAGGCTAATGGCTGATTCAATAATTGGTAGGTGTTTATGGGCATACACGCACATTGATATGGATACAGTACAGTGGTGTTTTTTTTTAACATGGAGTAAATGAAAATTCTTACCTTTAATTAACTCTGGTTCTGGTGACTCAGATGATGGAACAATTGGTAATGGTTGGATATTGGTTCCCTCACTCAGCGTGGTGCTGTAAGTTGACAACGGTGGCTGAGGAACTGCCAGGCCTTCGGGTTCAACTGAACTAATGGTGAGTTTCACATTAGGCTTTGATGTTTTCAGCAAACTGATAAACTTGTTGAAATAATGAACAGATCATAAGAAAAACTTAATAAAATAAATTACCATGTAACAAACAAACATAAGGCTGTATAATATTCAGCAGAGGTATTATAGCTAAGTTGTAAGAGAAAAGCAAACACTATGTCTGTGAAGAAATATTTGACTGAAGGCCCATTTCTATAAATTTTTTTCCCTGCCAAGAGATGATTGCCAATATATCAGCTACAGAGTCTCTCTCTCTCTCTCTCTCTCTCTCTCTCTCTCACACACACACACAACACACACACACACACACACACACACACACACTCATTCATTCTTGAAAGGAGATGTTTTAAATGTTTCATTAAACATCAGTGATTCTTACCCTGATCAACAATTATCTGATTGATTGACATGTTCTCTTGGACAGGTGTCTTCAACGAGATGTGAGATAGGAATTGAGTTTTAAAAATTGAACAATGCTACAATCCTAGGCCCATAGAAAGTATCTAAATCCCACATGCACTCCTGTTCGTCCTTCTCCTTCTCTTCCCATCTTTTAGTTAAGAGTTGATAATTTATATTTTTATAATAGTGTATTTGGGTTATATGCATGTTTTATATAGTTTTTATCCTGTTTAACATATAAGCTGCCCAGAGTTACCCTGGGCATAAATTTGGTAGCTAACAAATCTAATAAATAAAAATAAAATAATCAAGTATTTCAGCTTATGACAAACAAATCTTCAAAAGCTTCCTAGGGTAGTCATTGCTCAGTTACCTTTTCTATAGGATAGCCCACAACGATTTCATCGTCCACTGCTAGAATTTGATCTCCAACCTTAATTCGGCCATCCTGAAATCAAAGAACTACCTTTAACTCAGGCCAAGGAGGAGGAAATGAACATTTTTATCATTTTTAGTGTCGAGTTTACCTTTCCTGCTGCACCATGATCTGTTAAGCTCTGAATAACTACACCATTAAGTGTATCTTCTTCACCAATAGCAATACCTATGCCACCTTGATCCTAAAGAATCACAAAGGACAACTACCATTATTGAAGAGTTTAACCAATGGTAAAATGATACTTTAGGAATTCTGTCTTTGCAAATTCTCCACAATTAAAGTTTAACCTAATTTTTTCAAACTAAAATACAGATAAAATTTAAGCCACCCTTCAGGTTTTACATTTTACAGAAACTTAAAAAGCATTTGGGAAATTTAAGCACATCAAACAATGTTCTCGTACATGCTTAGTCATATCAATGTGTCTCTGTGTGTAAATAAATACATAAATAAAATATGAGGCGATTTACCTCATTCGTACCGTCTGCATCAGAATGAAAGAAATTTACAGCCAGAAATTCATTTAGGTCTACAAAGATACGAACAGAACATAAATACACATATTTACCTTAGGTAGTTCCACATTTTGAACGTTCTTATATAAAGTCAGATCTATTGGTAAATTAGAGCTTGAAATGTTCACTTCCCCCTAAACAAAATAAATACGTTAAAAATATATTCACAATAGCTGTAAAAGAGACATGTTTAAATTTACTCAAAATATCTATAGGAAATTACTTCTAAATTAAAATTGTCTTTGCCTTGTGATTATTTTCAATGGAAAACATTATAAGTAACATTTTTTTCAATCACTAAATTAAGATGAATATTGAATATGCATTGTACCTCTTCGTGCTGACTCATTCCAGAAGATGAAGATGGCGATGCCACTGATTTACCAGGACAAATAGCCATCTGATGGATAGCATCTTTGTTTCTATCAAACAAAAAGTACAAAATTTTAATACTACAGAACTGGTGTTGGATGAGGTTTTCTTTAAATTTTTAATATCTAAATAATACTTCTTAATTTTTTTAGTAAAAAAAATATCTACTTTATTTATTTACTTATTTACTGATTTGGGCTATTGATCTCTATCTCATTCCAGAACGACTCTGAAATTAATATCCGCAATTCTGAAAACAGGTATATAATTCAAGAAAACCCTTAGCAGTGCTTTTGATGCCCTTCCCATTATTTGAAAGATGAACTGAGACAAGACTAAAATATTAAAATATTAAACGTTTCTTACCTGATAAAGATTATTTTTACTTTAGAAGGTGCACATTTGATGATTGAAGATGCATTCTGATGTGCTTTTCCATACAGAACTTGTCCATTTATCTGATCAGCATGGTACAAACAGACAATACACATTTCATTATTTCTTCTCAAACCAATTCGGTCATATGCAAAGCTCATTATTGTTATAATTTATTCAGTGTAATAACCTGTTAATTAATTATAACTGTTAATTTATTAATATTGTTCTTCAGTCACTCCATGGTGGATACTAATCCTGAATTCTTTATGTATTATTTTCCCGGTTATCAAAATTCTAACAGTTGTTGGTTTGTACTGGCCTCTCTCCTGAATTTGAAATGCCCTTTGCTTGATTGCAGTGGTTTGGCTGACACTGAGAACACCATCATGAATTTTCACTAATGATTCATAACTTATTTTTTGGCAAATGAAAACAAAGGCACGGAGAAGCAGACTAATAAATGCAAATAATTGCAAAACAATTTGTAATCAGACTAATTTATAGCTACACAAGAATGTCTGAATATTTTGCTTAAATCTCCAAGGTTAATCATCTTTAAATTAATGACACCAAACATATTCCAAAGTTCTGTGGATAGAACTGCTTCTGGCAGCACAAAGAGAAGAGAGCAATTCCTCTTCCCTACAGAGTCTGTTAGGGAGATTATCTTTGAAATATCATCCTGACTGTTCTTTAAGATTTTTTTTTTTGTGAAGGTGCCATTGTACACATCATTAATGTCCAAGGTATAATTTGTACACGCATATGAAATCTTTGGACCCACAAAGATTATTTTCATGCCCTTCTGGCTGCTGTATTCTATTTTCTCAAAGGAAGGAAGGAAGGAAGGAAGGAAGGAAGGAAGGAAGGAAGGAAGGAAGGAAGGAAGGAAGGAAGGAAGGAAGGAAGGAAGGAAGGAAGGAATAAGGCCATTTTATATAGTGACTCTGGACAACTTGTATAACAAACAAATAACCAAAGCAGAAAAGAGACAAAACCTATCTGGAAGAAAAAAAACAAACAGCTCAACAGCAAAAGCCTGGAAGAGGCTTACCAACTACTTTAACCCATGTCTGCGGAAGAAAAACAATTCTGGTGGAAAGAAGTTCCCTGAGGAACTTCCAACACAAGCCTGAAAGCTTGGAAGACTAAACCTCTGGTCCGAGTGACTGACCCAGATTGGATCCTGCAACTTTATCCTGGGACACGTATGTTTGCCTTCACTTGTAAGAAAAGCCATGTTTGGTGGAGCAATAGTTAGAATGCAGTATTGCAGACAAACTATGCCCACAGCCTGGAGTTTGATCCTAATGGGGCTCAAGGTTGACTCAACTTCCATCCTTCCAAGGTCGGCAAAATGAGGATCCAGATTGTTAGAGGACAATATGCTGACACTGTCAACTGCCCAGAGAGCGTTGTAAGGCACTAAGGGACGGTATATAAATCTAAGTGCTATTGCTATTTTAACAGATTTTTTAAACCAAGGAACACAAGAGCTATACAAATCTCTAGGACAGTGGTTCTCAACCTGTGGGTCGGGACCCCATTTGGGGTCGAATGACCATTTCACGGGGGTCACCAAACCATGCTGCCCACCATTTTTTTCCCTTTTCCCTAGCTGTCCTACTCTCTTATTGGTGGCCACACCCACTTGGGGGTCACCACAACATGGGGAACTATATTATGGGGTCACGGCATTAGAAAGGTTGAGAATCACTGCTCTAGGAGGACACCATTTCAGAGGATAAGCAAGAGAACAAAAGGGTCCTCTCTCTATTAATGCTCAAGAAGCAACCAAAGCTACAGACTTTGCATTTAGCATACAAAGTACCACCACCATCACAGCAACAATAATAAAAATCAGTCTCTGTATGCTATAATTTGTAATCTGTAAGTCACATTTTATAGTCTACGACTTTAGTTATAGTCCTGCCTTAGGCTCAAAGCCAGCTGGATGACTTTGGGTCAATCACTCTCTCTAAGAGGTGGGAAACAAGCAAAGGCAAACCATTTCCATAAAAAAAAACTTTTTTAAAGAAAAAGGACTAGTTATGTAGTTGCCAAGTGCCAAAACTGATTTGAAGGTGCAACTTACATAAAGAAGGGACATACCGATGAAAATAATGTTTTAATTAAACCCTACATTTTATACCCATTAATTGTTTTGAATTAATTGTTCTTCTGTCCTTAAGGTCAGTATATTTCATTTAAGTCTATTAGACACTTACTTCCAGTAACTCATCTCCAATCTGCAGCCTGCCATCTTTTCCAGCCGCTCCATTTGGATCAATGCCCACTACAAAGACACTCATTTTGGATCTGTCTTTGTTCCCAGCTAGGCTGAGTCCTAATCCAGTCTTCCCTTTCTCCAGTTCTATCATGTGCAGATCTCCTGACAGGTTGCCATACTGATGACTGATTTTCCCTAATTATAAAGAGAGCAAAATTCAAATGTGTGGCGAAGTCAAAATCGAGCTTGGAAAATTGTAAAGGAATGGCAACTTTGGAATTCAATAGTCCCAACATCAACTCAACATTATGAAAACAATTCAAGAATGAATATATGTTTCTATTCACTTGCCAAAGTTAGAAAAAGGCATGCTCCCAGCATTTCATTTTTAAAACAGGAAAGTGAGAATCTATCCATCATCCCTTCCTTCATTATAAAGATACTTTCTATATTTATATGCTACTTTTAGGAATATTTTTAATAACAATCCCAATCATTCCTGCGTTACACATGAAGCACAATTGTATTAAAGCCTTATGGCCCAGACTGAATGCTTACAGCACAAGGAAACAACAAAGCTGTTAGATGTGACCACAGATTCTACTCAAGCAAATTAAAGAAAAACTATTGAAAACATCACACTGCAGACAAAGAAGTTACTTACTCCAGCTGTATCCAAACTCATCCTCCTTATCCAAATCTTCCAGATGATTGTTAGAGGACTGCAGCACAACTTCACCGCTCATTGCTGGAAATACCGAAGGAGGTGGCAAAGGCAGATTACAGAATGATTTTTTTTCTGGCTCTGAATCTGACTGACTGGATGCCTGTGGGGAGTAAGGAAAATACAGTGTTTGAGAAGGCAGAGAGGAATTAAGGTCAGTCAAAATGCATGGGATGATGAAAAAGAAAAACCCAGGACTTTGAAGTTAAAATACACAGCAACAGTACAATAAAAAAAGCAAACAAGATGGAAACTGCAAATCATATTCGGTGAAGATGAATGTCTGTTCAGCCTACATACCACAAAAACCTTGCATGTTAGTTCCAAAACTGGACAAAGAGGAACATGTTAAGGAATATGAAGGAATCCTCTAAAAGATCATTATGTTCTTGATTTTGCATTGTTTTATATCAAATATCAAAAAAAAATGTCTCTGAAATAGTAAATGGAGGTGAAATCTGATAGAGACATTGCATTAGCCTGGATCAAGAGTTCTTCTTGGGAATCCCATGATGGATGGACAGATGCTATTATAAATAGTGCATACTATAATATTAAGAGATGGCAGAGAAGAGCTGCTGTGGAAAAGCAAATCAGCAGGAAGTATTTTTTAATTTGTTTTCACAAATGGAAAAAAAATGTTTTCTGTTCATGTTGATGGTTTTTAATTTGGTTTTATGTGGTTGTTTGTATTTTAACATATTTTACCGTGGTTTTTAATTTTGTGAGCTGCTCAGAGTCACTGATGCGAGATGGGTGACTGTATAAATTGACTGGATGATTGCACGAAGGAAGGGCAAAACAGATGCCATACATTAGCTGGCTTCACACAGACCGCATTCCTTCAATTGTGTACACTATTGGAAGTGCTTCTTATGAAAATTTTAAATAAATAAATAAAGCACTAAAAAGATGCCTTTTGCAGAACTTACTTTGGAAATTGATTTCCATGCCCTTAAAGAAAATGTGTGGAGAGGCCTTAAGAAATGAACGGAAATATAATGTCTGAAATTGGATAACTGCTGAGAAAGGGGGTTACGTCTTAAAAGAGACATCAATGTCTTTCTCCAATTAATACTATCAGATGTAAATTTAGTCATGGGAATTCCTGAATTCTTCATGGTATGGCATGAACATTATTTATGCTCACACTAAAGTAGCAGATATATTTAGAAGGCAAAGATGATGCCTCTGAAATTGTCAGAGGGTCAAAGTAAAGGATGGGAATGCAGAAATGTTAATATATATATAAGGATATATGCTGAATAATTTGACTTATTCAAATTAAGTGAAAACTTAAAATGAGTAGGAGCAAAGGGGTAATACGGGAAGCCTTTCTTATTTTTATAAGAACTCAAGGCTGTGAACATACCCAATACTCCTTTCTCCTCCTCCTATTCTCTCCAGAACGATAGGCTAGCTCAAAGTCACCCAGTCGTTTTCATGGCTAACGTGGGACTAGAACCCACAGTCTCCTGGTTCCTAGCCTGGTGCTTTAACCACTAGACTAAATTGGTCTTGTAAAAACCGAACTTTCTATTTCTAACTGAACAAACAACTCACTTACAATCAATCCAACAAACATCCTCTTTACAGTTGCTGTAATGCTAACCTCCAGATACATGAGAATAAGATTGTACCGTTAACTAGCTGTAGTCAATATTTGCTAGGTTAACTTTTTACAAGCCTAACAGGATTTGTGGAAGGGGAAAATATTTCTATCCATGTTTTGGTCAAAAGTTCCAAAGTCCAGTGTTCAAAAGTAACAGGACTCATTCTGCCAATTAACTCAGCTCTAAATTTCCCCTTTAAGTAAACCCAAATCATGTTAGAAAGTTACACTTAAAATCTGAACTTTTTAAAATTCCAACAAGACCTACCATCAGACACTATCAAAATTTCTCCTACCTCGATGCCATAATTTAGTTCTAGCCCACCCATTCTTTAATCAATGGACAGAGATGAGAGGGATGAGCATGATGGCCATATTTCAATAGGGAGAATATTCACTTCCAACAAACCACTGGCATATGAAACATTATTAATATTATTAAATGAGGGTCTAGGAAAGGAAGGGAAAAAAGGATACACACATATTCACCAAGTCCACCACAAACACATGGGCATAATCCAACCTTGTTAGTGTTGAACTGCAGAGGGTCAACAAAAGGGTTAGTGCTGCTGAAGGCAGGAGGCTTAGTGAAAGGGTTGGACTGCAGAGAAGACATAGGGAAGTTCTATAAAAAATATAAACAGAAAGGAACTTGCTAATCAAAACACACATATAATAGGGCACATTCACACATGCATGATCTGCATTTGCCCAGTAGCAAATGGTAGCTTACGTATAGATAGTCCTTGACTTACAACCAAAATTGAACCCAAAATTTCTGTTGCTAAACAAGACAGCTGCTAAATGAATTTTGCCCCATTTTATGACCTTTCTTGCCACAGGTGTTGAGTGAACTACTGCAGTTGTTAAATTAGTAACACTGTTGTGAAATGAATCTGGTTTCCTCACTGATTTTGCTTGTCAGGTTTCAAAAGATGATCACATGACCCACTGCAACCATCATAAATACATGCCAGTTGTGAAGTGCCCAAATTTTGATCATGTGACCACGGGGATGCTGCAATAGTCGTAAGTGTGTAAAACAGTCATAAGTCACTTTTGCAGTGTCGTTGTTAACTTTGAACAGTCACTAAATGAATGGTTGTAAGTTGAGGACTACCTGCATGTGAAAGTGATTATACTGCAAGTACCATACAGAAATAGGGATTTCTTCTTAAACTAATAGTTTAATACTGTTATTCGTTAGATTTTTTGAGCTTTATGAATCATGAGAAAAATATTTTTATGCTGAAATTTTCCTAATAAAGCAAAAATGTTCCTCTGTTGTTTAAGGTGATTGTGCCATCCAGGATGTGGATAAGCCCTTGGATTCACCTACCTGGGTAAATATGCACATTTGTTACTTGTTCTGCTCTGACTTATTAAAGTGAAGATCAAAACAGATTCGTTAAATAGAATTTTAGCACATTTCTTCAGCGGGGATAAAGACTGCACACTATAGGAACAGAGATGAAGAAAGTAAACTCAACGAGGTTAGAATGAGAGAATGAGCTCATTCTACGACTCCGTATTTTTCAGCAAATAATATATTTATAGCTTTAAAATATAGGAAACAGACATTTTATTTGCCTCCCATTTTGGGGGGAAAAAGCGTGAGAGGGAAGGGCAAGTAATAAACCTGATAGCCAAAACTACTGGACATCTTTCTTTTTTTTTAAGATTGTTGTTTATTCTTACATTGTACTTTTAGGGCAATTTCTTACAATGTTTGGAGTGCTGTTTTTAAGACAAGATGGCAAGCAGCAATTCAACTGGTAAGGTTCTAGTGCCTCACAGCTAGCATACACCCCAGCTTATCTAGACATACATTCCATTCTCAAAAGAAATACACTAACAAACATATACGTGCTCTACATCTGGTGAGAACGTTGAGCCCTCAGCCTCTTAAAAGGGATTCGACAATGCTTACTCTTTATGATGCAGAAGACAACCAAAAAGCTCCAAATAGAAACTTTTTATAAGAAGTTTATTGCTGCTGATATACAACAAAGGTCTCTGAACAAATCAGTCCACTTTACCTCAAAGACTGAATTAAAATATTTCTCTTTATTTTCAAGGCAATACTTTTTGGGGGGAGAAGGTCAGCTTTCAGATAACAGGCCAGAACTGTTGTTGTTGTTGTTGTTATTATTATTATTATTATTTTTAAGAAAGGCAGGGACATGTCCAGCAATTGCTCACTCTTCCCTAATCTTTTTATCCTTCATTAGGAAAGAAGTTGATCATGCTGCATTTGAATAGGCTACTGGCGCTGTGAGAAAGTGAAGCATAATGTGCACTACCTTGAGCTTCTGAACAAAAGGTGGATATACATCTAAGAAACAAACAATTTTTTTAAAAAAAAAATGTATGCTAAGGTTGAATTTAACACAAAAATGAAAAAAAAAAGATCCAGATAATTAAAATGAGCAGGGGAAAAAAGCTTAGCTGCACTTATATAGAAAAAAGCAGACAGCATTATTTGACATTGCTTATATTATATTAGGAACTGCAGTAAATAGCAGTTTATCCTCAGGTCACTTTTGGGGACTATCAACATTTAGCTCAGCTAAAGTACTTTTTTCTTTGACTCTTTTATTGTGCTGCTGCCCAAGACCACCTAATGTTCTACTCTGAACTCTACAAATTCATATTATTACATGAAACTTCCTTCTCTGTGCTGCTCAAGTAGGCCTTAAAGAAAGACTTCTGCTTCACAGCAGAAGGTTTTAGCCTTGTGTATAAACAAGTTTCAGGAAATAAACCAGATTATCCCTTTCTTCAGAGAATTGAACAATACATATTTTTAAAAATAGAAATCCCTAACTTGAATAATTTCAAGATGCCTTAAACATGTCACATTTCATTGGAACCATTAAAAGCACATATTGAAGGTAATAAAAACTGAATGATAGGATTACAAGAGACATGCATGCAGGCAGGCATTAATCATTCCTTATTTACAAAACTCTACCAAATATAGAACCTCTCTCTGATTCGAAATAATCAGAAAGCACCCATAAGCGTTTATGTAACTCCTTTCACTAACAGTGCTAGCTCAAATTTCACAGGCAGATGGGTCCAACAAATAAGATAATTTCTGTTACTACAATAGCTCTGAACCATCATAAAACAGCTTGAGCATTTGTTGCACTCTTGGTAAATTACACATTTAATGCATAAACATATGTAACAGAATAAACCACTTTTATTGTGTATAAGTAAAATAAGAATTGTTAATTGCTAAAATTTGTTGATCAACAGAAAAACATTCATATCCTTAAAGCAATGCTTTAACTCTTCCCAATGGATGAAGAAGTCATCTATGCTGGTGAAGTTACCTTATTTTTTTTATTATTTCATGACGGTGACTACCAAAATAAAATACAGCTAGCTTTCAGGTTGATTGCTTATGACTAAACATTGGAAATCCCCTTAGAAGCTATTAGGATTTCAGATAAAGAGCACAAACTAAAGGCACCATTTTTACATCACCAACATTCAGCAAGCAAATATATTTTCCCATGCCACGGCAAATTCACAAGCTTCTGTTAGTTCTGCATACAAATCACCAACATTCAACAGAATTATCCATGCTATTTACCTGTGATGACTGATGGTAAAATGGATTATTAAGTTTCTGCCCACCAGGAGCAGATGATGCTAAAGAGCTATAAAGAGATATTGGCTGGGAAACAAGAGTTATGAAAGACCCAGTAAATCAAACATGCGAGTTACACAAAAAAAATAAAAAATCTACATACAGGAAGTATAGTTTCAAGGGATGCAAGCAACAATATTAAAATGACTATGTAAAGTGGCTGAAAGCCATATCCTTTTATGGAGGGCTGTTCACTGATTCTGCACTGTGGACTTCTCTCCCTCCAAATTTATGCTTAAGAGCAAAATGAAAAGTACAGGAAAAATTGCAAGGAAAAAGGCGTTATATGGGCAACCACATAATCTTTCAAATATATAGCCTCGTATGGATTGCTTAGCCTCTGCACAGATCCCAATTCCTTTCTGGCAGGAATGACTAACAGGGTGGAAATCAAAATGGGATACATACAGATGTGAAATAGTAACAGGATCTCAGCTACATTAGTAATATTATGTTCTCCAGAGCAACAGTGCAGAAAAATCCTCAAAATCTTACTCTATCATTGATAGCATAGGTGTCCAACCGTGGCCACTTTTAAGACTTGTAGACTTCAACTTTTGGAATCGGACATCCCTATAGCATGTAAATATTTCATGAACTTTCTGAACGATTAAACAGGATAGCTGTGAAGTGCAATTTCCTGTTTCCAATCAGAAGTGTTTCAGGCTACCACAAAATCGAGTACTAACTTCAACCTCAACTAATTCTGCTCTTAGCTTTGTAGATGATACAAGATTTAGGAAGCAAAGCCTCAGTTCTGCTCAACTTAGCAAAATTTGGGATAAATGTTTAACTTTGGATGCATATATATGGTTCTACATATTTTTTTTTCTTACTTCGTACACTTACCCTTGGTTTGCTTATAATGCTCTGTACCATGAAGACTACCGGGTTGCCTGCTCTTCGAATGGCTTCCACAGCTTGCTCATGGCTTGCATCTCTGAGATTTATTCCATCCACCTGAAAATGTAAAGCCTAAGATTAACATGAGAGTACACGTAGCTAAAAATAAACTTCTAAAAATTATACCTATTTCTCTATTTTATATAAGCAAACAAACAAAACTCTGTAGCCAGTCTCTTCTAAATTTCAGTCCCTCCTATGCAGTATGTCATTATTTAGCAAGATCGTATTATTATGCATGAACATCGTCAACAGGCTGCAATACTCAGGATATACTAAGAGAGTGGATGTTATTATTGTAAGTTATAATTTAACATTGTTTTTTTGTCAGGGAATTTAATCTGAGTTTTTAGTGGTTCAGATATGGAGCTTAAATTAGACTCTGATTTCACTGGCTGTCCTTCAAACATAACATAATTTTAATTCTTGTTTGGAATCTAGGATGATCTTAAATTCAAGACTATCAGTTTTGGCATAAACCTGGCATAAATTTGCATTATTAACATATATAACAAGGGTAGTGTAAAATGCAGTAGGATAGAAGAATATGAAGGGTTCTTCTGAAAACTCAATGGGTTCTATACATCATTTTGTATGAGAAATGCATTTTACTCATATTTGTCCATTGGTCTCTAAGTAAATGTTTCAGAGTCAAAATACATGGCAGTGGGCACAATCTATAAAACACCTTTGGAAATGAATGATAAATAATTCATCCTTTCAAATCAAGATTGTGTTTATGTGTTTCACTGTTGTAAGCACATCTCCAATTAAATAACATCGGTTATTTTTAAAAATGATATGGCGCTATATGATATATTTATTTTTTATTAATTTATTTTAAACATGTCCACCATCTTTCAAACTCTGGGCAGCTCCCAAAAAAATCATTTTAAAAACTATGAAATATTTTTTTCAAAAAATATTCTTATAAAAGATTCTTACAAAAATAAAGTTTTGCTCAGAAATGTGCAAAAACATTATTACATTCCAAGACAGAGATGGGGAACTATGGCCCCTTTAGGACTTATGGACTTCAACTCCCAGAATTACTGACCCAGCATGGCTGGCTCAAGAATTCTTGGAGCTGAAATCCACAAATCATAAAGGGGCCATAGTTCCCCACCCCTGTTGTAAGCCCATTTAAAAAATGGAAACCAACATAATACCTCCACAATTCTATCTCCTGTTTTCAAGGTTCCATTTTTGCCAGCAGGACTGTCTTCAAGGATGTGTTTGATGAAGATTCCTCTCATAACTTCACCATTGTTCAGACGACTTCCCATACCTCTTCCACCAACAATGCTGATTCCCAGAGACTTGCTAGGCTCTCTCCAGAGCTCAACCCTGCAATGACAAATCAACAAAAAAAATGTATTGACTGAGGTGCATTATAGTCAGGAAAAAAGGGTTTTACTAAACAGGAAAAACTAGATGCTTAAAATTAAAACAGCAGCATGCTATAAGGCTTGTTCATGAGGAACATTTTATTTAATTATTTTTATTTATTCATTATCCTCCCTTTATTATTGTGGTTGACTAATTAAAAGTCATTCCCACCTTCCCTCCCCCTGTATATATGGCTCCCTCCTTCTCTATCTTGTGTTAATGATTTTATTTTACTTGATTTGTCATTTTATATCTCATGACTTTAATGTTTTTATGCTGTAAGTCAACCAGAATCATTTGAACTAGATGGGAAGCGAATAAATTTCTTAATAAATCACTGCAATTGTTAAGTCAATAACATGGTTGTTAAGAGAATCTGGCTTCCCCATTGACTTTGCTTGTCAGAAGGTTGCAAAAGATGGCTCCATGGCTCCGGGACACTGCAACCGTTATAAATAGTGCCAGTTGCCAAGCATCCAAATTTTGATCATGTCACCACAGCTGCAAGGGTCATGTGAAAAATGATCATCCATCTCTTTTTTTCAGGGCCACTGTAAATGTGAACAGTCATTAACGAATGCATTCTCTTTTAAAACTTTCAAACTGATCAACTGGGCTCAAACTCTGAAACACACCGTCTTGGTTGATTCCAATTACTGTAGCCTGTGTTCTGAAGCTCACTTTCTTCTCCTTCTCCTTCTTCGCGTTCTGGTAGTTCTGGAATTTCTCTGCATGTAAACAAACTTTACTCTGTATCAAAAGAAATTATTATTTTCCCCAGAACAGGTCTTTTAATATTTGGGGACATGTGAAAAACTTGACGAACCGGTAAATTAGCACAATATATCTTTTAAAAACCTGTAATGAACAGAAACATTCATTGGGGGATAATAATATAACAATGACAACAAGATGGATGCAAATAAGGCAACAATAACAGTAAAGGATCATTGGATGGAGAAAAAAAATAAGACCAGCTAGACCAGTCATGAAATTATGCAAGGACAGAATAAATAGATTGATACATCCTGAGATTTATCAATGCAAACAATATTAAAACTTAGATACGAATTCATAAACATCAGTATTATTTGCATATTGCCTTGTTTGTCTTTTTAAATATAAGCCATGTGACATTGGCTGAGATCAAATATCAAACGCCTCGATATACATGACCAAACACATTTCCAATATTATATGGATATATGGAGATGAGGTTTGTTTGTTTTTTTAATGGAAGCTTACTACACTTTATAGAAGTCAGATTTTAAAGAACAAGTTTTTCAGAGGTTTGGAGGAAGGTAGACACTGGAAAACACAGTCTAGCGAGTTCCAATGAAAATGGGAAATACGAATCTTTACTCTCTAGCCATAATCTGATATAATAGGAAAAATCATCAGCTCACACAACAGGATTGCTTTCTTTCACTCTTCCATACAGCCATCTGAAAGACCTCAAAAATCTGCTCAGGGAGAGTTCCATTTTTTTTAGAGAGAGAAATTATGAGAAACATACCATATCACCATATTCCATCCACAGAATTTTCCAAGGAAACATTTCTAATTAATTAATATATATTTAATTTATAGGCAGTCCTTTTAAGAGACATCTTGCAGAGTATCAACTAGATTTCTTTTCCAGTACAAAAACTATATCTCACTTAATTTCAGACTAAATCATCTATTGGGCTGATGACAGTGCTTCCCAAAACACAAACCAAGATTAGCTTAATAAAACTTTTTGTTCACACTCTTCTTCATGTTTCGATCCATATGTGGAAGAAATACAATTTTTATGCCCCAGAATACCTTTCATGCTTTTCAAAGACAGGAGCCTCCATTCGGTAATTTGGGATTACATCGAAGTTTCTAATACATCTAATCTGAATGTGGATGCTATGCTAAGCCTCACTGTAATTTGCATGATTTTAATTTAGCATACTGTATTAATCCAATTAGGCATTTATGGCTAAGCATAATCGGTAAAAGCAACTGCAAATCAAGGCTTAGTACAATACATGAACCAGGACATACCATCTGTTCCACTTTCATTGCAGTGCATAAAAAGGAGCAAGGGAATGTGGGCAGGTATGTTAGAAACTGCACACATATTACAGGCCATTTAGCATGAATTCACTGTTTTTCTATATGTACTGAAGAAAATGGGGAAGGGAAATAAGGTGAAATGAAACATATGGTGTCCCTACAGAGATTAAACTAGGCTTTATAATTATCTAGTTTCCATAAAGTGGAACAAACAATGAATTTACCTAATGATGCTTTGGCTTTGATATATCTCCTCATTCCCTGCAGCAATTATACAACTATGCTAATTACTTACGTTCACAGTAACAACCCATTACCCCTACCCCCTACCCCCCCCCCAGTAAAATGATATCTTGGGCAATTTCAATGGCGATTAGGTTTGCAAGATCCCACAGAAAGACCTAACTTATCTCCCTACATCTCATTTAAAGTAAGTAACAGTTTGATTATTCGAAGTGGAATTGTTGGGAATTTATTGGGTGGTTCTTTCTAACAGATAATGTCAGGCAAAACATCAGTGTGTGTTATGTTCATCTCAAGTCAATACAGTGTGAACACTTTCTGAAGTTCCAGCTTAACTAGTAGCCAGGACATTGCAGAAATGTTGATAAAATGGACTTTGCATGAAACAGACCAAATTTTGGAAGTGATTCACATCACTCGTATCAATGTACATCATTTGAATAACATCATTATTATTCAAATAAACTGATGCAGTTACTTCATTTGCCTAATAACATCATCATGCGATGAATAAAAGTAGTTCCAGTGATATATTCTCCAATTTAATGAACTATTGGCAATAAGAGACACCCCCATTCCCAGTCATACTGTTAAATTGATGGTCAATATACCATAAATACTTTGGGGTACAAATGATAAGCCTGCATATTCCGTTGCCTGCATTTAAATTTTTTTGTTCCCTTTTCTAAAATAAATACTTATAAACCAACGTTCCCCTCTACTCCCACAAAGAAAGAACAAGCACATTTGTATTTTTCCAATCAATATCAATACAGTTTTTCTTCATCCATTCATGGATAGTGTTTTTAATGCATGGGTGGATTGAATTAAAGCAAAAGGAATTGTTTTTATTAGTAGTACAGTATTCTAAATTACCTCACAGTGTGTGAAGGGAAAACATCTAATGGCATTGTTCCTTCTGGCTGCTGCCCTAAGTTGGCTTGGTACTCTTCTAATTGCTCTGCTGGCACATAGCTAATGCTGCAACACAAAAGTAAACATGAAATTAAAAGCTGCAGATGTCTGGATATAGTTCAGTATTGAGCAACAGAGATTTTTAAGGCTATAATTCACAGTGTGGCATTGCACAAATATCTTCTTCTTAATCCAGAAAGCCTCCTTTTCATGTATTTGGAATGCACCAAATGCAAACCATGCAGGTCAATGTGTATTGCACTGCATTGCATTACATACTGTATTATATTATAATAATATCGTATCAGTTATAATGTGCTTTCTGTGCTGTGAAACAAACACATTGCAACTTCACTGTCTAGAAACAGTGTCTTTTCCTTAACTGAATCTAATAATGTTTATTTTTGATTAAAAACAATCCTCTAACTTTCCCTCATTCCTGAATCTGGAAACCTTGAGCAAACATCTATTATTCCTCCTACCAGCTAAGAAGTTCTGTAGGTGACTTTTTTATTTTTCAAATCAAACTGGTAAAGTTTCAACTTTCTTAGCGAATGGATAGACATAACAGAATGGATATCCAAAAATTTCACTATAATTTCTGTGAAGTGAGGAATTTAAAGCTTCCTGTTTTACACTGTTATTAATTGTTAATTGAATTAGAAATTTTGGTGACATTTGGTAATATTTTAAACAGCTTTATTGCTATTTTATTCTTTGGACTTCAGCTTGGGTACTTTGGACAGGCAATGAATAAATGTGAAATATTTGTAGATACCAATTTAAGCCAAAATATCCTCTCTTTTCTATGAAGGTTATCCTCAGATTACGCAGTTCCTTATAAAGGAAGCAAAGTATTAGTTAGTACCCAAGAGACATTATGACACATATTGAAAGAATATCATTCTTTTAAAACATTTGGTATTTAAAAAGAAGCAAAATGCAACTAGGATAATAGTGAAGGAGACTATGAGCTTTAAAAAGTTATGAATGAAAATGACATTAAATTAGTATCATTCAACAATGTTTTTACTGGTGAAAACAAACCAAACCAAAACAAATTAAAAGTACTCTCTGGCAGCTCAGAAATAAAAATCATTACACATAGTCCACGTTTACTGACTGCCTCCTTTTACTTTACAATTAATCCTTACATTTGTGAGCTTTGCAGAACCTTAAAGCAAAGGGAAACTGAAATGATCATAACCAACAGCTGTGGCTTTATTTAGCAACCACTTCATGTAAAGACCAAGTTGCCAATCCCAATAGTTGTCATTAAATAAGAAATACCTGTATTATTAGAACTGCATTTCCCTGCAGTATATAGGATATTCATTGTAACTCCCAAAACACTCAGCTTAAGCAGGAAATAGCTGCAGAACTGCCAAGCAAGCAGAACTGCATTCTAATTCTTGCTGGCTGAAAGGAACTATAGAAAGAAGGCTCTCTATTAAATGAGAAATTTCAGAATTCACAGCTAGCAAGGCAGACACTACTAATCTAAAGTGATCAAGGATTAAACTGATTGTACATTGATTCTTCAGAAGGTAGTGAAGACGAGAGTAATTTTCATCCTGCACCAACTTAAAATGAGAAGAGAGGGATGTAAATATTATGTATCATGCAACAAAGAAATAAACCACATGCATGATTTAATAGGCGGAGATGTTTTATGTATACTATGATAGGAAAGAAACCAAATAAAGAAATTTGTGATCACATTTAGAATAAACCACAGTACCATTTTAATAATGAAGTTAAGATTCGTTTAGTTACAGCGTAGGGAAAAGAAAAGGTAAGCACTACTGAAAATACAAGAGTGAGATTAATCCAGACATCAGTACATGGCTGTGTCAGTGATAAGTAACTTGAAAACATAACAATACTTGAAGAATGCGCTGGAATTTGATGCTTCCCATTATATAAATGTTGAATCTTTCTTAAACTAATGGCAATTGGGCAAATAGTAGAATACCCAGACATATCAAATCTGAAAAGCTATATTATAGCATCAGAAATATGAAGGACACTGGGATTTCTAAACTGAAATGGAGTATCACAATCTGGCTTAAGAAGAGCTGAAGTACTCCTTGAAAATCAAGCAGCTGTGTTCCATGTATCCACCACTGTAAGCTTAGCAGTGTGAAAAGTCCATAAACATTCTTTCTTCCCCTATTCCACAGGTGCCAAATTCGTGACGTATCGTCACATATCGCCATGTTTTTTGCCTTTGCGGAGCTGGGGTGGGCGTGGCCTGCACGTGACGCATCTGGCCTGTGGGCTGCCAGTTTGACACCCCTGTCCTACTCTATGTTGTAACTACGAGATGAAACGGGTAAATGGGGAACCTCTGAGTTACCTGTGCTACAATTATCTACAGAAACATTGTTATTGTTGAGGAGAAAAAAAAAGAATCCCGAACAAAAATGGTGGGACATTGAAATAAAAAGCTAATAAGAGCTATCAAGAAGGTAACTTTTTTCTAACAAATGTTGAATAAATATGTATCTTTTAAAGAACTAAATAAAACATGACTTCACTTTTAATCCAGAAAATGCTGTGTCCAATTTTAACCATCCACCTGTAAGGGTGGAAACAGCTTCAAGATATCGGTTTCTCTGATGGATACATGGAGGAAATATGGATCCCAAAGAAACAGGGATATTTCTGCTTTGTTTCTACACTATGGATGTTTAAAGATGGATTTCTCTCCTTTTTAAATCAAAGGAAGGGAATTTATCCCTTTGCAGCTCCACAGCTTAGATGACCTTAGTTAATGGACAATTAGGGTGCCTTTGGATCTAGTAGATTAATAGATTGGCTTCCCAGGACATCTCCTGACTAAACCCTGGCAAGCAGATTATCTGATGTTTCCAACAATGGATTTTCCTCTTCAAAATCCAAATTTTCTCTCTGACCGCTGAATGGAAAATCTAAGTATCAGTCTTCCTTTAAAATTTAAAGGCAAAAAGGTGCTTCAAAGTGTGTAGACGGACACATACAATTGCCATTCTTTAAAGCAGCCAACCCTTTCCCCAGGATCTCACATATACTGCATGAGCCTAAGAAAAAGTTGTCTTGATTTAAAGAGCTGCAGGCCAGTACATCATCTTGCATGCTCTGAAATATCTTTTTGTTTTCAACTCCAAAGATATGCACAACCCATCATTCCCCACAAGACTGCATCCTAAATAATTTACAGCCTGCATTTCTTTGAGCATAAGTCTCAAAGGAACACAGAAAGGATTCTATAGTATTCCCCTATCCACATATTAACCGATTACTTAGGTACAAAAAGAAGTTGGAAATTTGATTGATATTTGGCAAACAGTGTTGTTTGAGAAATAAAATGGGTTGCAAAACCTGAGTACCTCTAGCAATTACTGAATTATAATTCCCAACATCTCACACCATTGGTCATCCTGGGTGAAGCTTGAGAGTTTTGCTCTGCAAGTTCCCTGTTCCAATCTAAACCATCAACCTGGCTTCTATAAACTTATCTTTAAAAGATGAATGCCATGTTTTTAACCGATTAAAGCTATATTCATCATAGAGCTCCAAATATACCTACAAATTGAAGGATTTGATATAGTTGAATAATTAATCAGGTAATCTTATCTAGTAATAGGTTTTAATTGGGTGAAAGCATCTGTGTGTCTGTGTATATTATGCAGTACCTATATCTGGATATATCCCAGCTACTTCTGATGTTATGAAAGCATGAATGAATGAACAGACAAGTTGGAACACAGAGCTATAATGAGCTTTTGAATCGCCAATACTCACACATAAAAGGGGGCCTGATCATCAGCAGGTGTTGGAGAAGATCTAGAATGTGAAGCATACGACGCAGCATCTTTTTACAATAGTGTTAACAAATGTCAGTGACTTCTACTCAATGAGAGATGCATACACACATATTTAAAAGTGTGCATTCCTGCTTACTTTCCTTTTCCCCCTCTCCACCTCTATTCTATCCACACCTCCCATCAGAAAGCATCTGTTCTTTATTGGAGTGTATAGCAATGATGATTAACAAGCATGAAAAATGCAACCGCAATCAATCTTTTATTCCTTGATCAGAGATTCATCTCCACACGTTCGGTTAAGGCAGGTGAATTCTGAATCAGCTCTGTAATTATCTGGCAGATGTTAGAGGCAGCTGTTATAACTACTGCTAAAAGCAAAAGTCTCTAAATATTGTTAAAGAAATGTAAGGTGCAGGGAAGAAGGGAAGACACACATATCCTGATGATGCTATATATCTGCTTTTCTGTTTAGGAAAAAAAAGCTTTATATATGAAGGGAAGGAAGGAAGGAAGGAAGGAAGGAAGGAAGGAAGGAAGGAAGGAAGGAAGGAAGGAAGGAAGGAAGGAAGGAAGGAAGGAAGGAAGGAAGGAGAGAGAGAGAGAGAGAGAGAGAGAGAGAGAGACTGACTTAAAATACAGTTTTCTTCCTAATATTTGTAAAAAATATACTGAGAAAGCATAATTCTTCTGTTTTAATTTTATGTATCATAATTTCTATATTCACCATTTTCCACTATTGAAATATTTCTCAAGTCACCTGAGGTAATAGATCAAAGCTTAATTTATAAAATTCCAATGTTTTTTTCTAGTTGATCTGCCTGAAAGAAAATTATGTAATTTAAATCCCATGCAAATACTATCACTGTGTCCTCCACGAATCCAGCAAATCCATAGATTCAAAAAGGTGTTAAATGCCCTTTTGTCACCCAGATCAATATACAATTCTTTCTCACTGTAAAGCTACTATTAATTGGAAATAAAGGGTTGATCCTTTCTGCCGTTTGCTCCTCCCATTCATCTAACAAACTATTTTTCCCCCAACATGCCGTAATATTCCATCAACTCTCTCCATTGCTTAGACATTAAAGGTGAATATTCTTCAGGTATACTAATTGCATTGCTGGTTTGAAGGAGCAGTTGCTAAGCTTTAATTTTTAGAAGGCAATTCAGGATTTAGTTTAATAATATTTTTTAATCCAAGTTCAGAGTTTTTTCATTTTAGTTACATATTTGTAAGATTAAGTGATACGGGCAAACATTTTCTCCCTTATGGCAAATGGCCAGCAAGTTCCATGTATTTATTTGAGCCCATGAAATTACATCAAACCAGTGAATAGGATCATCAAACTACCACACTGGGTTGCAATTTTGGAATTCTCATCTATTAGCTGGTTGTGATTCACAGAAGACATTTCAACTTCTTCCATCAATGTAGAATCCAGTTTAATACTGAAACTTCATTAAAATACTGAATTAATGGAATTAAAAAAAAACAGTCAACAAGTGCAGTAACAATATAATTGATCCGTACCATTTTTGAAATTCTACCAATCTATATGACATCCAACTTACTTTATATCCGGTCCAATGACAGAATGCCTCCTTAGCATGGCCCGTGCTTGGGCACTAGTTAAATTAGCAGTAGGTTCCTCATTAATAGACAATATACAGTCTCCAATACCAATTCGTCCATCACGATTTATGGAACCACCATGGATAATGCTGCGAACTATCATTCCCATGCCATCTTTATTAGAACTTACTGTCATCCCTTACAGGAAAAAAAAGTTTAATGCTTATAAGAAATACGGGAACATGGAAAAAAAACTAATAAAAACTTTTACAAAAAAAAAAGAAAGAAAGATGGGAACAATATTGGTATCTGACTTGATCCTACACTGAACATTCATTTTCTGAAATTGTTTTTATTTACACGTTTATCTGTATTTCTACCAATATACTCATACTTCCACAGATTTTTTTCATAATAACTTGAAGAAAAATTAGTATCTTATCAGTAGGATCTGAGGAATCAGCATGCAAGATATGCCTGGCAGGTCAAAAAACACTAACTAGAAAATTTTCACTAAAAAAAACCTGGTAACAGCTGAGGCTGACATATTAGATTATCTCTTCAGGTCTACAGCTGCCTCCATTGCATAAGCTCACGGTTAAGATCAAAAAGATGATAAATTCCTAATGCCTTCTCTTCTGTTTAAAAAGCTACTTAATTAAATGAGATCTGCCTTTTTTTTACATATGACCACAAAGAAAGAAGTGGAAAACAGAAAAGGAAAAGGCAATGAACTTATTTTTAATTTAATTAAAAAAAGTGAGCAGAGAAAAAAGGAAGACCAAGATGGGATAATGTTGAAGAAATTACATAAGATTTGTTCTGAACAGGAATGAATTACAAAGCACACAAGTGAAGGATTTCGTCATTCCATTATTTGAATATGGCCAATATTTTTCTCCTTCTGATTATTTCCAGGATAAAAAGAATGTTAAAATTCTCCAAATAAAAAAGAGTTCTTAGGTTTTGCATCATTATACTAAGAAAAGCTCATGTTACCATAGTTTCAGCATTGCAACTATTCTTAATTTTATTAGTAATTAAACTGCTTGGACAATTATATCATGCCCCAGTTACTAAAAATAGATAATTAGGTTGGAGACATTGATGTATTGCCTAACTATAACAGATTGATTCTCTCCTGACTCTTCCTGCCTTTGTATGGAAAGGAAAATCTATAAACATGGTTGCTATAATTATAATTATTATTGGAACCATATATAAAAATCTTTGCTTTTTGATTAAAGCAACTTAAAGACTAATATCTACTTTTCTTTGAGGAATAACTAGGCAGAAATAAGGATCACAAGAATAAAGATGTGTATAGTTACATGAGCTACATTACCTAAGCTTGAATTTCCTTTTGCAATGATAATAGTCTTCTCCAACTTGTTTTTATTTGTATCTAGACCAGCAGGCATTAAGCTATTATTTCCCATCAAGAATACTTGATCCTGGTAAGAAGAAAATAAGAGTCATTTCTGGAAAATTTAATAGGATTTTGTGTAATTTAAAAATCACAGTCTGCTAGACAGTCTGTATATTTGTAATGTCCTTCAAGGAGTTTGTTTCTGTTCAAAACAAGTGAACAACAAAAAAGGTAACATAGTGGTTTACTAAAACAACTGCGCTGAGGAAATAAGAATACCTTTCACAACTGGCAGCAAACAGACATACAATATTTTTTTAAAAAAAAACTAGACTTGGTGACCTCCAAATGCACATTGCAACTGTCAGGGTTCCATGTATAGAAAGTTGTACAAGTCAGCTGACTTGCTCTGTCATACAATCACTTTTGCTCCTTTTTGCATATTCCATATTAGTCTCCAAAAATGGAATGCTTTTTTGTATGCTAATGAATCTACAATTTCACCTCTCTCTAGAGATCCTTGCAGGATTGTTACATACGGTACCCATGATTTTGTATTGTACAGCAAAATATTCTTGAATAGCAAGTGCTATGTTGAGTCACAGCTCAATTTTAGAAAGCAAGCTGTGCCACAAATTAGTGCATAAAATCCATACAACCCCAACTTATGTTGCATTTGATTCTTCTAGATCAAAAGGCAGAATGACCAGGAACAATACCTGGGAAACATCCCTACCTTTAGTCCCCTTTGATCTACTAAATCTCTAAAAATGGTGCTTTTTCACTAATGCATGTAATGAATCCTTCTGGGAGAATCAAGTGGCAATCTAGAACTTACTTTTGTAGAGTGTGAAAATTCGGGTGGTAGCTGAGATTCTCTCCAAAGGCTTGTGCTTTCGTGTTCAACTTGTTGAGATTGTGTTGCTGGATTCACAAGAAGAGGTTCTGTGATCTGCTTCATATATCCACCTGCAGGTTTACTCTCCATCTCTCTTTGAATTAGATCCACTGTGTACAAGTTTTTATCTGATGACTGGTAACTGAGTAGGTCACTGGAATCATCTTTGAAACCAGTCTAGCAAACAAGATAACAAGAATTCCAAACTCATTCTATTTCTAAAGTTCCATTTCTTCCTCTGGAAGTCTAAAAACCTTTCCCATGTATACCTAAGAATAACTAGTTTACATTCAATGTGCCACATGGTCCATTTTTATTTTATATAATTATTTTTATTGGGATAAAGTGATAACTATAAACACTACCAGGTTTCATGAATGAAGGGAAATATACGTGTTCCAAGACAATGTTGCAGGATTCCAATCTGGTTCAGTCACTAGGACCAGAGGTTTAGTCTTCCGAGCTTTTGGACTTGTGCTGGAGCTCATTCTCAAGGAACTTCTCTCTCACCAGAATGTGACACAGAGAAAAGTTTCCTGAGGATGGGTTCTACCACAAGTCTAAAAACACCACCACAAGTCTGAAAACTGGTCTGATGACTGACCCAGATTGGATCCTACTACCAAGTTTGATGGTAAACATTTTCTTTCTATTCTGATGGGCCACAACAGAGTGATTTCAAGAACATGAGTTCTTTATCTTGTATAAAACTGGATTTGTTGCAGAATATGTTTCCCAGCATGCACATTAATTTCTAATTTCATTAACTATTGCAAAGTTGAACAATGCAATCTGTCTCATTGGCACAGGTATTTGTTTAGTCTAAGAAATTCTGTTAGGAAATAAATTCTGGCCATCACACCTATGCTGTGCCAAGAGAAATAAGATTCCAAAAGAAATAAAGCCAGCTTATAAATTTCAGTTGTGAAAGAAGAGCAACTTTTTTCAAAAACAGATCTGAGTTACTTATAAAGCAACAAAAGCACAATAAAAATCAAAAAAATAAAATATACAATCCATTTCAAAAAATGAACTGGCAATCCAGCAGTGATCCCACTATGAATGTTAAAAGAAATATGCAGAATGATCCAAAAGAGAGAGAGAGAGAATCAGAAAAAGGAGAGAAAAGCTAACATGATAAAAAAATTAAGAACATCAAAAGTAAAAAAAGTATTTAACCCAATTTTTGACAAAAGAATTTGAGCGATCTTTTGAGCAATGATTTTCTAGCGATTTAACAATTTTCTTTAAGAAAATTAGTTTTTAATGCTTGAACTTTAAGCATGTAGCAATCATTTTACTTACACGTCTTTCCATAAATGGCTTGTTATTGTTTAGATTTCTTTGAACCATGTTTAGGGGCACCCAAAATTATAGTAAATGGTCTGCTGAATACTGAAAAGCTGAAAGTTATTCAATCAGCATAACTATCTAAATGAAATTACTCTTTAATCTAGTAAAAAAAAAAAAAAAACTATGGACCAATAGAACCAACTGGCAACATTACCTTCATTATCTAAACCAGTGGTTCTCAACCTTTTTAATGCCGCGACCCCCCATCGGTCGTAAGTCGAGGACTACTTTCAAAAGCCAATAGAATAAAAGGGAGTAGCACAACTAAGGAAAAGGGGGAAAAGATGGTGGACTGCGTTGTTTGGCGACCCCCGTGAAATGGTCGTTCGACCCCAAATGGGGTCCCGACCCACAGGTTGAGAACCACTGCTCTAAACAGACATTTTCAAAAAGCTACTTTATAGGTATGAACAAAGTGTCTTTCTGCTCACATCCCTGCTCATATCTTTCCCCCATAATTTTACCTTGGGAGTTGAAGAGGGCAGAGAAAGAGCAAGCTTGAGATCATCATCACAAATGCCACTATGCAGTGTTAAAGCTGAAGACTGGAATGTACCATCATTATCTGGAGAACAATCCGATTCCATGGTAGAGTCCTCTATTATATCTGCCTCACCTGAGTCCACCTAATAGCAAAGGCAATTCAATCAAATGGGTGACTTTTGTATCAGTTTCAAATACAAGCTTCAGTGGCTAAATAGTTCTAGCTAGTTTCCTTTGTAACGTTTTTCTTTTCGATTCTCCACAGCAGAATATGTTGGTTTGCCACAGGTTTATTTCCATTCACACCTTTGGATGTCAGATCATGGATAGGCAATGACTTTTATGTGAAAATATTTTAACTTATCATCTCTCTAAAACAAATTATATTATGTGTAGCTAATCTTTGACTTACGACAATTGAGCCCAACATTTCTGTTGCTAAACAAGGCACTCGTTAAGTGAGTTTTGCTCCATTTTATGACCTTTTTTGTCCCAGTTGTTGATCACTGCAGATGTTATGCGAATCATGCAATTATTAAGTGAACCTGGCTTCCCCTATTGACTTTGCTTGTCAAAAGAAGGCTGGGAAAGTTACAAATAGTAATCACATGACTGTAGGACACTGCAACTATTATAAATGCATGCCAGCTGTAAGCATCCAAATGTTGATTATGTGAATGTGGGGAAGCTGCAACGGACATAAGTGTGAAAACCCATCATTTTTTTCAGTGCTGTTGTAACTTCGAACAGTCACTAAACGAATGGTTGCAAGTTGAGGGCTACTTGTATTGTTCTAATAGGCTTAATTTTATAATTTAGTCTGAATAATTAAGTGAATTATTCCATAAGCTTTAGTGTGTGTTTTTTTTTTAAAAAAAGTTATTATTCCCAAAATATATTACCATTGCTCATTACAAATAAACTAACACACATTGTAAATTTATACTCAGTATTATTGCCTTCTCAGCACATTTTCATATAAGCCTAGCATTATAACAATAAAATCATGGGATTCGGTATCAATTCTATGCATACAATTCAATTCAGTTCAACTCGGAAACTAAAATCCGATGCATGTTGAATTTGTGATAGGCAGAAAAATAATCAAATTCTATCTTCAATAAAAGATGAACTTTAACAAAAAAAAAAATCAAGGATCATATCCCAAACTAAGTAACCTTGTGATAGAATCCTTCAAAGGTTTCTACAATAAAAACTTTTTTAATAAACAGAACCATTGTGAAAACACCAAGTATTTTTCCCATATTTCCCATTCATCTTGACCTTTCTAAGTCAACTGTGCCTCTCAGCCTTTCTATCAAATTAGAATGCCTATTTGTAGAATTCTATGTAAACCTTCCTATATTTTTCTGTGAAAGTATGTCATGATACGATTCAAAGATATATATATATATATTTCCAATTCCTGCAATACATTTAAAACAAAGTAGTTTGTATCTTATGTAAAGCTACTCATGTCTGTATATGCATATTATGATAATGAACTATAATACCTCCAAAATCAAAGGGTGAAATATTTGGTCAGCTCAATCCCACAAATGGGGCCAATATTACACAAGATGAAGTGACACTGGTGAGGAAGTAATAATCTCAAATTCTTTATATAAACTTTTAAGGTGGTCTTAAGGTGCAATCTTAAATTTCACAAAAAATGCTGACTGGAAATCATTACATATAAATAAAAAAAAACCTGTCAGCAGAATTGAAAAATGCAATCTAAAGGAAAAAAAAAAGGAGTGGAGGGAGGAGGAGGCAATAAAAGGAATGAATTGCATGCATCCAGACCCCAGCAAGACTAAGGTGACATCTGCATATCACCACAAAGATGTGTATAATCCCAAGTAATTTTCAATTTACTAAATCCCGTGAAAAGATATACATACATTACATGCACGCGGGCACGGGCACACACACACACACACACACACACACACACACACATTCGCTTCCTCCCTGTTCTGAGAAAGCAGAGGCTTGGATTTAGATAGATTACTATTAAAATCAGCCAGGATTGGGCCATTTTACCTATTAGATTTGGATTGACATACATATATATATATATATATATATATATATATATAGCAGACATGTCAAACTTGTGATGCCATTGCTGGCAATGGAGTGGGCGTGGTTTCCTGGTGACGCATCTGGCCCGTGGACCAGCAGTTTGACACCCCTGATATATAGAATCTGTCAAAGGTTCATTCATCATTCTAGCTTTTGTGGGTTTTTGAAGATTGCCCAGTATCTCAGCTACTATCTACAGTATATCACTAGATTAGAGCATGGGTGGGTAACTATGGCAACTCTACCACCTGAGGATTTCAACTCCCAGAATTCCAAAAAAGAACAAGTAAGGGTTTTTTTTTTGATGAGCTGAAAAAGTATGTGAGAAAACTGAGAATATGAAATAAGAGAAAATACATCACCTCCTGAGGTTTTAGACATTGCCAAGTTTAAATGGGCAACAGCATTTGAATACTATCCTGCGTTTACACAGAGTTCTAAGTTCCAAGAACCCTTGAGAGAAATTGCAGAGTCCCAAGAAGTAATTGGAACAAATGGCTGGAGCCATAATTTCCTTATATTATAGGATTATACATATGCATGGTTTCTCATTTTAAAAAATAATGGTTTGCTTTTGTAATTTCCTTACTCTTTTTAATTGTACATTATTCGGAAGGCTTCAAGGAATTTTTTTTTAACAAAAAAAAATGTTTAAATATTTAGAGAGTTTAACTTTGGCACAGCCTTGTCTTCTTATAAATACAATATTTTGATATAGTTGTGGATATTTTTTTGTATTACCAAATAAACAACCATCATGCAGATTCAAGGAAACCAAGCAAGAAGTCTTTTAAAAGATCTGTTAAACACAGTGTTTTTCAACCTTGGAAACTTTAAGATGGGTGGACTTCAACTCCCAGAATTCCCCAGCCAGCAAAGCTGGCTGGGGAATTCTGGGAGTTGAAGTCCACCTATCTTAAAGTTTCCAAGGTTGAAAAACACTGTGTTAACATGTTAACAGCAGGACTGTTCCTGTATTGTTCCTTAACAAAATACCGTTCAAAATTAAGACATAGAATAAAAGACTGACTATAGACTAACCAGAGCCAGCTCAGCATGGAAGAGGGCTGAATCAGCTAGCCCTTCCTCCTCAAAGGACTGGGCAGTGTAGAAAAAGGAATCTTCCTTAGCAGAAACATAGCCCTCTTCTGGTGAAAGCTGCAGAAAGAATGAAGCTCTTGAGTTGGATGATGGCCAGGGAATAGAACATGCCATGTAAGTAAATACTAAGAAAATTTTAAATGAATATAAAGATTAGGAAAAAAAGATATCTAGAAATCATATTATAGCCGTCAAACCATGAAATGATTTATAGGGTTGGGAAAAAAAGAAAGAAAAATGAGATGGCAATAATCATGAATTTAAGCACCACATGGTTATGTACCTATGTGCTGATATTTGACATGTTCTCCCAGACCAGATGATAAATTCTGTCTCTCTCCTTATATTTCCACTGCCTGATTTCCAATGCAGTTAAGCCTCACAAACTAGATTTAAGATTAAACTAGATTTAAGCCTTTTCAGTCATACCAAGTTTAAATTATACTTAGTTCCTAACACAACATGCAGATTCCACTGAAATCAGTAGCACTTCTTCTTGTGATAATCATGATTGGAGCAGATTGAAAATCACGTTTATTTTAATTTTTTTACCTTTCTGGCTTGTGAATTTCATAGTAAGTGACTGGGAAACAACAGCTTTCACAATCTTGCCATGAATGTTGAACCCAATTTCAAATGAATGATTTTATTAAGGAATTGTTCATTCCAATACAACTAAAATATTCTCCTTACTGACATCATAATAAAAGTACATTACCTAGATCCTTTTCTGTTGGGTTTGAGGTTGGATTATGGAACTGAGATAGCATTGGTCATAGTTGTTGATGACCTCTGGTAAACTCAGAATATGGATTATATATCCATCCAGGCCTTGATCCTTGATCACAGAGACCTTCAATACCTCCTGAATCAGATTGGGCTGATAATGAAGGGGGTAGGCACAGTGGCTTTCCTCCTTCCCCTAAAGCTGGTTCCAGTTAGAGTTGGTACAGAATAAAAGTCCAACCCATGCTTTTTCTGCCTTTTCTTCCTGCCTTTATTTAGCATCTTCATGAAAGCTCTGAGTAACTCAAGAGCATTTATTTGTCCATATAAGTAACTATCATTAATATGCTATACATCTTTGCCCTATCTATCACTTGGATAACTTTAACAATCCCCCAGTGGTTGGTGTGCAATTTGAGGGTCCTTTTGGACTCATAGGTCCTGCTCAAAGAGCAGGTGGCAGCCATGACCAGGAGGGCCTTAGCACAAGTCTATCCATCATGCCAGTTGAGCCGCCTAGATCAGGAGACTATCACAGTCACTCATGCCTTAATTATTTATCTGGATTACTGCAACAGGTTCGAAATGGGACTGCTCTTGAAGACCATTCAGAAGTGGCCACTTATTGAGAATGCAAGGACACATGTGTCGAGGTATAGTTTAAGGAACAAGTATCACCCATAAAGCTCTGGGTGACACAAGGCAGGATACTTATGAATCTACCTGCTTCTGATAGTTTCTGCCCATTCCACCAGACCTCAGAGGTCCCTTTTATCAAACTGAATGATGTGGTTGAACCCAGGACATGTGCTTTCTGTATCACAATGCCTGTCCTATGGAATAGCCTCCCCTCTGAGCCTGGAATGGTCCCCTTCTCATAGCCGTCTAGAAGGCCTTGAAGAGCTGGCTTTTCTCTCAAACACTGGTGCCAGAACGTGAGATGAGCCCAACATATATTCCATTGCGCATGTTTTAAGGTAAGTTTTATGGTAAAAATTCTGCTTGCAGCCTCAGTCACATTGTACTAGATTGTTTTTATTTTAGCTTAGTTTAGTTTACATTTTCCATACGATGTGGTTAACTGATCAGAGTCATTAGAGTGAGGTGGCCGCATAACATAATTCTTTAAATAAATAAATAATCATCATGCCTACAATAACTAATATTTCTGGCAAGCAATAATTGTGAAAAATGTTTTGACTGTGTTTAATTATCAGAGAAACAGGCTATAGATATGTAAAGTGATTTATATCCAGAATTAGAAAGGAACATTCCCTTCCTTTGGTTAGAACACTTCTTTGGTTCTTCAAAGCAGCAATTCAATGGGCAACCCCAAAGCCCTGGGTGGCCACTGAATCATTTTTTTGCCATCCTCAGAACCCCCGAAGCCACTGCTGTTGAAACGTGATGGCAATGTTTTCAATTTCTGAATGGAAAATAGGGGCAAACTTTAACAATTCTTCTGAGCTTTCACTGACAATAAACAAGCAGCCAAAAAAAGACACCCTCTCCCCAATTCATCCAACAAACCTTAGTCCCAACTGCATTTGTGATGAGACTCATTTACTTTGCAGTGTTCCGTACTCTTCTGCACTACCAAGGGCATCCTTAGATTATCAAACACTGCATACCTCTGTGCAAAGATGGCACAACAACCAGGATTTAGCCAGAAAAAGGTGGATGTGAATGTCAATTCTTCCAAAAAACAGCCCTCAAACCAGCAACAAAACTTACTGCCTTGCTGATTCAAGGAATAAGTGAAAGCATTACTCCCAAATTCTCAGTTCTGTTCACTATGGATAAAATGCTGCCGGTTAGGGATAGGAAATTTACAGATTATGCATAGAAGAGGGTTTGGCAACGTATAATTTTTGCATGTATGCAATTGTGTAAAATAAATCTGCAAAATATTACTATATAGATACCAAAGTTCCTGAAGTATACACAGTAGATAATTAATATATTCAATATTTCAGTATAAGTATAGCCATTTTTTGCTTATACTATATTACAACAAATCAAAACATTGTAGTTTGGGGTGTTTAAAATATTTTTACTCTAGGTTTCTGGAAGCACCAAGTGTCTGCTCTCTGTTTGAAATTACTGTGCCAAAAGTAACTGATTCCCAAGCTAAACTTATTACTTTGGCTCAGAATAGGTTTTTATTGAGTAACTGCAATGAAACTTCAAACAAGAATAGTTTGAAGATTCATTGCAGTTACGCAATAAAAACTTAATAGTTTTGTAGAACAAAGTGATGGTGGGCTGGTTCCCAGAGCTTTATTATTCTCTTGATGACAATTGTATAAAATGAGAGATTTTGCAAAGGCAATTTGCAGGTAGAAATCTAAAATGGCATTTTATTACCTCACAACAAATGTCAGTTTGCCCATTCCTGATGTAGAAAGTCCTACATCATTAAATAGCCCAGAGGTTTATTTGCAAAGTACAAAATCCCACTATATTATAAAGCAAGAATTCTTACAGGCAATGGTTTGGCGACTCCTATTCTCACCATTCCCAGAGGTGCTCCTTTCAGGGCCTGCACAGCTTCCTCCAGACTACCATTTTCCAAGTTGGTCTCATTGACAAACATAAGCCTGTCTCCTGGGAGGAGCCTGCCATCTTGCTCAGCAACGCCCCCAGGAACAAGAGAGCGGATCACAATCACTGTATTTGCGGGGTCCACTGGGTCCTTATTGAAGGAGAAAAGAGGGGAACATGAGGGAAAAAAATGTTATTTACTTTGTATTTATTCATTCATTTCCGCAGCGCCCAACTCAACCAAGGAACTCTGGGCAGCCTACCATTTTAAAATTCAAAAATAAATAAATAATTAAAAACAACTTTAAAAACATTCAAACTACAAAAACATCCACCAAAATAAATAGGTACAAACAGCAGCTGTGATGATTCATCTGCCAATAGTAAAAAGCCAAGTAATAAGGCCCTTCACACATTCTGAGCCCCAGGCCCAGGTAGATAACCAGGTTTTTTAAAGCTTTGTGAAAGGCCAACAGGGTAGGGGGCTATTCTAATGTTCTAGGGGAGAATATTCCATAAGTCAGGGGTACTGCAGAAAAAGCCTTTCTTCTAGTTCCTGGTAGCCAGCTCTCTTTGGCTGATAGGATCTGGAACATTCCCAATCTATTGGATCTGAACAGAGATTTCAAACAATGATATGGTTGTTCTTTTTCCTGATCCTGCTTGCTTATAGAAAGATTCAGTTGTCAAGCCACTACTTATGAAAAATTAAAACCTAATTATGCATTATGTAATCTTGCAGAAAGACTGCAGGAAGCAACATTAAAATCAACTTCTAGAATATAAATAAATTCTTTGCATAAAGATGGCATTAGCAAACACATTTCAGAATCTGCTCCACATTTAAAATCTCCTCAAATTAGTGCAAAAAAAGAGTTGAAAACCTGGCAGTATTGCACTGTTAGACATGTCTTTTTTAAAAACAAACAAACTACAAAAGTACCTACTAATACTATTACTTCTATTGCTTTCATTGTAATAATTGCAATAATAATGCATCCTGCTTTGTGATAATGCCCAGCACAGTCCCAATATTAATATTTTATGTGTTTGTTTGTGTTATTATCGTATCCATGGAATAAGTACTACTGTAAGATCATTTCTCTTCAAATTTCAGATTCTCCTTAAAGAGAAAGACTGAGAAATATAACAGAGCGTTAATGAAAGGTGACCTCGTAGTCATACCACGCCTTTTCTCATCTAAGAGATCAGAAACTATCCCCAATTGAAAATGAATACCTTGCAAAAGTATGAAACGTATAAAATAAGTTTGACCAGTTTATTTAATGATGTAATTCTACTGGAATGTTTCATTTTTAAGGCTTCAATGCATAAAATACATTCTTATATTAGGGAATGCAGAAATTACCTGATAATCCAATATGCTAAAGCCAAGACCCCTGCTCCCTTTCTCCAGCTCAATTTGTTGTATTTCTGCCTCCCACATTGCCAGGGGAGATCCTTGTGCCTCTTCAGTATTCTGGCTTAGATCAGCTATTTCCAGCTTAGCATCCTCTGTCTCTGAAGCACCAAGGAGTCCACCAAGGTCTATACGAGACTAGAAAGTTAAATATGGTTACTTTTTAAAATAAAGCTAAGGAAAATTTAAATACGGATTGTCAATGGAACTGGAATAAATGGGAACTGCTATTTAAAGAGTCTAAAACTTATTTATTTTTAAATGAATTTTTAATTAAAGTTTTCCAAAACACATAACAACTGCAGTGTTGGGTGGGTGGGTGGGTGGGTGGGTGGGTGGGTGGGTGGGTGGAAGGAAGGAAGGAAGGAAGGAAGGAAGGAAGGAAGGAAGGAAGGAAGGAAGGAAGGAAGGAAGGAAGGAAAAATGTAGAAAGAAAGGAAAAAGCAAAAAAAAGAGAGAAGCTTCCAATTTCCTTTGCAGCAATTATAAGCACATTTACAAAATTCTTTTACTCCATGATTACAAATAAAAACCTTAACTTTCCCTATATTTGGTTTTTTCTAATCATCAAAAACACCATAAATCATAAGTACATTTTTATGTTTTATGTTTCATGCAAAAAGTCTATAACAGATTTCCAGTCAATTGTAATTGTGAAGTTTTTTTCCTTAAAGAGGTTGATTTAATAATCTCCAGAAGCTCTATCATCTAAGAGTATACACTTTATGTAGAGATGTCTAAACTTATATGAACATAATAACTTGAGCAAAACTACATGAAAAATTTAAAAAAGGCTTTTAAATTAGATTTCCTCAACCCAGTTCTAGCCATCTGATCAAACTGTCTCAACTGGGAAAAAAATATTTATCTTATTACCTTACTCCATATTTATTTATTTGTTTAATTTATATAGCCACCAGTCTCACAAATAAGAGATTCTGAGTGGCCTACAACAAAAGTAAACCAATAAATATCTAAAATCATTAAAGCATTTAAAAAACAATAAAACAGATAAAAATAAATTAATAAATGAAGGTTAACAGTAATGGAGCCACTTCAGTAGTTCAAATCTTTTCTTTGAATTCTCTACTGCAAGGAAGAATGGGGGGGTCTGTCAAGTTTCTCCTTCAGTGTATAAATCTTTATGTTGAATTACCTGCTCTATCATGTGGGTCTCATCCAATGCTGTCTCAATCACAGGTGGAACTGCACGACAACAGACCATTCTTACATTGATCGGAAGCTCTTTTAGAATATTGACAACATCCTTGTGATTCTCTCCAAGCAAAGATTCTCCATTTACCTGTCAATGAAAATAAGGACCTTTATAGAAATAAGGAAAAGACAGAGAGCAAGTAAGAAATACATGTATTTTCAAACTGGACATGGGATTAACTAAAGTTACCATATTAAAAAAAGATACCATCTGGTTTCTCCACAATACAGGTGGTCCCCAATCACTTTTTGCAAACTTCTGACGATCAAAACCAACAGGGAAATCAGTTTCACTTAACAACCGCGTTACTAACTCACCAACTGCTGTGATTCGCTTAACAACTATGGCAAGAAAAGTTGTAAAATGGGGCAAAACTCACTTAACAAATGTTTCACTTAGCAACAGCCATTTTGGGCTCAACTGCCGTCATTAAGTTGAAGACTACCTGCACAGAGACCAATAAAGTTAGAAGAAATAATACAGGGAGTCCTGGACTTACAACCATCTGTTTAGTGAACATTCAAAGTTACAACAGAGCTGAAAAAATATAATGACCCCAGGGCTGGTTTTTACACTTGAGACGGCTACGATATCCCCATGGTCACGTGCTCAAAATCTGGGCACTTGGCGAACTGGCATGTATTTATCACGTGATCATCATTTGTGAACCTTCCTAGATAGCTTCTGACAAGCCAAGTCAATGGGGGAAAAGCCAGATTCACTTAATGACCACGTGATTCACTCAACAACTGCAATGATTCGCTTTAAAGCCTTAGCAAAAAAATCATAAAATAGGGCAAAAATCGCTGAGTAACCTCCTTGCTTAGCAACAGAAACTTTGGGCTCAGTTGTGGCCATAGTATAACTTGGCTGTCATTTAGAAAATGATTTTAAAAGTGATTATTTATATAATCACTTCCTTAGAACAGGGGTGTCAAACTCAATTTCACTGAGGGCCGCATTAGCATTGCAGTTGCTCTTGGGGAGCCAGATGGGTGTGGCCAGGGTGGGTGTGGCCTGCTGGGTGGGTGTGGAGTGGGTGTGGCCTATTGGGTGGGCATGGCCAGTTCTACATCGTTCACGTCAAGGGTGCCTGTGGGGGCCTGGGCAGGAGTGGGACAGATCTAAGGGTTTCTGGCAGAAGGGGGTGGGACTGGGAAAAGCGCCAAGGCACGGTCCACTGGAGGAGCCTCACTGCCTGCTGAAATCCCTCCGCCGGAGCCCATCAAGCCGGATATGTGAAGTAGGCGAGGGCCATTTGCTGGCCACTTTCAGGCGATGGTGCATTTCTTCATTCCTCACAAAGGGTGGCACCTCCCCAGCATGCACCCAGGGGGTGGGGCCAACGTGGCAAGGGCTGGTTCCTCGCTGTTTCCAGACGGCCTTGTGGAGCTAAGACTGAAGGTGTTTCAGCATAGATGGCCACCACAAAATTGTACATTGGCTCCCGGCCGGCCTGGGCCAGGGCCAAGACAGCAGGGGCCGTTCCCTCACTGTTTCCAGGATGGCTTCACGGGCCACATGAAACCACTTCGCGGGCCGCATCTGGCCCCCGGGCCTTGTGTTTGACATGTCTGCCTTAGAACATGCTAGCATATTGTAAATTTATACAGGCTATTTCTTTCATAAATATATGAATATAGGTAGTCTTTGTCCTACAACAATTTTTTTAGTGACCATTCAATGTTTCACTGGCCCTGAAAAAACTGATTTAGGGCTGGTCCTTACACTTACAACTGTTGCAGCAGCCCCAAGGCCACATGATCAAAATTTGGGAGTTGGCAATCGGTATGTAATTATGATAGTTGCAGGTCCTGGAGTCATGTGATCATCATTTGCAATGTCCCCAGCTACCTTCCGACAAATAAAGTCAATGGGGAAAGCCGGGTTTGCTTAACAACCGCATGCTTCACTTAACAACTGTACTGGTTCACTTAAAAGCCACACCAACATTGGCCGCAACTCACTACCTGCCTTGCTTATCAGTGGAAATTCTGCTCCAAATTATTGCTGTAAGTCAAGGACTGGACTGGACTCCTTGCTAAGAAAATATTAAAAGTGAAAAATCCCTCAGAGTATCTTTTAAGAGAGCAGAGGTATAAGAAAGATTAATTCGTACTTCTAGTAATTCATCTCCACTGTACAATTTGCCACAACGTCCAACTGGCCCTTCAGGCAAAACAGACCGAATAAAATGATGTCCCACTGTAGCTTCTAAGCTAATCCCCAGTCCGCTGCTTTCACTAAATTTGTTCACATCCGCCACCTAGAAAGAAGAAAAATAAGAATCCTCGTAACCAACAAACCAGTTGCTTAGAAAATTGCACCGAGATCCTATACAAAGGACCATTAAATTTAAAAGCTGTTTTGCTACAGGTGCTCTACTTCTTAAGCTACAGGCTCATTTCTTTCAAACAACATCCATGTTCATTGATTTCTCACATCAAAACAAGATGGAATGACAATGTGAGCTGAAAAGGAGCATCCAGCTGTAACATCCTTTTTCCCATTTGCAAAGGGTAACAGATGCTGGTAGCTACAGCTGTCCCAGAGATGAAAGGTAGCCAGAGAGTCACAAATAAATGGAACAAATGAAACTATCAAAGGCTCCACACTTCTCATTACACCAGCTTTTGTGACCACCGTGGAACAATAGTTAGCAAATACAGTATTCGGAAACAGCAATGTTTCCAATTTGAAGAAAAAGAACTGGATTCTATATCTGACAATGCTTGTTGCCTCTGAAACAAGTCAAACGTTAACAGGACATGCACCTGGCAACATAATTCTCTATGGTTTACTAATCCCCAGGTGGGGAACAGTCAAAGAATAGGAACTGCATCTATGACTCTGCTGCAGAATTCTATTCAAAAGTTCCACATCCCTTCCTACATCCTTGGACTATTGCGCACAAAAGTAGTTGGTTATATGTTCTAAAATGTGCTAAAAGAAGGCTGGCTAGATTCTCAATGAGAAGTAAAGTGTTAGCTAGGAAAACAGCTTTTATTGCATAAAAACACATTTTAAGGCCTGTAGACCAAAGGGTTACCAAGATGCTTCACATAAACCTCACTTTAAAAGAATAAAAGAGACAGTTAGCAATCAATTTAAAAACAAATAATGAAAATAGAAGATCAGCAATTATTATAATAAATTGTAAGAGGGAAGAAAAACAAGCCAGATATAAAAGAGAAAATGCAAACAATATGTTTAAATGCCAGTAAAAGTGGGGCAAACAGGTTTCCTTTAAAAAAATCAAGACCATTCAGCAATGACACTAGGGGTCAACAGCAGCAATACGAGAAAATATAGGCCCTAATTGTTAAATTTTGTATTACTTACCTGAATCTGAAAGCAGGCCAACATTAAAATTAGTGGCATTTATTTCTGGTAGATGAGTGTGAGATCAAACGAGAGAAGTCTTTTATTCCGAATATCAGCTATGTGTAAGAAATCTTCCTAAGGATTACACTAAATGTTGTATGCTGAAAGTGGGTAGATTTCCTAACAAGCTACATTGTTTTGCTTTCCAAATGTAGATTTCAGAACTCAACTGTAGCTCTACCCACATTTGAGAGATGTCATCAAGCAAAAATGTTACCCCAAGAAATGAAACTATGCACTGTTGACAACAAGGAGAATCAAAATATATAATGGACTCCAAAAGTTACTAAACAAATGCAAAAAAAAGCTGTCAATACTTACTAATTAAATTAGTGAAAACTCCCAACGAAGCAATATTTCATAAACTATTTGATCAAATTTAGGATTCATTTTCTGACTTCCTAAGATTATATAAAAGTTTTGTTTTACAGCATTTTTAGACTTTAAAAAACAACGCCCTTCCAAAGGAAGAACAGAGATAAAGCATTTCTTTTTTTTAACAGCAAGCAGTGAGTCCACCTACCACAACTTCATAATTTTTCCCCAAAATCTTCTGCCATTTGTTCAGCAATACTTCTTCTTTTAGGGATGTTAGCTGAATGTCTGCAAGATGTGACAATTATCCTAAGCAAAATTATGGCATTCTTATCTTTAGGTAGAAAATGAATTGCATTAGGATTTGTAAATGGGCATCTGATTTATTTAAAATGAAATACTTTTCAATACATAACATTTTAAGTATCTAAAAATGGAAAAGGGAAAAAAAGAGTTACAACCTACGTTTAGGTTTTTAAAATCCTTTTAAAGCTAGCTGAATTCACTTGAATTCACAGTTCCATTTTTAAACTGATGTTTCTAGACAATCTTTTATCAGATATACCTTAATAAATGGTGAGCATTGTGAGCATTGTCCAGTCTATTTGAAATTAAATCAGCGTAAGACTCAAACTATTCAGTTTAGGCTTGCATTACTCAAGAGCTTCCTTTTATCCTTCTTCCAAAGAATTCTAATTGTCCTAGTCTAGCTTCCTGAATAACTGGATCTCTGTCTGGTTACACTCTGCTGCACCTTCTCCTTTCTGTGAATGCAGAAATCGCAGGCACGTTCTGCCTTTCCTTGGCACAACTGTTCTCTGAAATGCTCGTGCTGTTTATTCATCATCACTGTCTTAAACCCCTGCACTCTACAAATGTAAGTAAAACAGGTTTTCGTGAATGAAACATTAACAATAAAAATAAGAACTAAAATTCAAAAGATAATGCAGAAAACACAGCTAAGCTTATGGGTGGTTGTTTCCCAATTCTGAAAAATAATTGAAGGTCTTTTTTTTTTTAACTTGTAAAACTACAGCTATCATTTCATAGTTCTCTTCCACAGGAGTGTACTACTAAATAATACGATGTATTCAGATTTATTAAAATCAATTGCAAAAAATTTTCAGTATACCAATATTCTTTTCACATTTATTCAGAGATTAAGTCACATCAAGTTAAAAGAAACTTATTCTCAGGTGGGAACATTTGGCATTGTAGTGATTTTGATATCAATTTGCTTGTATCTCAAAGTTTATATACACAAATAAATGTATTATTTAATATTTAAGAACTCAAGAAATGTTCTCTATAGTTAAGTTTTTGTTTTCGCTTTGAAACTATGACCTCCTTTTCAAAGGCTCCTACTGAAATACGGTCTCTAGAGGGCAGTGGAAGAACACATTTCCTGGAATCACTTAACAGATTTGTACATTTATTTAAAAATTTTAGAAAGAAACATATTGTGAGTGTAATAATTTACCATTTAAAATCTGTTCCGGTTTATCTCTTACTACAGTAACTGGAGCTTGTCGGATATGTACAGTGACCCAGCAAGTGCTTATGATATCCTCAAAACACTCACATGCTTAAAAATCCGAAGTAGGTGGAAACATGAGACTCACAGAATTTGAATAGTATCTCTTTAGCATGGCTTCATAAGCTACAATCAGCTATGCATATCACAAACAATACTTATTTAAAAATAAGATATAAGCAAATGCGATAAACCACAGATATAAGAATTGTGTGTATATATGGCTAACTTCAGTTATGAATTCTACGTTATGCTACACTAGATTTTCTAGTAAATTAAAACTGCTGTTTGCCCAATATTATCCTTAAGGCTTTTCATTGTAAATAAACAACCATGAAATATCTTCAGTATGTTTTGTCATCTAATGATCATTACTTTTAATATCATCATTAATAAGTACTCTTTTTAGCTGCTGCCATTTTATGTTGAAAATTAAGCGTCATAATTATAACACTTGATATTGTATATGAAGCTGCATGCATACAAGAAATCAATATCGTGTACATTTATGTAGATTGTCCACAGAGTTTAGCTAAGCAAACACAAATAACTATTTTATAGCCTTTTATTTGAATCTTTTAATTTCTAAATATCTTATCCACAGGTTTTAATAACGTATGGAAAAGATACTTGGAGGTTAAAAAATTCAAAGGAAAGGCTATAAAAATAATTATTTGTGTTTACTTAGCTAAAACTCTGTGGGCAATGTACAGAAATGCAACTAAACAGAGGTGCATCATTGCATTATTCTTCCAAGATTAAGAATTTCAAATATACATTTTCAAAAGCCAGAAGCAACTCTGCCAGGCAAGGAAAGGTAAAAAACTAGGAAGGTTGAGCATATTTATGACGGAAAAAAAATATTATTTATCACCTGTTTGTTGTATATTAGTATCTTCTTCAAAATGAATCTCACTGGGGCTGCATGACATTAATGGAGAATCCTGCTCCCTTTTGCAGATTTCTATGAGGGAAAAAAAAGAATATTCTGAGAAGCCCCAAACATGCCATTTTCTGTGATAATACAGTTAAACCCCTTTTCCTGTTTCACCACTGTTAAAGACTCCTAGTTTCTTACCAGATTAAATTAAATTTGGTCTAGCAGTTATGGCTCCATGCTAGAAAGCAAAGTTCTCTGTGAGAGTTCAAGTCCTACCTTAGCCGTGAAAGCCAGTCGGGTAACTTTGGACCAACCTACCTCACAAAGTGATTGTTATTGTGGAGAAAATAGGAGGAGGAAGATATGTTGGATATGTGTGCTGCCTTAGGTTATTTGTATCAATAATAAAGGTGGGATATTAACAAATGAGTAAATATAAATAAATAAAAACTAGGTTAGCGTGGGTGGGTGTAAGCGAATTAATACGCTAAAAATACGCTAAAAATAAAATAAAAATTGGCAACAGCAAAAAGGCCACAATCTTCCATATTATCCAAAAGGAGGAAAACATAGCCAATCCAAGGAAAATCTAACTGATGTCACATGGATGGGTGATTCTACGGAGGCCTGAATTGGAAAACTTGAACCACAAATTTTAGGGGTCAAAATAGAGAGAAATAATGAGCACCATGGTAATTCTCTAAGACTTAAATTCCTTCGTTCACTTTTATTTTTATTTTGTTTTTTGTATTTTAATATTTTTTAGTTCTACCATAAAACATAAATCATGGAAACAATAGTATTTGAAGATTATTTCTCTGTCATTCATGAAAGAAAAATCCACAAAACTCTTTTGCTCGTCCTTCTGAGAATGCTTTTTCATTCCCCAACTGAGTCTAAAAAGTGGATTGTGAGGACGAATTTAAGCCACTTCGATTTAACCTCTGGAGAACAGAAAATAAAATTCAAGAAACGTGAAGCAAAGATCATCTTAATTGCCTGTATTTGTGCCAATATCCATCGTTTGGAAAACTGAATCCTTTTCAACAGCATCACTGAAGTCATTATGGGACTGAGTGTGGTTTTCCTGTTTCAGGCCTCCTCTTCGGACCAAAGTAAGACAGACCGTTTGGCCAGTATGTCGCAAAACCTCCACTGCTTGCTGGTTGGTAAAACCTTGAAGATTGGTTCCATCCACCTATGGATTAAACATATGTCCATTTCTGACTAGTCACCATAGATCTGTCGATACTGGAAAAACAGTTTTATTCCAAATGAGGCAAATCACATTTGCAAAATGTCTTGCTGTAATTTGATTTGGGGTTTGTGGTTATCTTGACTATAAGAATGCTATCTAAAAGTAGACAGCATAGAGTTTGAAGAGAATGTCTGAATGCTGTATGAAGGAGCTTTATAAAATTCAGTTTCAGTAAACTTAAAATAATGCACTCAAAAATTTTAAAAAAAAATCTGTTCTCTATTCTGGTAGTCCCCAACTTACGACCATAATGGGGAACAGAATTTCGGTGTTAAGCAAGGCAGTTAAGTGAGTTGCACTTTAATCATGTAAATGTGGGAAAGATATGATGGTTGTTAAGTTTAAGGACCACTTGTAACTCACTTATTACAAAAGCTAAACGTGTGATTCTAAATAGCAGAATACCTGTGTAGGCTGGTGGGAATTGGGCAGGAAAGTTTAACTAGTCTACTGTTATTTTTGCTGTTCATCCATAAAATGATTTAAGATTCAATTTACAAGCCATGCTATCAACACAGAACCTCCACGTAAATCATTATTTATATTCCTCAACTGTGGAAAGCAGATCACTGATCCTATCTCTGCTTTCATCAGTAGCCAAGTCAAAGAAGGACATCTCTCCTAATCTGTCAGGTCCCCAAAGAAATATACTGTTTCCCTATGCTTATTCCCGAATCTATAAACCTTCTTTGGGGTGTGCCATTCTGTTGGGAGGGGGGATACCATGGGGATGCTTTGCACTGTCTTGCCACTATGCCCTTCCCCAGGAGAAGGAATACATCACTCTTATGTATGCGCTGGAAAGCAACGCCTAAGAAGCCAGTTACTAAACATTATGCCACCTGTGGATTGGCTGGAATTCAAATGAACACTGGGACCCTGCAGGGAGGAGTACTGAATATCGCTTCTAATACACTGCTTTCGCGGGGTTTTTCCTCAGGCCTCGCCTGCTATTACTAGCCCCTAATAAAAGTTCCTTTTGAGACAATGCCTGCTTCAAAAGTTCTGTTTTCTTGGGTGGCTTACATGAGGTAGGTCCTTACATAACCCCATGACTATTACATTTTCTCAAAGACCTCTTTGAGAGAATCCTCCACATTTTTCTCTCATCCAGGATCCCATAAAGATTTTGTGGCCGAAACATAGGGTTAGAAATGGCCTTTTCTTCATGACAGTCTAATTACTACTAACCCTCAGAATCAAAATAAATAACTATATAAAACAAAGCGCTTGGTTGTAAAAAAAAATGCCCAACTCTGTTTTATAACCTTAGTAATTTTATTTTAATATTTTCCATACATTTTACCTATTATTAATATGGCACCCGTAACATTTTAAGCTAAGCAGTCTATAATTCCCTGAAATAATTTTTAAAGAGTTAGGCATTACGTTTCACAGTTTGTGATCTTCCTGTACAGAATCACTTAAGAGATTTCACTTGTGAGATCTTTTAAGAACTCTGGGACAGTCCTCAAAAGTTGTTTGCTTTCAATCGATCAAGAATAAAGAGTAAATAATAGAAGGAAAAAAGGGATAACATAAGTCGTCCAAAACTACTTACAGCAATAATTTGATCTCCAATATGGATTCTACCATCATGCTCAACTGCACTGTCTTTTGTGATACTTTTTACAAAAATACCAGAAGGTTCTGTGATTTAAAAGTAAAATTGAAGTAATTAAAGGTATGTCTGAGCCATGTATGTGTAAAACTGTTATGACTTGAATCCATAAACTTAAACACAGCATATCAAGATCTGACTACAATAGTCTTTATGACTTCTAAGTACTTAAGCAGAAATATTACAACATAGTATTATTGAAGTTATCTTGCTCTAACCCAGGGGTGTCAAACTGCCAACCCACAGGCCGAACACATCACCAGCACCCCATTGCCGGCAATGGGAAAAAAGCTCCGATATGTCATGCGACGTCACGTGATGTCGCGAGTTTGACATGTCTGCTCTAACCCAAAGATGGGGAACTATGGTTCTTTTATGACTTTTGGACTTCAATTCCCAGAATTCTTGAGCCACATAGAATTGCTGAGGAATTCTGGAAGTTGAAGTCCACAAATCATAAAGAGACCATAGTTCCCCACCTCTGCTCTAACCCAATATATTTACTCTAAGAGATAAAATTGCATTTTAGCATACAGGTTTATATATAAGCCAACTGCTGCTAGATTTTAAACTGATGCATGTATCTTTGTTTTAATTATAGCGCACATGATTATGCTGTAAATATAATAAGCCTAAGACCATTAATTAAAGTAGAAGTTTGACTTCCAAATGAAGCACATTTAAACAATTCTAACATCAAGTTCTGAATCCAATGAAAGAAAATATGTTGTATTCAATGAATGCCTTTAATTATTTCAAACCATTCCAGACTATAAATCTATTGTAAAATAAAACATATTTTGAAATGAAATCCATCTATAACATTTTTCTTGCAAAGCGATTACTTTACATATTGTGTGTGGTACTTTTAAACATCTGGACTGACTCAACCAAAAGCAAATGGACTTTGGTGTTAGAAAAAAAATAGTTAATTTTTCAAGCAGAATTAATTCTAACCATACCTGATGTTTTATCCCCAATGTAGCCAGCAATTGTTATTCCTAACCCTTGAGAATTTTTTGTAAGCTCCACATCAAATGTGTTCCCACCTTCAACATTTTCAATTGGTGTATCTTCCAATTTCTTAAAGAAAAAGACATGTATTTATTCTCCATGAAAGAAGTTCTTACGGGGAACAAAAACAACTTATTCTATTTCTCACCTAAGCCCTAATATTTTAGCACTTAATTCTAAACATAACACACAGTACTTCCTGCCAAAATGTGACTCAGATGTTGGTTTCATACACTCCAATATAATTAGTGAACCTTTAATAGAGTTAACATTATTTGTTACGATAAGAGGTCCTCAGGGGATTTTTCTTAAGGTGCTTTTCTGTGTGACTCTGTATCAAGTTTGGAAATCCAGGGTTTTGGGATTATTGAGGTTTGGGGAGATGTTATGCTTGAGCTTTACAGAAATCATTTCTAGAAAATTGTAAAACAAAGTAAAGATCAAAATTTTAAAAAATGGAAAGTTATCTTAAAATGGGTAATTGCCAAATGAATGCATCCCATGAAAAGACAGTAAAATATTACATTTCACTTTTATCTACTAATACAGCAATTCGGGAAAGAAACGCATATATTCAAACTAGTTTCCAGAAAGGACATAGTTAATTGGAAGAAATGATTTGACCTCCAAGGTCCCTTCCAACATCACTATCATCATTATTATCATCATCATCATCATCATCATTATTATTACTATCGATCATCGCACAGTCAGCCAGATGTTCAGACTGGATTTGGCATTTTGTCTACCTATCGAGTCCTTACCCAGGACCTGGGGTAGGCAGATGTGGATGTTTGATGGTATTACAGATATCGTCGCAGGATGGAAGCAGTTCCTAATAAGGCTGCCATTTGCAATTGACTAATAGCGAATTTGTCAATGCCAATGGTGTTCAAGTGGTGCTCCAGTTGTTTTGGGATTGCACCCAAGGAGCCTATGACTATTGGTACTACCCTTGCTTGCTTTTGCCACAGTCTTTCTATTTCTACTTGTAGGTCTTTGTATTTTGTTATCTTCTCCAGTTCTTTCTCTTCTATTCTGCTATCTCCAGGCACTGCCATGTCCACTATCCAGACTTTTTTGTCTTTCTTATCGACAATTGTTAAGTTGGGGTGTTATGTTGCAAGTGCTTGTCTGTTTGAATTCTGAAGTCCCAGAGCAGTTTAATTTTATCATTTTCTATGACTTTCTCTATTTTATGATCCACCAGTTTTTGCTTACAGGCAAATGATATTTTTTGCAGATCTTCCAATGCACCATTGTTGCTACTTTGTCATGCCGCTGCTTGTAATCAGTTTGTGCAATATTCTTGCAACAGCTTACCAAGTGGTCCACTGTTTCTTCAGCTTCTTTGCATAGGCGGCACTTACTGTCTGTTGCCGTCTTCTCAATTTTGACTTTGTATGCATTTGTCCTTAAGGCTTGGTCTTGTGCAGCCAGAATTAGTCCCTCGGTCTCTTTTTTCAATTTTCCTGCTCTTAGCCATTGCCAGGTTTTATTATTATCTGCTTTCCCAGCTATTTTTTTCATGTATTGGCCAGGTAGTGCTTGGTCTTCCTATGCCTCTATTCTGTTCTTCATTTGGTCTTTCTTGTAGGCCAGTTTGGTCTCTCCAGTAGCTAGTAAGCCTTCCTGATATACTAATTTCAGTGCATCTTCATCATTGTTCTTCAGATATTCTTCCAAAGCCATTTTTTCTTCTTCAACCATCTGATGTACTTGTAGCATTCCACGCCCACCTATTGGCCTTGGTAGATAAAGTCTATCAATGTCACTGCGTGGATGAAGGGCATGATTCATTGTCATTATTTTTCTGGTCTGCCTATCCATTTCTTTTAGTTCTGCTTGAGTCCAGTCCACTATTCCAGCTGTGTACCTAATGACTGGGATTGCCCAGGTGTTGATTGCCTTTATGGTATTTCCTCCATTGAGTTTGGATTTTAAGATCTTCTTCACTCTCTTGATGTATTCACCTCTAATCTTTTTCTTGACTTCAGTGTACTTGATGTTGTCAGCTTGAAGGATACCCAAGTATTTGTAGTACTCTTCCTCATCCAGACTCTTAATGTTATTTTCGTGGGGCATCTTGATTCCTTCAGTTTTCATTATTTTTCCTTGTTTGATAGTAAGTGTGGCACATTTGTCCAAGCCAAACTCCATTACAATATCTTGGTTATATATACGGACAGTGTTGAGCAGCGATTCTATTTCAGATGATGTTTTTCCATACAGCTTCAGATCATCATTATTATTATTATTATTATTATTATTATTATTATTATTATTATTATTATTATTCAAATCCATTCTTCCTGAACTCTGCAGTAAAAAAGACTGTAAAATAAAAAAGGGGTATAAATTATGCTTCTGACAGAAAGACATGAACACATACTGTATTTTCCGGCGTATAAGACGACTCGGCGTATAAGACAACCCTCAACTTCGGAGACAATTTGCATGCTTTAGAAAGTCGTCTTATACGCTGGAAACTACCGTAATTTCTGGTGTATAAGACGACTCGGCGTATAAGACGACCCCGACTTCAGAGACGATTTGCATGCTTTAGAAAGTCGTCTTATACGCTGGAAAATACGGTATTTCTGCAGAAGTATAATTTTTACCTTATCTCCTTTACTTTGCTGTCGCTCTTTCAAGCACTTCATTCTGCTGAATATAATCCAGTTAGCTGAAGCTTCCTGCTGAACTGTGTTTACATTCTTAAGACACTAAAACTTGCTTCGTTGATACAGAAATATGTTGGCACTTGCACCTCCTGATCTGTGTTTTCACACAGCAACTCCCTACTTTAGCTTTTATTTTGTACATTACTAGCCACACATTCATCCTTGGCATATTTTCAAAATGTTGGAAGGAAAGAGTTACTGGGTGAGATTGGGGGGGGGGGTTTATACAAATGTGATTAAATAAATAATAAAGAACACAGGAGGTTTTTGGTAAACGAGGTTACTTGCAAAGAGATTCTTTTTCATGCAGCAGCAGAACACAGCGAAGAAAATAAAACACCAGCCCAAACAAAGAACACTATGAAATAAAGAGGGCAGCTGGGTAGCTGCCACCTAGCTAGCAAGTTGTGGCAATTGACTTAGGTGAAGAGCTACAGCTGGGCACTGGTTGGCACAGAGAGGTGCCCAGCGGTGGATGCTAGGGAGGAAGAAAGTAGAAGAAGAAGAATCCAGATGAACCCAAAGGGCTGTGGCAGAGCAAAGGGAAAATGCTATGACACAGTTAAGCTGCTATTAGAGAGCTATTCAAGTGGCACATTGAAATTAGCAGGTTAGCGATGATAGGCAGGCAGGCAGGCAGGAAGTCTGACTGTGAATAAGCATTATGAATCTCTGTCTACTGTCAGTCCTATTTCTTTAACATCAGTTACATGTTGTTATTACCTTGTTCTCCATCATACACGTTTGCACTGGTGTACCCAAAGGAGCTGCTGTTGATGGAGTGGCTTCCTCAATTAGACCTCTGGCTATCACCAACTTGACTCGGTTTCCACACTGCCTCAGGACTTGTGCCACCTGCTCACCGCTGATTCCGGTCAAGTCTGTATCACCAATTTTCAAAATATGGTCTCCACTGCACAATCTACCATGCTAGACGAGCAAACATTCAATTGTTTTAGAAACTACACACAGAGGTGTCTTAGAAAAATGCAAGAGTTTTACCTATAGCCTATTTTAGTTTTGGAGTTTTTTTGTTTTGTTTTGTTTTGTTTTGCTTTTCATACTTGCTTTAATAGACAGTGTTACTTTAACCTTTTATCATATGCTGTTTATATGACCCCTGATAAAAAGTCAATGTATTTTAAATCAATAAATGTGTCAAAATGTTTTATGGTTCTAAGTAATATGTTTAGCATTGCTTATGTTCAAAAGTTATGCATCATTTATTGTTTTTATTCTTGTTTATTATCATACCTACTGAAAAGACACACCTAAATTTAGCATAGTTTTCCCCCCAAAATGAAGAATGGACAGAAAAACATTGAAAACATAAAAATGCCCTGTACAAAATCCCTCATTCCCACCTTAACAGCCTAGGATTACCAAATTTACCTGAAACCAACCAAGTCAATTCCATTCCATTGTCAATAAATTTGTTCACGCAACTCATGTGTATATGCATAATCACTCTGGCCAGAAACCATAGCCAAAAAAGGGAGGGGCAAGGGAGGGGCAAGGGTAGGACACCCCAGCATGGCAACCTAATTATTAAATCAAAAATTACTGTCTAAAATTGCTTGTAAACATCTCCATTTAGAAAATGGATTTATCTCCTATCTGCTTATCCACATCTTTATTATTCTCATATATACACCTCTCCTTTAAACAGAATCACAGAGGAGGAAGAAAACAAGGTGGGGATGGCAAGGCTGGAAGAAAAGGGGATTGTTTTCCATGTGTGAAGGGCGAATGTGTGTAGTTTAAGTTCTGCTGTCACATCTGCCTCACCCAGAGTAAAGACTGTGTTCAAAAATATCTCAAATACAGGGATAAAAAAAGTTCTCCATAAAGGAACTCCACTACCTGCTTTTCTGTGGTTCACGTTCTCAGACGAAACCAGCTTCTTATTTCCTTAGAAAAAAATAATTACTGATAGCGGTTCAGAAGCAAAGCTTAGCATTATAAATTTGGCTGGGGTATCAAACCATGGCTATGGGGATCATTTGTTGGCAAAAGATAACATTCAAGATGTTTTCCCTCGCTGAATATTAGCATTCCATTCTTTCTATTTCAAGTAAATAAAGGTATTTATTAAATGGTAATGAGTACTTATCATGCAGTAACTCTATTAAAGAAGAATATATTGTGTACCCGATCAGCTACTCCGCCTGGAAGGATGGTTTTAACTATCACTCCAGTTGATTTTCCTCCTACTATTCCAAATCCCAGACCGGATCCATCGTTCACCAACTCAATGGTCTCCACATGCTGCCAATGTACCTTTAAAGCAAATCTTACCATTAGTTTGCTTTTAAAGCAACCTCTAAAGCTATTCCATCAGGTTTATATTTTCGCCATATACAGTATTCTCTTTTATATAACTATTCCAAACAATGTTCATGAATCATCAAAAGGACCATTTTGTGTTCTATATTTTGAGTGGTTTTACTAGCAAATTACAGTGTTTAACACCTTAGTGAATAAATTATTTTGGACATGAACGATAAAAACCTTATGCTTGCTTTCCCCAGGTATTCATTCATTCAGGTGCACTCACTGAGCGCAACTCATTTCTACTCAACTCATATAAAGTGTGGTGATTCCATACCATGCATAAAATGATAAATCTGATACACAGGAAGGGTTTGGCTTAACTCTCTCAATGGGCATCAGACTGAGGTGCTCATTACTGTTTTTGTCTTCCCTCACCCCTCCTCAATCTGCATCATGAAGGCCCTTCCTTATTATCCGGCTTCCATCAAAGGACACTGCTTATCATTTAGGACATAAGTATATTAAAAACAGCCTTGCGGACTTAAGCCAAGGACTCTCTTAATCCAACATTTTGCTCACACAATGGCCAACCAGATGCCCCTTGGATGCTCACAGGTAGTAGATAAAAGCATATCATTTTCCCATCATTGTTCCCCTGAAAATGTGTTTCAGAGGTAAGCTCTGGTTTGACTGGAGCAGGAGTGTCAAACTCAATTTCATTGAGGGCCGCATCAGCATTGTGGTTGCCCTCAGGGGGCCAGGTGGGTGTGGCCAGGGTGGGTGCAGCCTACTAGGTGGGCATGGCCAGCTCTACATCACTTGCGTTAAGGGTGCCTGTGGGGTCCTGGGCAGGAGTGGGACAGATCTGAGGGTCTCTGGCAGAAGGGGGTGGGACCAGGGCAAGTGCCAAGGCATGGTCCACTGGAGGAGCCTCACTGTTCCTCTCAGGCCATGCAGGGGAGTGTTTGGTGGTGCAGGCTGCCTGGAGCCCTGGGCAGCAGAGGTCAAATGCCCAGCCTGGCCCTTGAGCACCCGCGGCACCAAGCCCAGCCCCACTTTCTCAAGGCTGCTGCTCAAGGTTCTCCTGGTTTCTCGCTGTTTCCAGATAGTCTTGAGGAGCTAAGACTGAATGTGTTTCAGCATAGATGGCCACCACAAAATTGTACACTGGCTCCCAGCTGGCCTGGGCCAGGGCCAAGGCAGAGGGGGCTGTTCCCTCACTGTTTCCAGGATGGCTTCACGGGCCACATGAAACCACTTTGCAGGCCACATCTGCCCCCCGGGCCTTGTGTTTGACATGTCTGGACTAGAGGAACCAATGAGTACTCAAGACTAATAGTCCTGTCACCCAATTTGCTTTTAAAGCCATTAGTAAGTTTTGTGGCAATTAAGTCCACAGGTTTATAATGTGCTAAGAACTGATGGAGAGACATTTTATACAATACAGAATGCCTTACGTACATGATACAGTCTCATGTGCATCACCACCAAATTGGATTTTTGGTAGCTGAAGCATAAGTTATAGTGTACATTAAAACTGTTTGAACTATTTCCTGCACTCTTTTCTATACAATGAAAACAGAACTGTGAGTGTAAGAGGCTTTCTATGGAATTGCAACTTTACACAATGGCTAACATTCAGCAACATGTTGCAGAGACCTACACCAACCTAAACCACAAGAAAAAAAGACAAACTTGTTTTCAGTGTCTACTCACAGGATTTGAATTGGCTGAAATTGTGCTAGCAGCTGACGGAGATCGAGAAATTACAGGGCTGATGAGCTGAGGCAAAGAGCCCCTCGCCACAACTAGCTGGACACTATCTTTGGCTTTCTGTAGGATGCTGATAGCCTGTTGATGTGTTATGGTCTGATCAAGGGCTTGCCCATTAATAGCAAGAATTTGATCTGCTTCCTGCAATCTGCCATCCCTGTTGTGGTCAAATAAAAAGCAAACATTATAATAAGCACCGTCACTGGTATCGCTATCGTTATTTGACAGCTTCTCCAAAGTACTGTAGTTGTTTTTTTAATCCAGTTTTTTTATTTCTCCCAATGCACATTTTTGTTTTTAGAAAAAGGTTTCCTTGCAGTTTTGCTACAGGCATCTTTTCTGGTCCCTTCTTGAAGAGCTTCCTTTGAAGCTGATCCACAGACCCTGTCTCCCAACTTCACCCCAGAGCTACTTTCTCCCTTCTTGCACCACAATCCGAAACTAAGCATGTTATATGTCGGTTGCTTCCAGCTTGGTTTGCTATTGCCTGGGAACTTTATTCTTAACTGTGAACCTCCTGGGTAAAGACACCAAGGGTTTTGCTATATTCACCCTGAAAAGTATTGAATATTCATCAACCCACAGTTTACTTACCAAACGTATTCATAAATGGGGGAGGAGAAACTATCAAACAACAACAACCAGAAAAGGATCCTAATTACAAAGGCCATTTTACAAAATGGACTCACACTTTAACTAAGGAGAGTATTTTTTTCCCTCATATAATCACATGTAGTAACGCTTTCTCAAACTTCTATCAAAGTAGTCTGAGGAAAAAGCAGCTATGGATCTCAACTGTACTAATACGTTACAATTAGTAAAAGAAGTCAATCTATATACTAGTGATATAGATTTTTTTAACATACCGACTTAATTTAGACTCAGACCCAGAATATTATGGTATTCAGATAACATTTCTCAATATTTTTGTTAGTTCCTAGCCAAAAAAAAAAATCTATGTACTGTATCAGAAAAATGAGTGTATAAAAATGTTGATATTACAGAAAGTTGTCAGTGAAAATAAACACTTTTGCATGATTAAATATTTAGTCCGATGTAGATTTTTTTAAAACAGACTTCCTAAGTAAAACTGAACTAGATCAGAGAAAGACTGATTGGCAATACTTAAAGTCAAATTTTATCTGTATAAAACATATTGAGCATAAACAAATTGAAATAAGCCTTCCTTTCAACCCAAATTTTTATTTATGTTATCTGTTGTTTATAAAGTTTGTATACTGCAATGAAAGTCAAATGTTTGCAAATCTGTGCATTTTTTTTCAGCAGAATATTACATAAAACAGGCATAGCATCCAGACTGGATTAACGTACATATTTACCTCCCAAAAGAGAGTTGGCTACCCTAGAGAATGTCAACAGCCAACTGCTTACCAATACAACGAGGGAAGGGAAACAAACAAGCACATCACCTCCCTTAATCCCATGATGCATGTCCAAACTTGGTCTGCTGAGCAGGAGGAAGACAGAGGTTTTGTGCCCTTTGTGCATGCTCCTGGGTCCTGCCGATGTTGAGATTTATGATAAGTTTAAATGCAATGAGTATTCAAAAGCACTCTGAAAATTCTAAATTCACCAGGATGAAAGAGCACATAAAGAATGTAGAAAAGCTGTTATGAATGTAGAAGAGCTGTGGTGATTCAGTGGTTAGAATGTAGTATTGCAGGCTAACTCACTGCTCACTGCCAAGAGTTTGATCCTGACCGCTCAAAGTTGACTCAGCCTTCCCTCCTTCTGAGGTGGGTAAAATTAGGATTCAGATTGTTGGGGGCAATGTGCTGACTCTGCAAATCACTTAGAGAGGGCTGTAGAGCACTGTGAAGCAGTATTTAAGTCTAAGTGCTATTGCTTTGTACATGCATACCTAACCTTTGCAAGCTTTTTCCCTGAAGATTTTCAATTATGCTAAAGTGCTTTGGTTTGATTGGTTGGTTGCTTCAATGTTGGCTTTAATGGAATTTTTGATTATGAATGCATCCAAAAAACCAAAAAGAATACCTTAGTTGGTTGGCACGCTGAGTATTTGATGCTCAGCACTGCATACTGTGCATTTAAAGAGAGAAAGAGAGAGACCATACCATACTAGTAACCTCTCATCAAATTTCTTTCCATAAAGATATACTTAAATTTAAGGAAGACAATAAGGATAGGGATAAAACAAATGCTTCAAATAAATAAAGTAAATAAATAAAGTCTCTCCCCTCCCACACTCCAAATTCTTCCCCAAAGTTGGCTAATTGCTGACATTCAGCAGAGTCCTAACTATTCTTGTGAATCTTGGATTAAAAAAAGAAAAGAATTATTTCCTATGGCTGACACCCTCAAAAGTGTATTGAGGCTTTTTTTTTTAAATGACAAACTGGTTCAAGATTTGTTTCGTTAAAATGTATGCAACTCAAAATGTTTTGTGGAACATTCTAGGGAGACGTTGTCCTTCGAGCTCAAACCAAACACATTTATCAATTCGTACATTTCATAAAAATAATTATTTAAAGCATACATTTCAAAATTTAAACACTGTTTATGTTTACAATCCAGCTGAAAGCTGCCATTTATACATCTCTTTCATTGTATAGCTTACAGGCACTCTCACCTTTGTGCCACGCTTCCATCTTGAATCTCCTGCACAAATATACCAAGTTCACCTCTATATTCACTCTTCAAGCCAACTACGCTAAAACCAAGACCACCACTTGGAGATTTTACAAGTTCTATCATCTCAACAGGTCGACCCTAGTAGCAAAAACAAGGGGGAAAAGCCACTTTGAAATAAACTCAAAAACACTCTGATTCCAAAAGATTCACTTAATATTTGTATATTAATAAAGAAAGAAAACAATCAAGCAACGCACATCCAGTAGAGACATTAAAATGTGTCTTTGACAAGCACTATGGTTAAAAAAAACAGGATCATTAATTGTTTGGAAATCCTACATGGGTATAGGAAATTCTTGACTATAAATGGTTATCTTCTATGGTGACAGGAGAAGGTAATGTCAACTCACTCAATCCTGCTGCCCCTGCAGATTTTATTTTATTTATTTATTTATTTATTAAATGTTATGCCACCCATCTCCCCTATAGGGTGACAGATGGAAACACTACCCCTGATTTTAATCACATACGAAGAGAACTTGAGTTTCATATTTAATAATAGAGAAAATTGTTGTTAACCCAAGAGAAGAAATGAAAGTCTTTGAAAAAAATCAATTAGATGTTCCCAATCATTTAGCCGAGATTTAATTTAAATAAAATTTACCTGTGCCATATTTCTGATCAGTAATTCAAATTCATCGCTTGCAGGCTTCCCATTAATCTGAGGTGTGATCGACAATTAGATGTTCCCAATCATTTAACCAAGATTTAATTTAAATAAAATTTACCTGTGCCATATTTCTGATCAGTAATTCAAATTCATCGCTTGCAGGCTTCCCATTAATCTGAGGCGTGATCGACTGGAGAACAATTCCTAGCCCACTAGAAGGGCTACTGTTCTCTTGAGCCATCAAGTAGGAGTCATTGTGTAGTGAGGCGCCCACAACACTACCATGAGGGGAAAGCTGTAGGTGCTCACCAGATGAGGAGATGGAAGGTGCAAGGTTTACCTGAAAGTTGTTTATAACATTTTTTTAAAATTTAAGAGCACAAAAAATACAGTTACAGTACAAAAAAACAAAACCGACAAAAACAATAGCCCATGGAAAATATGTCATGGCACTGAAATCATAAAAATAAATATTACTGTAAACATAGGTAACATTAAGAGTAAACAATCCTTTACATTTAATTATTTTATAGGAAGATCAATAAGGAATTACATATTTCCTTCCATGTCAGGGATAGTTCGGTTACATACAGCTACAAGACCCAACTACAGCCTCAAAATAGCACGAAATAACAATAACGTATACAGGTGGTCTTCAACTTAGGACCACAACCGAGCCCAAAATGTATGTTCTTAAGCAAGACAGTTAAGTCTTCCCCATTTTAGGATTTTTTTTTTTTTGCCACAGTTATTAAGTGAATCACGGCAGTTGTTAAATTAGTAACGTCGTGGTTAAATGAATCTGGATTCCGCGTTGACTTTGCTTGTCAGAAAGTTGCAAAAGGTGGTCATGTGATCCTGGGACACTATAATACATGCCAGTTGCCAAGGGTCTGAATTTTGATCATGTGACCATGGAGTTGCTGCAACACTTGTGTGAAAACCAGTCACCTCACTTTTTTCACTTGCCAATGTAACTTCAAAGGATCACTAAACGAACGGCTATAACTCGAGGACTACCTGTCATCTAACCCATTCTTTTTCCTTTCTAAAAGCTTCATCTTTTGACTGCATTTGTCCCACTGCTTTTAGCAAGACAAATTATGTGCTGAAATGAGTAAGATTTAGAATGTTTAACTGAGCAATACCAATGATATTGGAGACTATCGTATCAGAAAAAAGATCAAAACCAATAAAATATCTGTGTTGATAGATCATGCAGTCTGGGGAGATCTTCTGGCTGCATTTCTCATCAGACAGACTAATTTGTTAAGAAGCAAGTCAGGCTTCATGCTTTTATAATGTATTGTCCTTGAAGTTCATCTAACAGATTATTCTCTACTCTCTTGGAAGACACAATATAAAGAAAGAAACTGATTTAGCAAGAAACACTGCTGTCTCTCAAAAATTGAAAAGGTAAAGGGAAGGCTTCCTGCTGTAACTTGATATTGGTTACGAAAAAAAAGAACAGAATCTTAATTCATATTCATTCCATTCAAAATTGTTAGGATTTAATTAGGTTTTTAAAAGGCTTTCGTACACAATATAGCAGACTTTTGATGTATTACTGACTACTAATTCATCTATACTAATTGATAGTGGCACTCCACTCTAATAATCATCCTTTTTAAACCTAATTAAAGAAAATGACTTGCATGTACAAAAAAGGATTGATTAGGCATGAAAGATAATATCAGACAAAGTGGCTTGATAGCTCCTACTCAATTTTGCAGCTAGGGAAGATGGCCTACAATAATTGAAACAGAAAGTGGCTTTTATTGATTTATGGGTTATCTTAAAAAATAATCTACCTGTGAAAAGCCAAATCATCAGAAATCCCAAATAAAAAAAATGTTTCTTAGTCGTGATAGAGAAATACTTGAGATCTTACAAGGAGGATCTTCAGGATCACAAGAAGAACAAATCATTTAAAACTAAACAAGATAAAATCCCACCAATTCATTGCAAGCATTAATGATTAAATGTAACTTCAGATATTTGGGCACCCAACACAAAGAAGAATGTGATGCTTTGAAAAATCCAAGCAAGTCAAAAAAAAAAAAAGGCCAACAGAAGTCAAGATAGCCATTATCAATGTTGACAGAAGGTTGAACTTACAAGATCTCAAGTATGGAAGGTATTTTGTTTTGTTACTTTAAGTCAATCTTGACTTCTGACAATTGCCTGGAAAAGTCCCTGCACTTTTCTTGGCAATGTTTTTCTCATGTGGTTTACCATTGCTCTTTTTTTAGGGCTAAGAGAAAGTGATTGGCCCAAAGTCATACAGCTGACTTTGTGCCTATGGGACAACTAGAACTCAGTCTTCCAGTTCACAGCCTGGTGTCTTTAACTAAACTTAAATATATCATCAACAGCATCAGCATCACTTTTCATCAAATTGGATCTCATAGAAAATGTTACTGACAAATACTGTATTGGGGAAACGCTACCTGCTGGGCCAGGAAGAGCCAGAAGCAATGGAATGAATGAACAACAGCAAAAATCTACATTACAAATACAGTATAAATTTGCAATCATTTAATATAGCTATAGTGTAACAGCTTAATATCACAGAGAAAAATATTCTTGTGCAAAATATGCTTACTGATTTGCTACATTTTCTCTAACATATTCTGGGAGGATCCAGGTACAATAAAATCAATGACTATTATGTCCTACTGATTTCCGTGCGTCAACATAAACTATAACTAGATCCATTGCATTCTATGAACCTTATTTCCTCAATTGCCTTCCAAGGGCACCTAAGCTAAGAATTAGCCCTTCAAGTGTAGTTCACAGTTTCTAATCCTAAAGTAGTCACGAGCTTTTACAGCTGTATGAAGACAAAGAACCACAGGTAGTCCTTGGTTAACACTGGTAATAAGGACCAAAATTTCAGCCACTAAGCTATGCAGTTGTAAAGCAAGATGTCATGTGACATTGCATAAAAACGACAATCTTGACACTTCACATTTCTGTCATTAAGCAAAGATTGTGAATCATTGAGTCACTGAGAACCTCCTTGCAATTTCCAGCTGGCTTCCAACAAACAAAGTCAGTGGAAAGCTGGCAGGAAGTTGCACGTTCCAGGTGGCTCACAAGCTGGCCAGGGGACAGGTAAGATGCGGAAGGGTTACCTTCACTAACACTAGAACCAACTGCTTGGTGCTGTAGTGTTTACGTTTTGTAGGTCTTTCACTACAATTATTTCTTGGAGAAGAACAATATCAATCGTGTGACTACAATATTTCTGCATATATAATACAGGCCAAGGAATTCACTGTTAAAAAAGTACACAAATAGGACCAAACATGGTTCGTTGATACAGTAATATTTCCACTTTTTTTGCAAAACTGAATTCAAATGCACATTTCCACAAATGTGGAAGTCACCGCCTTCAATTGGATGGAAATGTTTCTTGGTCTTGTGTATATATAATAGCCAATTGTGGTGCTATTTAAAGATGCACTGGAGTGTTTTCATCTTACTATTAGAACTGAGGGGTTCTTGGTGCTTTCTGAGTTTGGTTGTCTTCTTGCAGACGTTTCGTTACTCAAACTAGGTAACATCATCAGTGCTGTTGTTGCTGCTGCTGCTGCTGAGCACTGATGATGTCATCTCGTTTGGATAATGAAAGAGCCGAGGTGGCGCAGCAGTTAGAGTGCAGTACTGTAGGCCACTTTAGCTGACTGTGTTCAGCAGGTCAGCGGTTCAAATCTCACCAGCTCAAGGTTGACTCAGCCTTCCATCCTTCCGAGGTAGGTAAAATGAGGACCCAGATTGTTGGGGGCAATGTAAAATATATATACATTGCTTACTGGTGTACACCGCTTAGAGAGTGCTTGCACTTAAAGCAGTATATAAGTCTCATAAATAAATAAATAAATAAATAAACAAACAAACAAACTTCCGCAAGAAGACAATCAAGCTCAGAGACAATCAAGGAGCCCTTATTTCACCTCTGAGCTACAAATATTCTCCTTTATTGACACTATTAGAACATTTGTATGACAGTCCTTATCACTAGGCCTACTCTGCTTTTGGAATATGATTTTAATAGCACAATAATAATAATTTAAGGATCTTTGCCAAAAAAAAAATGCTTTACACTTATAAGTCATTTTTTTTTCATTTCATATGACCTGTTTCTCTGCTCAGTAATTCAGCTACCATAATTCCATCAAGAGGTAGGTAGCAAAGCGATTATGTATGCTCCATATAAAAGAAGCGTTGCTTCGTTCTATAAATTGCCTTATGCTAATTTGCTACAATCGCCTTTTTTTTCCTTTACTGTATTTTAACATCTGCAATATTGGCATTATTTGGAAGGAAACAAATAGAAGTAGTCGCTGATGCCACTATATATGATAAAAACATACATTTTGGCATTACATTTAAACTTTCATGGCAATCAGATGACACTTCAGTACTTAGTTTGTAATTTATTTATTTTTTAAAAAATCTACCTCAATTGCATTTACATTATGTAAGCAGTTTAGGCTAAAAAAAAATCGAAGTTGGTGGCATTTGTTTTTTAAATTCTGAGCTTTAGTTGCACAAAGAGGGAAAGAGAAAACATAGGGTAGGAAGAAAGATCACATTTACACTTTCTTACCATATATGACAGACATTGAAGGCTTTGTAGAGCATTCAATTATACAAAGACATGCAACTTCAGATTTCTAATAACTGCATTCCATTCACTTCAGCACATTCTAGGTAGGCGTTGCAGCCACACTATTATGTGAAGAACAGGAATTCAGATTAGCTTTCTTTTTCTCCTTCTCCCCAGTGTGTTTTCTTTCACAATTTCAGTGCTAATTTTAACATCCTCATAGCTGATATAAGGTCAAAATTTAAACTATTAGCTAAGCCATTATGTTTTAAAATGTTGGAGGACTAAATCCAATGGCACTGACTCTTTGGTACTTTATGACCTATTGTCCTGTAGGAATCAGTAGAGTATGAAGAGTTAATTATTTAATGTGTGCCCTCTTTGTCTATCATTCCCCCCTACCCTCTGTTTTTTGAACTTGCTAATCTGAGCTCACACCTTTCTGCCTTTGCTTCCCTGGAAGACACACAAGTTCCTTTGATTCCTCTCTGGAGGATTCAGTTAGTTAGGTGCTAGATTGTCTATCCATATATTGTGTTTCCTATAAATAAATCTCCTTTCTGTTATAAAACCTGCTTGGTAATCATTGCTCAGGTCAAATTCCTGCTCTCAGGAATGCTCATATGTCCACAAAGAATACTTCAAGCTCCATTTAAAAAAAAAAAAAAAGTTCAGCACTTTTGCTCTTTTAATTTGTTGCCTAAAGTTTTTGGAATAATTCCATTGAAAGGTATTAAATATATTTATAGATATTTATAAATCACTGTTTACTACAATACACACAATCTGCAACAACTTTCCCTTCTTAAGACTCTTTCCTGTCTTTGTGGTGTGTGGCCAAGAGAAGAAATTTGGAAGATTTTACTTCTCCTTTTAATTAAAGTTTGCCACATGACCTGGATTTGTGGCTGACAATAAGCACCATTAACTTCAACATGTCACGTTTGGTCCTAGTTTACACAAATCACTAAGGCGCAAGAGGTTTGGCTTTTGGCTTTGCATGAAGTATTAACTCACTCAAAAACCACCATATAATTAACATGCGGAATTCATTACCACAAGTTGTCAGGGCCACAAACTTGAGCAGCATTAAAATGAGATTAGATGCATTTACAGAGAACATAATCTCTAGTCTTGAAGACTCAGGGTTACCTCCAACTCAAGGGCAGCATGACTGCTAATGTCACCTGAAGGGAAACAATGGCAAGGGAGGATCCTATCTCAATCACCTGCTCTTGAGTTGGCCACTGTGAAAAACAAAATCCTGGATTAAAGAAAGGTCTTGGCCTGACTGAGCAAGACCATTTTTGTGTTTGATTAATATGCAAAGCATGTCCCTTCTTCAACACACCTTGATTTTAAAAATTGGCTTATTGATATACAAATCAAACTCATAAAACATGAATTATATGAACTACATTAATGATAATTTGCACTGCACCCAAACATAAAAGGCAAAAGTTTCCAATTGTCATTCTAATAAAAGAAGGAAACTGAACAATTATATAAACAGAGAGCAAGCTCCACTCCCTTTTAGTATTGATGGTATTACCTAGTTAGATAATGAAACGTCTGCAAGAAAACAACCAAGCTCAGAGCGCACCAAGAACCCCAGGAAACAATTAATGATACAAGCTCATAGCTCTCTGCAATTTGTTTCTATACATACTAGCCAACCACATTTTAGCTTGGTGTGTTATGTGAATCCAGCCCATCTGGTTACTTTACACTTCTGTATGTCATGCAATCCCAGAAAATGTGGGCAACTGAGAAAGCCATGTTTAAATTAACCATATGTATCATATCATGAAAGCATAGCCACTCTCTACAAAGATATGGTTACTTTTATCTCTTTATATGGCAAGGAGACAAACATTTGCCAGATCACTACAGAGGAAACTAAAGACAGGAAAAACAAAGGCAGAACAAAGCAATCAAAGTTATTATTTGCCATCACCATTTTGGTCTAGCAAGACTATATTCTGTCTGATTCAGAGATATGTTATCCATGAGTGGAGTAATCATGGCTTAGAACATAATCCATGCATAGGTTCAGAAAACTATGATGTATGTACTTGGTTATTTAATGTATGCTCTACTCAGCAGTAGCAAACAATAAAATCTACAGATACTCAACTTCAAATGGCTTTTTTCTGATTTCGGATTGTTAACCAATCATACCCTACGCTTTTGCTAATTCATCCATTCTACCAAGCCAAATGCTGTCTGAATTAAGCTTGTGAATATGATCCTATGCAAGTTTAATCAGCAGTGTTATTTTCAACAAGGCTAACTTCTTATGATGTGTTTTAAGAATATTATTTTTATCTTTTTAAAAACATGTTGCGTTTAGCAAAACAGCCTGATAATTAATAAGGTTATCCTCATTTTAGTAGAAGCACTATCTTTAATCATGGTACATTATGAATGCATATTAACATAAGCAACATTTATATTGTAAAATACCCATCTGTTCCCTTTTAAAAAATGCTAACCATGCTGAATTTACAGAAGCTCAATAGAGTTCACTACCAAATGCAACGTTTTGTTTAAGCGTTCAACATACATGTGTTAATTATTCAGAGAGTCATCATATGAAAAGGTCTGGCAAAGGTTTATCGGCATTTTCTTTTGTCCCTTCTGATGATCCTGTCCTACCTGATCTCGTGACTGCGGAAGGGAAGCTTGTAGGTTTAGGATCTGATTGAATAAAGGACTCTGCAGTACTGATTTTAGTAAACTTAATTTCTCCTCATTTCCTGAATCACCCCGTTCTCGTAATTTTGCCTGCAGGCGTTCTACTGCCTGGAGGGCTCGGTGAATATCTGAAAAAAAACAACAACATTTAACTGTGACATGCTATCTTCACCACGTTTAAACACTACATGGTAGAAATCATTACATATAAAAATGATAACCCAAACTCCCAAGGTGCTCAGACAAGTTGAAAAAAATTTGGGAGATAAATTCCATAAATTGTGATCATTGCCCAAAGCCTAGAGACAATACATTAAATGATTGTTTACATGACTGCTTTAAATTATAGTGAAAACCAAACAAAATCGAAAGGAAGACAGCCTTAAGCCTCAAACACAGGGTCTTAAGTTTGTTCTGTTTGTAACCCAACTCAATTTGATTCTTTTGCATTCCAATATCATCTAGGACAATGGTGGCGAACTTATGGCACGGGTACCAGAGGCGGCACTCAGAGCCCTCTTTGTGGGCACGCGCACCGTCGCTCCAGTCCTAGGCCTTCAACTGAGTTTTATAAAACCTTTTCGCTTTAGGCCTCCGCCACCATGTGCAAAAAAAAAAAAAGGTTCAGTCAATTTCAACTTCTCGTGGGAAAAAAAAAGATCTTGCAAAGTTGGAATTCACTGATTGAACTTTTTAGTCCCACCCACTCTGCCGTTACCACCGCAGCCACGCACAACCAATGGGCCACACCCACCCAGCACCCGACAATGCATAAGTGGGTTTTGGGTTGCAGTTTGGGCACTCAGTCTCTAAAAGGTTCACCATCACTGATCTAGGATGATTTTGGGTGATATTTTGCATCAGGAGAACATTAGAGACAATATCAGGCAAGAGGGAGGAGATCTGCTGTAAATCAGAATATGCATACAGCAGCAACATCTGGAGAATGATGAAAGCAGCCCTAGAGAATCACAAAATAAGTCCTGGCTTTTTTTGTACACTCACAATAATTTTGTACTCCAATGCAAAAGGGATGTGGTTTATATTGTGATGCTGCTTTTATCCATTTAATTTATGCAATTAATTACATTAATGCAAATGCAACCCACACCCAAGCTGCTAAAGGTGTCTATGCATGCATGGATCAATGCCCAATCCCATATAGAATTGTTCATGCGGTTAAATAAATAATCTCTAATATGTTATCATAACCCACAAGTGAGGACTTAAGAGGGAGACAAATGATGAGTCATTTGTGACAATGGCATCACACTAATAGGGGACTGGAAGCTAAAACTTGTAAGGAACAGTTGCTGGAATTGAGATGTCTAATTTAATGAAGAGAAGGATGAGGGGTGACATGATAGCAGTGTTCCAATATCTCAGGGGCTGCCACAAAGAAGACAGAGTCAAGCTTTTCTCCTAAGTACCTGAAGGCAAGATAAGAAGCAATGGGTGGAAACTAACCAAACAGAGAAGCAACATAGAACTAAAGAAAAATTTTCTGACAGTTAGAACAATTAATCAGTGGAACGACCTTCCTCCAGAAGCTGTGAATGCCCAAAACTAGAAGTTTTTAAGAAGAGACTGGACAGCCATTTGTCTGAAATGGTATAGGGTTGCCTGAGCAGGGGGTTGGACTAAATGACCTCCAAGGTCCCTTCCAACTTTATATTACTACTATTATTATTATTATTATTATTATTATTATTATTACCCCCATCACCACCACCAGGATTTACATTCAGGACCCAAATACATCAGTTTCTGTCACAGTGATTTGCTGTGAACCCTGTGCATACTCTCTGCTTTTCCTCCTTTGGACTCCCACCCCCGCCCACCACACAAACACATCAATGATTTATTTTTTGAGAAATACTCCCATTTATCTTCTGTTAGAAAGATCAATAGTTAAATTAACATGATTCTTCAACATGAGACTGTAACTGCTGGAATTAAGTATATACTAATTAATAAACTATATTAAATACATTTAGTATTTCTAAATGAACTTTATTGCTATATCTTACCAATTGTTTCCAACATGACTTTTACTTAATTTCCACTTCACCAGATGTTAATTAATATAAGGTCTTCCTAAAAAAGAATTGGGAGAAAGGAGATGAACAATTTTAAATAAATATTATAGAAACAAACTCAATTCTATTGATCACTCTAAAAAAATATCCAAGACTGAAAGGAATCCATTGCAATTACAAGTCAATTTTAATTCTGGTAGAAATACATTATAAGTAAAAACTTCATCACAATACAGTAAACTACATAAAACTTTATTCCCAAAGTATGCACTTTTTTGGTGCCAGCAATGTCACTGTTATTTAAAACACATTGTTAAAGCTTTAACAATGGCTCCTGTTTAATCATATTATATGAAACAGTATCTGGTATTAATGTAAATGCAGTTTCTGGATTCCTCTATGAGGTAAAGAGATATAGAGAAAGAAAGATGTTAAGAAAACAGGGCTGGAAAGCTATGTACCATAGTTACTTTTCCTGAATCTCAGTCTCTGTGCAAGATTTTTTAAAACATTGTTGCTATTTTTCAGAAAAATATTAGTGATCCAAAGAAAACATAAATCCCATTAACATCTGAAACTATGATACACTTATGAGAAACAAACTAAACGTTAAAATGTTATCATCAAGATAAAGCATGTTTTCGTACCAAGAGGCTCTTAGCCCAGAACAGCTGTCAGCCTTTAGTTGACTAATCCCCTGGATTTTAAAGGCCTGTTATCTACCACATACTATTTTAACTATTTTACTACACACTCATCATTTCATCAAAAAGGTAACATGTACCACTAATCTCTTCTACCAGCTATAAGACTTCTCTGCAGATATAATCTCCAATGAAAAGTTTCATGCATTCATCAACAGTCCCATTTCATAAATCTTTTTTAGATAAATACCTCAGAAACTATAAGCTCATAGCATCAGATTAACCAACATGCAATGCCAAAGATAGCCAGTTCCATAATAAGCTTTACCTCAGAGCTGTTAGTGACTTTCAAGGCTTGCTAAAGCTAACACTGATATCCAGGCCAAGATGTTCATTGGATATTACAAAAGAGCAGCTTCTCCTCATGAGGTAAGTAGGGAAGCTTCTTGCACGTGCTAATTTTACAAGAGCTAGGAAATGCTGGGAAAACAAATTTCTAATTTGTTCCTACTAATATCTATGTATGTATGTATGTATGTATGTATTTTATATCACTGCCTGTCTCACATATGTGACTCTAGGCGACTTACAATAAAATGCAAAACATGAAAACCCATAACAGCCAAGCATCATTCAACCAATTAACTACATAGGCACAAAACCCTGATGGAAGGTCAGCAGGGATGGGACCAATCTCATCTCAAGAGGGATGATGTTTCAAAGGGCAGGTGTGAAGGCAGAAAAGGCTTTGCTTCTTAGCCCTGACAGCTGGCATTTCTTAGCCAATGGTACCCAAAGGATGGTACTCCTGCCAAGTTGGGTAAGATGGGATGAGACAATTGGGGAGAGACAGTCAGGAAGTCCCAAGCCATTAAGAGTTTTAAAGATAATAATTAGTGCCTTGAATTATACCAGAAACATAATGGAAGCCAATGCAGCTCGCAGAGTAATGGTGTCACGTGTACCACATAAATAGCACTAGTTTGTGACAGATAAAAAGAGCCGAGGTGGTGCAGCAGTTAGAGTGCAGTACTGCAGGCCACTTTAGCTGACTGTGTTCAGCAGGTCAGCGGTTCAAATCTCACCGGCTCAAGGTTGACTCAGCCTTCCATCCTTCCGGGGTAGGTAAAATGAGGACCCAGATTGTTGGGGGAAATGTAAAATATATATATACATTGCTTACTGGTGTACACCGCTTAGAGAGTGCTTGCACTTAAAGTGGTATATAAGTCTCATAAATAAATAAATAAATACCAGAAAACAGTGAATATTTAACACTTGTTTGGTATCATTTTCATTGGTTATTGATTTGTATCTAACCAAGTCCTTAGGTGAGGTCTTACTATGACCTCAGCCATGACTATCATGGAAAACTGTCACATTAAGACAGGTGTTTCTCTACTCGCACCACTTAGCAACTGAGGCCATCATCCATAATTTACACAGCCAAGATCTGTAAGGCCAACTCACAAGTCTTAATTATTTGTGCTTTTTTATCCAACTTGCTGCCTCAGGAAATAAATGGGGCTCGATCAATATATTTCTTTCACCATCAGAAAATTACATTTGCACTGTATTGTTTTCATAAAAAGTTCTGAAACTTCAGCTTCTGGATGATTCAGTTCTGGGCCTGTTAAATTTGCACTTTTATGGCTTATGTGAACATAAGTAGGTATGAGCACAATTATATGTTATTATTTGATTTAAAATATGCTCATTCTCTTCAGCTAAAAATATTGTGTTTGTAATTCAATGAAAATATGAGTAAAAGTATGAATTTTTTTTAGAAGTATTTGTTTTGCATTTGCAATCTAGAGAAAACTTATATACATACAAGTGATAACACAAAATTACTTTTAAGTATTTATTTGTTTAAAGAACTAATACAGCTGTTCCACTCACAACTTGCAACTCTGGGCAAAAAAACTATACATAAATTAAAGAAACAATTAAATCAAATGTTAAATGCAACACAAAACCAATATAACAAAACATGATTAATACACAGCCACGGCAAATGCCACTTCCTAAAACAAAATGGGCTCTTTCACTATCTTGCTCCAACGCACAGGAAACAAACCAGGTCTTCTCAACTTAACAAAAGGTTCATGGACTCATTCCAAAGGGCAGGCACAGCAACAGAGAAGGCCTATCTCCTAGACCAAGGTTCCCAACCCTGGTCTGTGGACCGGCACTGGTCTGCAGCATGCCAGAAACCAGCACATGCAAACAAGCAAAGCCCATCTGCAGGATGCAGGCAACACATGAAACCACGCCTCCAATCCGTGGAAAAACCTCTCTATGGAATCGGTCCCTAGTGCCCAAATGGTTGGGGACTGCTGCCCTAGACTCAAGGCTACACTGCTTTAAAAATATACTTTGAGCATGTCCACAACGATGAGTTGTGACCTGGATCTAGCAAAAGGACCTCATCCCTATCCTTGAATAGGGCTTTCAAGAGGCACCATCTGATGGAGCTCTTCAATGAATTTCCAAGATTCCAGGATCTTTGAATCTTTGTCCTGGAGAGGAAAAAGTGTCAGATAGAGGGGGAGGGGAATTTCATACATGTCATTGAGTCTACACCATCATCAGGTACTGGAGACTATCGATAGAGTCATAAGATGGAGTATCTGATTTGAAAAGCAAAAACAAACAGCTGGATAGCCTCCTTTCGGTGCATCTAATAACATTTATATGCTTTAAGTTAAGCGCTGGTTGAATGATGCTCTTATTTCTACAAATTATGTGTCTGTATCCTTGGGAAGCCCAGATGATTTCAGATGTCTCTCCCCATTTAATCAACAGAATAGAATGAGGTGGTCACCTAGTTATGTATATTTCTCTGGATCGAAGTGGGCTATTGCAATCACTATCATCTTTGTGAATTCACTGGGAACTGAATACAAGTCAAATGGAAGGACCATGAACAGATGGTGAACAGCAAGTATTCCACAGTGTGCTCCTGGTGTTTGAATAACTGACTTGAAATCAGTAGTCAGAATTCTTGTGTAACCTGTGAGGCTAGATCATTTTGGGGAGAGGAGCACTTTATCCCTTTATGATGGATTTTGGAGTTTCCATCCAAACTTGTTCTATCTGATGTCACTCACTTCAGATCCAGAATGTTATACCATTCCTTGCTCTTCTTAGGAACAATGAAGAATATCGGATATCAGCCCAAGAATGTCTCATCTTTGGGGATTTATTCAATCACTTGTATACTCAAAAGATGATTTAAGCCTCCGGGATGTTTTGTTGCCTTGTGAGTGAATGGAGAGTGTAACAGAGCAATATTGATATAGGCTTGTGGATTTTATGATATGGCATTATGAGTCTGTGTTTAGGAAACATGCATCATTATGCCAGTTCATAGATGGGTGAATTCCATTAGCCTGTTACATACACAAGACTGTAATGATTACTGTTGTTGTCTGTATATTTGATCTACTTTTAGTGGAAGGCATTCTTCCCCAAATCAAAGCTGAGGCTGATGTGATATGTTTTGGAAACTTTGCCTCTTCTAGAGTGAGATGAGTGTTTTGAGTCAGGGTTTAGCTACAACTGAGGAAATGAAAGAGTTAGCTTGATAATCTACTGACCTTGCTGTAATGTTTTAGATTAAGGGTAGGTCTTCCTTTTTCTCCTATCCTCACTTAGATCTTACAGACTTTCTTACAAAATTGTGAGAAGTGTTTTTTTTAAAAGCCTAATAAGTTAGAGGATTACCTATTAGTCTTTCTTCTTGTCTATGGACCTTTCACCTTCCCCCTTATCTCTCTTGTCCTGAAGGAAGGTGTCCAGTCAGGTGTGATAAGGGGTGGCAACTGGGTTCTTCTCTATTTGATTGCTTGCCTCTTCCCTCTCTGATGTCAGCCTGAACCTCAATCTCCAAAGTGAGAGTCTGGAGGAAAAAGGGAGAAGGTGTGGGACAGTTTCCTTCTTCCTACACTTTGATAAAGTTGTAGAGTTCCCGAATGCTGTTTTCCAGGTGTTGTTCTCGTTTTGTCCTCTTCACTTCTGAGGAGTGGGAAGCTAGGGGGCTTTTGAGGAAGAATAACTTGGTGGAGCCAACTGAAGAGACAGAAGAGTGCTTATCCTTCAGCCAAGTATAGTGGATTGGATCAGGCGCAACTTCATCTTCTCTATTGCCTGGGCTTTATCTAACCATGGAAGAATGGCAATGCTCCCTAGCACTTCTGAACATCATGCCACTTGTGGCTGGCAACTTAACAACCCGACATCAAGGGTGTCCTTGATGGAGCTATAGGCATGTATACACTCCAGTGAAAACCAGATCAGAACTGGGAAAAGAAACAATGTCAATAACTTTTCTAGCCCTGCTTTTGGTGTGAGTCTGCAGCAGATATACACTGTTGAATGTCCTGGGTCTGATTTGGGATTAACTCAGTGCTATTTTAGGACAATAAATGCATGTACTGATTTGACTGTGCTAAAAAGAAAATAGCAACAAAAGGAACTTAGCAAAATGCAATATATCATACTAATGAGAAAATGTAATGGTGAGCATTAATGTCATTTCAAAATTGGATTAATTTTAAGACAATATTTACGTTAGAAAAAGGTACCATCACTGTAAATTTATTTTGGTGCTCTTAATGTTATTCTATAACAGTGGTTCTCAACCTTTGGGTCGGGACCCCATTTGGGGTCAAATGACCATTTCACGGGGGTCACAAACCATGCTGTCCGCCATTTTTTTCCCTTTTCTCTAGCTGTCCTACTCCCTCTTATTGGTGGCCACACCCACTTGGGGGTCACCACAACATGGGGAACTGTATTATGGGATCACGGCATTAGAAAGGTTGAGAATCACTGTTCTATAACTTTCCAAATACAACCGTTCTCCATCTGAAAACACAGTTACGATACATGTTCACTAGCCTTTTTGTAGCAAGCCATTTTAAGCCGTCTTTGTAAAGGTCTATATTTTTGTCACCATGCTTGTATCACTCACATTTTTAATTTTTATACTACTAACATGCTAAAAACCACCAAGGCAATTTACAAATCTCCCCTACATATCCTCCTTTAAAAAGGGTGCAACTAGTCTGCAAAATACAAGAATTACTATTTACATACAACGGACAAAGAACAACATCTGGATACAATAGCTTTTGCAAATGCAGGGAAGCCTATAGAAAACCACCATGTAATCAAAGTGTCCCTATTTATATCAATATTGACAAACTGTCTGACGGAAAATACTTGCTTATAATTTAATTTACTTCTGAGTTAAACTTCTTTTTGTTTTTTGCCTGGACCTTTTATAACCCAAACTGTGAACTCACTGGAAGTATAAACAAGATGGCGAAAAAGCCTACGCAATAACACAAGATATGCAGTACAGCGAACCAGCATAAACAACAAGATCCCAATGAGCTAAATTCTGTAGCTTAATTTATTAGGTTACCCATCATCATGCTTGTGATTTCACTGCATAGTTTGGCATTTGCAAAAAGAACAGATATATACTAAAGTCCATTAATATGCTGACATTTATTTTAGTGAGTGCATTGAATTTGATTACTAAGTAATTCTTTAAATTGGGCTCTACTTTATATAAAAAATACAAGAGGGCTTTAAAGCCAAGTCATATTGAAAATCTACTTGTTATATGTAAATGTTAACAAAGTATGTATAAAAATGCATTTATACATGAGAAAATGGTCATATACTTAATCTGAAGCTTAAATCTATTTTATGAAAATATTTAAAGCTCTATATTTATTTAAAAAAATTCCCAAATTATTTGATATGCTCTATTTTTTTCTAAATCCATGTCTTAAAAACAAACAAGTGGCACCCTGTTTCTAAGAAATGCTTTAATGTTCTAATGATTTGCAGCGTACCATTAAAATATGCTTATTCCATAGTTTTCATCGATAATTATACATTGCATATCATCAAAATTCAACTACTGCATACAAACAAGTTTAACCTCTTCTTTCTATTCTTACTATAGACAGAAATATACACCGGCAACATTGAAATATAGCTTTGCCTAGACTACTTCTGTTTCTCTGTTGAGTTTAACAAATGTTTCTAAATCAATGCATCCAAGTCAATGGATTGTGAAACTATCCAAGAAATAGTTAAATGGTGGAGATTATTTTTAGCCCAGAGTTTGAAATTAAAAGGTCAAGGGCTTGCCTAGAAAATAAAGAAGGCATGATCAACATTATTTAACAATTCATTATGTCTTAATTCAGTGTAGTCTTACTACTTATATGAAGACCTCAATTTCCCCACCCTTTCAAGCAATTACTAATAATGTATAAATATTTTCCAGTAATGAGATCCCAGAATGTTTGCTATTTTGGATTAATATGGAGTGCAGATGCAGCAGATCTGCCTAATGTTCTTCACTCTACAATTGTATACATAAATTCCTATTCCAGTCTAATTACATCAGGAGTAATTATCAGTTTCTTGATTACCTACTCTCTGTTACTGCAGCAAAACCCAACTCTACCTATAGCTAATCGCTGGGAAAAAAAGACTGAGAAATGCATCTTATCTATTTCTAGCGATGATAAACTTAGGAGGGGGATACACAGACTCAAGTTTCTTTACTTAAAAAAAGCCTTTACTGTTCTGCTTTTCCTCCATTTTAATGCACTAAAGTTCGAAGATGCAGTTCTCGATTTATTCCATTTTTTCCAGTTATTTTACAGAAAAGAATCCAGGAAAAGCTCCCCGCCTAAGGGAGGATGCTGTTTTTAATCTGCATAATTGACTCCCAACTCACTGAAGTGCGCATGCAACCCAGAATAGATCTCCCCCTCCCTTTCTCAGTCATGCAACTTCTTTTTCATTTTGGGCTGTGTTAAAACAAAAGGCCGGCTAATTTACCCATATACACACATACATACACACCCAAACTAAAACACTACGAAGATTCTATGCCATACCAGGATTTCAGAAGGATAAAGTTGCAGGGTACTTTGTGGTTTGGGGGGGGAGGAGGGGGAAGGGTCCTATAAACAGCCAAGCTAGAGGGAAGAGCGTCCTATAACATTAATAAATTCCTTACGCCTTCACCCATCCACCCCTAATAAAATGAATCCAACTCAACCAGAGGAAATAGCGCTTTTGTTGACCTCCACTTTCTTCCCGAGATAGGCACCGAAGCAAAACCAAGTAGCATCCCCTCTGATCCTCCCGCACTTTAATGAGGACCCAGTTTACCCCTCCCCTTGCAAACACACACACACACACACACACACAACAAACACACACCCCTAGACCCAGTTGCTGGAACTTGGCCAGCCCAGCCCAGCCAGCTTCCCCTGAAGAAGCAACAGGCGGCCTAACCTTCCCTTGGCCGCGTCAGCCTAAAGCTACGCTAGCCTCCTTCAGACCCGCCTCCAGCGAGGCACGGTGAGGGGCTTCCCTCCCTAACGCTATGACGCCCCCTCCTCAGAAAAGAGCCTGTCTGCCTTCTCTTCCGCTGCCCCACCCCCCCGCAACTACCTTAAACCCAAGCGGAGCGGTCTATTTGCTAATATGCTGGAAGGGCTGAGAGGTTCCCCCCCTCCCCAGCCTTTCAGAGGGGAGAGGGAGTGGGCAAGGAGCCCGCGCGCCGCCTCGCTCCCCCTCCCTTGGAAATAAGAACCCCACAAGAGTAACAATAACATTCAGGGCTGGCAAAGCGCCTCACGAGCAGCAGCAGCAGCAGCAGCAGCAGCAGCGGCAGCCGGCGGGAACAAAAGCTAGCGCGCGGCGATGAGAAGGCTCGCCCCGGGCGGAGCTTCTACGCCGTTTCTGCATTCCGAGAAGCGGCGGCGGCGGCCCTCTCCCAGCCAGGCTGGCCCTCAACGGAGCTGGGGAGTCCTCAGGGCGTGTGGCCGGAGGCAGCAGGCATTGCTTCGCTTTGGGACGAAGGCTCGTATTGCTGCCGCCGCCTCCTCCTCCTCCTCTTTCCTCCCCCCCCCCCGCCTCCTTTTCTCTGAAGTAACGGCCCGGAGAGAAAAGCTGCAGGATACACACGCGCAGGCGACCGTGAAACTTAATCCTGCCCAGGCATCAGGAGGCTCGACGCCAAGGCCCCCTCCTCTTCCTCTCCTCCAGCGACTAGACGCTCGACGTCTGCCAGCCTAGCCGAGCTCTGGCGCGGCGATTGCAAAGAAAGCACCATGACAACCGCAGCAGCAGCAACAGGCGCAACAGGAGGGGGCCGTGAGGGGCTGTGCAAATTCCTCTATGAAAGGCGGCCCCGCTAAACTGCCCTAGTTTCTATTTTTTTATTATTATTATTTCATGGAAGAGAAAGGAGAGGAGAGGGCGGGACAAGGAGAGAGTTAGAAAAAACCAAAGGTTGGAGATCCTGCTCTCCGAGGAATAGCTAAAGTTTGGCATTGATGCTGCTTGGGCAGAGTACCTTTTAATCCTATCTCATAAAACCTGTAGTTTTGCACCTTCTCTTTAGTGGCTGCGAAGACAGAGCTCTTTTGATCAGGAAACTAATCAATGTGCAGCATGGTCTCCAAACCGCTTGCCACTTGGTGTGTGTGTGTGTGTGTGTGTGTGTTGCCAGGTGTAACCGATCTGTAGCGCCAGTTTTATAATAGAATAAAATTAGGCTGCGTTGTGCCGCCGCTTGCATCTGTTTAAAGGGTTTCTTTTTTTTTAGCTCACGCGTTGCATCATTTTAATCTGGTAGAAAATCAGATTTAATTTGATTAAAAGGTGAGGAATAAATCATTGGCTGCTGGGTATATTACTAACCGTGTACTGCTAGAAAAAGGAAGCCGATTAATAAACTGATTTCAATCACAAAAAGATGCTCCCCTTTCAAGATCTTGTAGCTCCAATACAGTAATGGCTTTTCCAGAGCTGCAAATGGGAATGCAGAGAGACAAGAATTACTTGGCATTAGGTATTTCCATGGTTTTCACCAAAAGGGCTGTCCAGTCATAAATATAAAAAATAATTTGCATTACAATGCATTTTTCTTGAGTAGAGTATTAATAAAATTCCCTACCAAAGAGTCATTTAAAATGCACACCATTGTAGCAACATTTCTGGGGATATAATCACCTTGAGTATAAATAGATATGAGCTATAAGGGAACCTTACACAACCTGTTTAAATCTGCAGATTGAACCCAATACTTCATAATAATTTTGCATCTCCAGTATGGTGGTCAGTTGATCTTGCCTCTTGTCTAAATTCTGAGACACAACATCTTTTTTTTTCTCATTCATCCACTTCGTTAAGATGTAGATTCTGAGAAATAAATTGACTTCCATCCCTGGATTAGTGAAATGGCAAAGAATCCCCTCAGCCTGTAATACAAAAACAAGAAGCAGCCCTACCATGCATCATTTATTCCAAGCTATTGTTCGGTGAACCAATATGCCTTTGCCTTTTGTAGCTATGGAACTTCGCCAAAGGCATCCCACTGGGTGGTATACAATGTAACTATGTTATATTGCAATGTAAATCTTCCAAAAAATGCTGATTTTTTTAAAAAAAATTTGATGTTCCAAAGTTTTCAGGTGGTTGTTTCTTTAAAAATGCTATCAGGTCAACACCAAACAACTGGTCCAAATCGTAGGCCTAGGCCAGGGGTAAGCAACCTTGGCTGGCTCAGGAATTCTGGGAATTGAAGTCCGCCAGTCATAAAAGAGCCAAGGTTGTCTACCCCTGGCCTAGGAACTATCAATGTGGCAGCCAGCTCTTATATTGGAAGCTAGTTTATGTATATTGTGTGGTTTCATTTATACTCCAGATGCCCTTGAAGGGATTGTGCATTACCAATGTATTCTCAGTAAAACCGAGACATTGCCAGTTTAGCAGACTTTATCCTCGATATTTATATATTGTCAGAGAGAGTCTTGACATGTTATTTGTAAATTTAAAAAGGCTGTTTCTATCACTGTATTAACTTCAGCCCAAACTTCATGCATTTAATCCATACTGGTGGCCATGATACATTTTGATTGACTATAACACACAGGAAACATTACTCCATATATGTTTCCTCAACTTATTCCCACATTGAGTTCTTAAAGACATTTTTAATCACAGAGACCTACTCATTCATATACCTGGATATGTGTGTGCAGATTAACATATATAAATACGTTAATATCTCTTTTTAATTCACAGGAAAAAATGCAGAGCAAGATTCTCAATGGCCCCTAATGACTGATTCACAAATATTAATGGTTTGTGTGCACAGATAGCATTAAGCTTGGTTAGAATGTAACCCCATTGTTTTTTCAGTGAACTCCTTCATAAAAAAGGTGAGAAGGTCTAAAACATAAAAAACATAAAAAAAAATATTGAGCATTCTATTAATTGAGTGAAACAAGTTTTCACCTTTGTCTTGTTTAAAAGTACTTGGATAAATATACTCTCTCCAATCTTTTGATCATCATGATTACTATTGACAATTGATCATCTTGTTCAGTTGTTCATCTTGATAATTGATCATCTTGATTACTGTTTTAAATAAAACCTGTACAATAGCCCCTGATTTATACCAGACCTTTTAGCTTGACCTGTTTATCTCTCTGAGGTTAGAACAGCTCTCCTTTTTTGACATGGATTTTTGGAGAATAAGATTAAGCAAATTAGCTACTGCACCCTTTGTTCAATGTAAAGGGTATGATATGAGAAAGCAAACCAAACTTGGGAATTGTAAAACCACAAATGGTAGTTATTTACAGTACAATAGCATTATAATTGCCCACCACAGCAATAGCTAAACAATTTGAAATAAAAATAAGTGGCTGGACAAAAATGGCATTGCTTGATAAAAAGAGGTGAAAGGAAATTCTTGCGCATGTAAAAAAATAACAAAATTAATATAATATGAACCACTGTGCTTTATTGATGTGCTTTGTTTGTGGGTAAATAAAACAATAACAAACACAACAACATATATAAAAACATATCATTATCACCATCATCATTTATATTTTGTTTTCTTTCCCTAAAGTAAGCCACTTAACTACTATTAAAGAAAAAGAAGAGTCTGCAGATGTTTAGGGTGGAAATATAAAGAAAGCAAGATAAAACAGTGGCTGGAGTGTCTGGAGATTCTCAGTCTTCCAGGTCATAATTGTCTCAAAGGGTTTTTTTCTCTTCAAAAGGCAACTGGGCCATTTTTTTTTTCCTTGAGGAAGAAGAAGAAAACATTTTGCTTCTTATCCAAGAAGTTTCAGCATGAAGTGACCTCATTCATGAAGCTTCTTGAATAAGAAGCAAAACTTCTTTTTCCCTTCCTCCTCAAGGAAAAAAACAGTCCAATTGCCTTTTAAAGAAAAAAGCATCTTTGAGACAATTATTGTTGAAGGGTTTTTTCCCCCTGAAACATTTTACTTGCATGGTAAATGTAAGGACACACTTGGAACTGTTTTAGTGATCCTTCTATAAACATCCCAATCCTGTTAAAAGCGAAACCATGTCTGTCACATCCAGGGCAGTCAAAGCTAGTATACACAAGATCCTGGCATCCATACCACATTTACTGCTTAAGAAATTGATATACTTCTGTTATAAACAGTTGTACTTTTGAAACCATTGAAATGTCCATAAACAGTAGCAATTACTTTAAATCCAAACCTTGGACCATTAATGTAGGTTTCGTATTTTAGACTTAAAATAATATACATGCTCTTTTGGGGGCTGTTCTTCCTTTTGCATTCTTTCTTATGGTCACCCTCCTTTACTCCATCCAATGACACTTCATTTGAGCTTCAGGAAGTTGATTCTTCTCATACAGTAAATAAATCTTGTCCTCTGTTTTTAGAAGTCGTAAGAGTTTCATTCTTTCAAACATTTTCACTGTTTCCTATGTTCTTTTTTATCTTAATACTCAAAACAGCAAAAAGAAAAGCAGGGAAGGATGAAAAGAATTTTAAAAATGTACATGTTGTATTTACTCGT